GTACGCACTCCCTATTCCGTTTTCTCTATTTTGGTTTTTGTTTACAACAGTTACAGACTGGCAGATCACCGTCAATCTTGCATCACCGGTCAACAATAACGAAACCAGAGGTCCTTTGTATTTAATTGAACAACTGAAATAAATTGTCAGGTGATGAGGCTTCAAGTTCAAGGGTGAATCAGAAAAACACTCAGATTCTTATAAACACGAACGTCAAAAAGGGTTTCAATGATAGTTGCAAAAGAGTTTGAATTAAATTGTCAGGTGATGAGGCTTCAAGTTCAAGGGTTAATCAGAAAGATATTCAGATTCTTATAAACAAGAACGTCAAAAAGGGTTTCAATGATAGTTGCAAAACAGTTTGAATTCAATTGTCAGCTGATGAGGCTTCAAGTTCAAGGGCGAATCGGAAAAATACTCAGATTCTTATAAGCAAGAACGTCAAAAAGGGTTTCAATGATAGTTGCAAAAGAGTTTGAATTAAATTGTCAGGTGATGAGGCTTCAAGTTCAAGGGTGAATCAGAAAAATATTCAGATTCTTATAAACAAGATCGCCAAAAAGGGTTTCAATGATAGTTGCAAAACAGTTTGAATTAAATTGTCAGGTGATGAAGCTTCAAGTTCAAGGGTGAATCAGAAAAATATTCAGATTCTTATAAACAAGAACGTCAAAAAGGGTTTCAATGATAGTTGCAAAAGAGTTTGAATTAGATTGTCAGGTGATGAGGCTTCAAGTTCAAGGGTTAATCAGAAAGATATTCAGATTCTTATAAACAAGAACGTCAAAAAGGGTTTCAATGATAGTTGCAAAAGAGTTTGAATTAAATTGTCAGGTGATGAGGCTTCAAGTTCGAGGATGAATCAGAAAAATACTCGGATTCTTATAAACAAGAACGTCATAAAGGGTTTCAATGATATTTGCAAAAGAGTTTGAATTACATTGTCAGGTGATGAGGCTTCAAGTTCAAGGGTGAATCAGAAAAATATTCAGATTCTTATAAACAAGAACGTCAAAAAGGGTTTCAATGATAGTTGCAAAAGAGTTTGAATTAAATTGTCAGGTGATGAGGCTTCAAGTTCAAGGGTGAATCAGAAAAATACTCGGATTCTTATAAACAAGAACGTCAAAAAGGGTTTCAATGATATTTGCAAAGGAGTTTGAAGAGATACCAGTATACAAATTGCACGAGTTGAACTGGATTTTTTTTTTCAGGGACAGATTCCCTTATACATTTTTTCATAGATGGCGCTGCGTGACGCAATCAGCAAGTCCCTCGATCCATCGCTAATCTTGGGAAGGTCCTGATTTTTCCCCTCTCCAGACTTTGTCCTCGAATCTACCGAATTTCAACGACACGATCTACCGATTTCGTCTTTTTCGTTTCGGCAACTCTGGGTACAGAATACCAATCGACATGCGGAAAAATTAATCGAGTCAGCCCACCTAACGTCGTTGAAGCTTGGGAGTTCTTGCATGCGTTGTACCTATTTCGCAGGTTCGTCCTTGTGGTGGACAGATAAAAGGCAGGAATGTGCATGCGTTCTATCATATAAAAATACCAAAACTGTTACCTGTGAATTTATGGCCACTAAACCACCTGTATACCCACCTGTTTCGTGAATATAGATGCCTGCGTGGGCTGAGCTGGGCTTGTAGCTGAATGTGCTGTGTAGCCTGCAGTGGCGTGCGAAATTTGAAGGGGAAATGGTGGAATTTTTACTACACAAAGTATCTAGAATACGAAATACGAGAGATGTCTTTTAAGTTATGCATATGGAAATAAAACAAAACTCAAGGAAAATGACGACATCCTAAATCAAATATAGTATTTTTGCAGTCACTTCCACGATACGGGTATCAAATGAAAAGCTTGAAGAGAGAAACGCAATAAACAGAAGTGACGTCATTCTAAATCTAATATTGCGGCGCCGCAATATGGCGTTTTGGATTTTTTGAAAGGGATCGATGAGAGAAACGCAGTAAGCAAGGTGACGTCATTCTGAATCCAATATGGCGACCGCCACAAGATGATGTTTTAGATTTTTCATACTCAGCCCTATATGGATCAAATGATATGAATCATTTCAAAAAATAATACATTCGAAACATTAAAGTTGTAAGCACAAGTTTGTGTGCGGCCAAGTTCAATAAAATTATATAATTGATTTAAGGCTTAACTTAATAAAATTATAAACAGTACAAAGACTGAGAGCTTGAAACAAACTGTCAAAAAAAGAAATCGCTTGAGAACTAAAAAATGGATTGAATTAAATGGATTTATTAGAGTCAAATCATTCTAAATCCAATATGGCAGTCATCGCAAAATGACGATTTATACTTATTACATTTTCTATAGTCATACTTAAATTAGGTAAACACAAAAAGTGAAAAATAAATAAAAAAACCAGGAACAAAAACTAAGTTAATAATGAATAAATACATATACAGGGTGTTTCTTAATGATATGCGAATATTCATCTACATGAAAAATTGATGTTAGTTTGCTTTATAAACTATTGTCCAAAAATGTTTCCTTACAAAAACTCGGGGTGTTGAAATTTTAGGAAAAAAAATGGAAATTAATTAATATTTTCAGAACCGCTTCAGATATTTCACTGATATTTAGTACCTAGTGGAAGTTAATAAAGTTGTATATTTTTCAATGCAAAAATAATTTTTAGTTTTAACAGTAGCGTATGTACGGGTATTGTCTTCGATATTTTTTAAGAAAAAAATGGTGCGCCAATGGTTTTTTGTCAAATAAAACTTATTTTTGATTCCACCGTACAATTTAAAACAAATGAACTTGTTTAATTGTCTTCCTTCGATGCGCCATCTTTCAGTAAAAAAATAAAAACCGTTCTATTGTCTAACTTGCAAATATCAATTTAATTGGAAAAATTAAACACATTAGGGGTAATGAACAACAACAACTGACAACATAAACATAACATTAAAACCAAGGAAATGATTACAAAAATTGTTGCCCACAAATGATTATTGTGGAAATTCTCAATGGCATTTCGAGAAAAATTAGCTTCGTCAGTGAACAGAATCATTGATCCAACTTGCAGATTTTGTGTAATTTCAGGTGTTCTCACACTTGAGGTCTACCTTCAGATGTTCCTTTTCGGACAGAACCAGTTTCAACAAGACGACGATGAATATTAGAAAAGGTTCGACTATCTGGCACGATCGGGATAACTCTGGTGATAAATCCGTCTGGCTTGCTCACCGTTACCGTCGGCAAGGCCATATACGTAATGCATTTCCGCCATTTGTGCATTTGAATAATTCACCGTTATCAACAAGATTGTAAAAACTGTAAATACACACGCAGCAACTAGATATTTATTGCTAAATTGCATTCTTCAATTATACTAAGTGACATATAAATCCGAACACCCAGTTTAAATGGTTTTATTTTAATAAAATTTTGTATAACTACTTAATGAAGCATAATAAGTAAATGATAAAAATTTCAAAATGATTGCACTGCTTTAAAGCCCTTTGACCTTTAATAATGTGTGGATGCACCCTGATGTGCTACGCATTCTCCAACGCGCCTAGGCATGCTTCTGATCAGGTGGTCAATGTCCTCCTGTGGTATCTCATTCCAGGCATCCACCAACTCCTCTCGAAGTGCTTCTAGAGTCTGAGGAGGACGTTGCAAATTGAGCAATCTCCTACCCATCATATCCCACACGTGCTCAATTGGGGATAAGTCGGGAGATCTTGGTGGCCATGGTAACAATGTGACATCATTATGTTGAAAGAAGTCTATTGTGACTCTTGCAACATGTGGTCGGGCATTATCTTGTTGGAAAGTTGGATCTGCCAGGGTGTCAATATAGGGTAAAAGATGGGGTTCTAGAACTTCGTGGATATAACGCTGCGCGTTCATGTTACCTCTGATGAAGATTAAAGGTGACCTGGAACCATAAGCTATAGCACCCCAAACCATAACTCCAACAGTGTGATGAACATGTCTTTCAACAAAAAACTGTGGATTCTTCCTTTCACCACGTCGCCTTCTAACCCTGACACGACCATCGTGCATGCCTAAACAAAATCGAGACTCGTCACTAAAGACAATACTATTCCATTTCTGATCCCAGAGTGACCGTTGTCTGCACCACTCAAGGCGATTACGTCGGTGTTCTCGAGTTAAAGGGAGGACCCAGTCGGTAAACACTTCGCATGCCAATAGGTCTTCCGTGTTCTGCAAACCATTAATTTGCAATGGACCTGGTAGTGGAGAAACGGTCCCTTAAGGCCAATAATCTTAGGCGGCGATCTTCACGGTCTGTTGTTCTACGGCGGCGTCCAGTGCCGCTTGCTCTTTGCGTACGGCCTTCTCGAAGCCATGCCTGACAACACCTAACCACAGTGTCTACAAATCTTTGCACTCTAACTGCAATTGCCCGAAAAGAAAGTCCCGAAGTCCCACTATACGGCCCCTATCAAACTCACTAAGTTGACGGAATCGTACAGGTCTCCGTACTCTAGGCATCGTAACCGATCGTAAAGGATGTCAAGAACCAAAATCCGCCAACGTTGATTCTTTACTGCGGCTGAAATATTCATTTTTAGAGCGTTAGTGAATAAAAAAAAAACAGTATAAAAACCTGAATGTCCAACTGATAAGGCTGAAAATTTTTTCACTTGTTATTTACAGTAAGATAAATACATTCACCAACTTTTATTAAAATAAAACCATTTAAACTGGGGATTTATATGTCACTTAGTATATTACATTAATTAACACCCTGTCATATAAATTCAGAATCTACTAGTTTATTCAATGGCAAGTAGACAACATACACTTTACAGCCAAAATCGTCAGTCATCGAGCGGCCACGGGGTGACTGGGCTATTAAACGTAACGCAGTGGTCGATTCTGGTGTCCAACATAAAATCTCACATGTATATGGCTAGAAATAGAAACTAAATAAAGCTTTTGATATACGATTATTTTCAATAACGACGTATTTGCAGAGGAAGTGGAACACTGCATTTGCCGGTCAGTAACTCAAACGCAATGGACGCCGTTGCCGGAAGCCGTTTGCTCGGTGGTACTGCGACTGTCAACGCAAGGACGGCCAGCAGGGATTCCGACCATCAGAGAAGCCCTCGAAGCTGCCTTCCCGCACGTCGAACCGCCCTCGGAAGAAACGCTATACGACATTCTCGCGCAGCTTACCAAGGAGAGGAAACTGTACAATACCACCAAAGGATACTATATAGTCACGCCTGAGTAAGTATTTATTTTGTTTTATTCGTACTTTATTGCAGGAATTTCCATTATGTGATATTACGTAAAAAACCTATATAATGTCAAAAAGTCTGACAAAATGTCAACTTGCTGATTAGATAGTTCCTAGTGTGCAGATAGTTCATTACGCGTTTGCTCGCTATGAGCGTCACCAAAAGCGCCATCTATGGAGGATTGAGTCAACCACGGCAGCATGCTTTGTTGGTTGCAGAATGCCGAAATAGTCTCTAGAGAACATCTGTGAAGGTGTACCCAATTGTAGTCGAAAATGCTGGCAGTTTTACTTGCATATAACAGTACAACCGCTATCCTTCAGGAATCTAAAAGAATTATACCGATAACTTAAGATTTAAGGAAGTTATGACATTTTCTGTGTTGGGTGCTGCAGAATAATAATTGTTTTATTCTCAAATGTCACAGATGACTGATACACTCTAAGTGCATGTTCATTAAATTGCATAACACCTGATGCATATAATAAATAAAAATCGAATATCTTTCGCAGATTAAATCACCTTGCGTTGTGTTGTTTTTCGAAAAGGTTGAACGTGGGTAATAAAAAGGCGTCTTTATTGAGCTTGTGTAATCCGAATCCGGGATTCCTCTTACAAGATATGCGCAATGTAGCTATTTTTATACTTTGGAGGCCTATTAAATTATGCAAAAATGCACACTTTGTACCTAATTTAACTTCTGGTACGTTGCACTTTGCTCTTCTTTCTGTCTAATTGCGCTAATAATGAGTGATTGCAAGTGGTCGAAAATTTTTTGTAGTAGATGAAAGTACCTTCAAAATGAGACCATACACGGCCAATTGGTCGCAACTGTTAATTTGTTGCTACAAAAAGCGGTCAGAAATCCTGGATTTCTGCATTTATTTTTTACTGGAAAATGCATAAGGGTAAATGTAACATAATAGCCAAAATTTTAAGCCTTTGTGGGGCTGAACATTCAGAAAAAAAATCATTCAAAAATGCTCAATCGTTCCTGCAATTTTCTAATTGTTATTAATTTTTTTCATAAAAATTGCGCTTTTTACAAGCTCTCCAGCGACTTAGGATCAAACAAATGGCCTCATAAAAACTGATGTAAAGCTACATCTAAACCTTGTTTTTGTATCTCTTTCGAGTTCCCGATCATCTCTAGTCGTACCTGATCACAAAAAATGGTGAATGTGCTATGCACTTTATAATCTAAGATAATTCAACTTCAACCAATTTTATCTCACAACCCTTGAGGTTTAGCAGGTTGTACCCATTGAGACATTTGTTGATTCCAAACAAGTGTAAAAGAGATTAAAAAAATGGTAACTCTTGGGAAAAATAGTGACAAGTTCACCCACCTCGTCATTTGAGAATCGTCTAGAAAAACTAAATTAGTAATATAGTAGGTCTGCTCTGGTTTCAATGTAATAATCGTAAAAAATATACGGAAGCTATTGTAACCTTGTGTTCCCAGATTATTACAGAAAGTGATGCATAGATTAGCAACACAATAGCGATTTATTAATTAAATGATTTTCGAATCGCAGGAGAAGGAGGTCAAGAAGTCAGACAAGGAGTCGGAAAAAGGACGAGAACGAGGAAAGTATAACATGCAGAACGATGCTGATGTCGACGGAAGAAGCGATGGCCATAGTGCACGGAGATATAGCTACGATTAGGGATGGAAATGTCACTCATCAGTGTATTCAGACGAATTTAGCAGACGTCATATGCGGAGGTAGGTGTTTCATTGAACAAGAAAGTTGACTGACTGTGCACTTTATATGGAATGCCCTTATCAGTATATAAAGGACTATGTTCAGCACAAACTAGATCGTCTAAGAAAAAAGTCAGTCAAATAGGTCCATACACATTATTTCCCTGTCCTACCCGTAGTTACTGGCGATCTGGCAACGTTGTCTCTTTTCAAATCTGCGCGGTATCGCTGCGTGTATATATTTTTTGCACTGCAGCACGGGTACACCGGTTCGCCGGGCGGTGAGCTTAGATAGCAGGAGTATGCGGATTGAAATCGTTTGTCTATCATTCCACTTTAAAGGTAAATGTACGGAGAAATCTATGATATGCGAAATATGGCTAACAGGTTCATAGAATCGCCTGGGTTGGAAGCGTATATATAAATATATATAGGTGAAAAATTAAAGCTTCCGCCTTTTGTTGGGTACTTAGACAAAATTTAAGCAAAGAAGACTCTTTATACTTTTTTTAATTCTCTCTAGCTTTCAATGGACCTTGCCATCATCATCAGGAGCTGCAATTACAATGATAACAGTAGCAACAAAAGTGTAAAATGAATTTAAATTGAATCAACTTACAGTAGTATGTGAGGATGTTGCTAATTGTTGTTTTCGTATAGGATGAGGGAAACGTCCAGTAACATGGTGAGAGCTGGATACATGGTACAATGGTTAAAATTATATAAAATATGACAAGACAAGTTAAAGACAGATTAAAAATTATTTAGAAAACATTAGAGCATTACGTCGTGAAGCCACTTGATGATTGCAAAAAATGGTGGTCATGGAATAATGAGTGAGATGAACCTTTGACAGAAGGTCGAAGGTTGTCAATGTCTGTGTTGAAAGATGGAACGAATTGTGGGCGTGCGCCAAAACGTTGCCAAATCACTTCAGATGATGTGATTTTCAGAATGTTATGTAAGAAATTGTTAAACCGACCAGAGGCAGTTGAATAAACTATATTTTAATTAATGGGAATTTTAAATTAACAATTATTAATAAATCGTGAGAAGAGAATTATTAGATTTTGAGTGGAATTAAATTTGTTGGTGGAATCGGCCAAAACACAGTTTATATTTATGGTTGTGAAAAGTCGAAATTTGGGGAGATATGTAAGTTCTCCAATTTTTCGCAGTTTAGCAAATATGAGTAAATGACACTCAGTTGTTTAATATCTGTCTTTTTGTTGATACAGTTGGTATTCATGAAAATGTGGGACATTTCCAGGAATAAACGTTTGGAAAGGTGTTTTTCTTTATCAAGAACTTTGATACTTGTGTAATTCATAGAATGCCCTGTTGTGTTAACATGAGATGCTAGAGCGCATCTTTCAGGATGAAGCCTAGCATCACTTTTGTGTGATGTAATCCTTCCTTTAAGAGATCTGGAGGTCTGACCTATGTATATTTGGTTGCAGTTGTTGCAATTGATGGAGTAGACTGTGTTAGTTAAGCCAAGCAGCGGGACTTTGTCTTTCATTTTTGAAAAAATGCGGTTTATAGTGAGGACGGATTTGCAAGCAATTCGAAAGTTCAAAGGACTGCACAATCTGATCAGCTTAGGGCAGGACAGCAAAACCAGGTCTGGAGTCTGGGTTGGTGCTTGTACTGTTTGGATTGATGCTATTATTGGGAATTACATCAGTTCCGTTATTATTAGGGGTTGTGTGACTATTACCTGCATTCTATGAATTACACAAGTATCAAAGTTCTTGATAAAGAAAAACACCTTTCCAAACGTTTATTCCTGGAAATGTCCCATATTTTCATGAATAACAACTGTATGAACAAAAAGACAGATATTAAACAACTGAGTGTCATTTACTCATATTTGCTAAACTGCGAAAAATTGGAGAACTTACATATCTCCCCAAATTTCGACTTTTCACAACCATAAATATAAACTGTGTTTTGGCCGATTCCACCAACAAATTTCATTCCACTCAAAATCTAATAATTCTCTTCTCACGATTTATTAATAATTGTTAATTTAAAATTCCCATTAATTAAAATATAGTTTATTTAAATGCCTCTGGTTGGTTTAACAATTTCTTACATAACATTCTGAAAATCACATCATCTGAAGTGATTTGGCAACGTTTTGGCACACGCCCAAAATTCGTTCCATCTTTCAACACAGACATTGACAACCTTCGACCTTCTGTCAAAGGTTCATCTCACTCATTATTCCATGACCACCATTTTGTGCAATCATCAAGTGGCTTCACGACGTAATGCTCTAATGTTTTCTAAATAATTTTTAATCTGTCTTTAACTTGTCTTGTCATATTTTATATAATTTTAACCATTGTACCATGTATCCAGCTCTCACCATGTTACTGGACGTTTCCCTCATCCTATACGAAAACAACAATTAGCAACATCCTCACATACTACTGTAAGTTGATTCAATTTAAATTCATTTTACACTTTTGTTGCTACTGTTATCATTGTAATTGCAGCTCCTGATGATGATGGCAAAGTCCATTGAAAGCTAGAGAGAATTAAAAAAAGTATAAAGAGTCCTCTTTGCTTAATTTTGTCGAAGTACCCAACAAAAGGCGGAAGCTTTAATTTTTCTCCTAACTGGTCTAGACGACAATGACCACGTCTCAAGTTATATATATATATATATACGTGGTCAGTCGCCCGGCACGTGTTGGATAATGTGGAGGTTAACAGTAAAAAAAAAGGTGAAATCTCGAAGGAATTTTAAATAGTTGAGAGTTTTAAAATTTCCAAATGTCTTCCAAAATCAATCAACGTTTAATTAAAAAAACTTTTCAAAATGATTTGCCATTTAATAATAAAATAATTCCGTCCTAATCGAACCTCATCAGTCCAGTTTTTTATTCGTCGACTATGTGTTCCCTTCACTGTTGTTTTAAAAACAATTTCAGCAACGATCTCGCCGACTTACTCCAGACGATGAAGTCATAGATCTTCGAAAGCTTGAGAGTTTAAGTTATAAGAGTGTACTTTTGCAATACTTTGCCTTCTACCCAAAGAAATTAAAGGATATATATAGCTAAGTAAGAAATACTACCTAGATTGTTTATTGGGAATTGACAATATACAGGGTGTTTGAAAAACAGACTGAGATATTTTATAGGGTAATTCATTGTTAAAAAATATGAAAAATAGTTTCTATGAACATGGGTCCAGAAATGCACAGTTTCCAAGATACAGGGTGATATTTTTTTATCAATATCTTGTAAAATATTTTCTCTATTCTGCTGAAATTTGGCAATATTATTGATTGTATCAAGAGGTTAATTTGTTCATTTTTGTTTTCCAATGCACTTTTGATCTTTTTTAGCGCAGTAATTAATAAACCAATTTGTCCAGTGACCTTCAATAAAACGTTGTTTTTTTCTCGAACACGAAGTGAGATACGAAAAAATACAAGAGGCAAAAAAGTTGTACTTTAGATGCAAATAATAAAGTTACATTTTTTGCCAATAATATTCACTAAGATTTTTTTTAAATTTATCACCCTGTGTATAGGTAGAAATGCGTGAATAAGATCACTTATTAAGATTATAAAATTCTGGACCGATGAGGCTTGTTATTATGTATTGAAACACATAGATATGCGTTACAATTTTTTTTTTAACCTGGACGGATAAAAATGTGGACAAATTAATGAAATTATCAAAAACCTACAAATGGTGATGAATTTTCTCTGAAATGTAGTAAAAGTTCTATAATAATTCACTATTTTTCCAGGAAATACTAGCGATAAAATTTTATACCCGAGGACGGAGGGATCATCATTCCCAATATCTAGGAACCAATACCGAAGAGGATCTTTGCGATTTTGGTGTTCCAATAGACGTTTAAGAAGGTCGGCTTCCACCAGAACAATCGCAAAACACCATACAGACACAAGCAGCAGTACTGAATCTCCTAAAAGTGGAAATTCGACACCCACTCCAAGTAAGATGATTGTCTTCTTAAAGTCAATTTTACTTAAAACTATAATTTTTTGTTACTTTTATTTCGATTCTCTTCTATATACATATATTAAACAGAAGTCAAATATACAGGGGTTTTCCTTTACACGACGTGTTGATCTTGAAAACATAAGCAATTTTTCTTAGTACCATATACACCAATGTCTTAAGGGAACCGAGATAAAGGGCTCTGCAATATCAAAAATATCTTAATACCGTCCTGTAGCCGCGACATCACCGACTGGTACAAGGTCACTGGCTCAACCCGACGAGAGAACTGGGTCGGGGTCAGTGTGTCAGGTCAGTATGCAACCTTCAACCGACGGTTACGGTCACGCGTGTAGAGGTAATCGCGTAGACGAGAATCCCTCAACAAGCACTAGAGACGTGGCTAGAGAAGTGCAAGTATCAAAAACTAAAGTGTGGCAAACGCTGCGTGAAGAGGGGCTGTATCCGTTTCACGTCCAACGTGTACAAGCCCTTCAACCTGACGATTTTCCAGCAAGAGTGCGGTTTTGTGAGTGGTCATCAACATGACAATAATCCGGACTTTTTGAAGTGCATATTGGTGACAGACGAATCTACGTTCACGCGTAATGGGGTGAATAACTTTCGCAACACTCATGTTTGGTCAGTAGAAAATCCGCACGCTGTCCGTCGGGCACATTTTCAACAAACATTTTCGGTGAATGTTTGGGCTGGCATGGTGAACGGTATGCTCATTGGACCATTTATTCTCCCAAATCGATTGGACGGGATGCAATACCTTGACTTTTTACGCAACATTTTGCCTTCCTTGTTAGAAGATGTGCCATTAAGTGTAAGACAATCAATGTGGTTTCTGCGTCTGCTCGGTAGCGCTTCAGCTGATTTCATTTTCTGTTGGAGCGGTATGATTTCGGGCAGAGACGTACTTAGCCCTTCTCGTCAACTGGAGAGTGAGTACTTTTTCCTTTATTTTTTTTTACTTGGTCGCCCTCGTTTCACTACACATTACATTTGTTATTTCAAGGGTAGTTGTTTCTGAAAAGGAAAACCCCAACTTTGCGGACACCCTGTATATACAGGGTGCTCATTTTAAAAATTCCCACCATTTGTCCTCCAGGGTCATTCTCTTAAAAAAATTAACTGACTAGTGGTATCGAATAATAGCTTGTTTGTAAGGTCTTTGATTTTTTGAAATCAGTCTATTCGTTTTCGAGAAAATTAGAAAAATCTTTATTTATCTTAATTTGTTCAGATAGAAAACAAAAACACGAAAATATCACTTTTTATTTCAATAAGTGTTCAAAATGTTGCCCGTTAAGATTTTCCTAATCTGCATACAAAACGGAAACTACTAACATAAACAGCAATTCGGAAGATTAGACGTAGCAACAACCAAATAACAACCCGAATTTTTTCCGCATTCTTTTTAGTCAAGTCCCCCGACATCATGTGCGACGTTTAAATCGGTGTATTCAGGTTGGAGGAAGAAATTTTGAATAATTGTTGTGATGATATTATGTACAAAAGACAAAAATTAAATGCATTAAATCCTATTTAGGCAATTCATATTCTTTCTAAATTTAAACGCGTCTTAGTGCCGTAGTGACACTTTTCCGGATATGGCTCCCTATACTCAAATGTTTTCTACTCTTACACTGACTAATCCCCACAAGTTGTATCCCATAGTTCTGAAACACCCTGTATAGAAATGATAAAATTAAATGGATAGTGAATGTATAAACTTTTTCTTTTACCGCTTCCCAGTAAAGAAAATCAAATGGATTTAAATCCGGTGAACGGGCTGGTCATTTCTGAAGTTTTTAAATTTCAGCTTATGACAAACGAATTTAGTAAAATATCACAAGTAGCACAACCAGGTGTGAAACTCCATTTTTGCAAATTTTACAATTTTAAACATATGCATCGAAATACGCTGATAGAGGGTCATTTCCAGTTAGAACAGCTATACAGGGTGTTTCACTTTATTGTTGCATAACTTTAAGATTCGATAGAACTTTTAAAATTAATGCATAAAGTCTATATAAACATGGGTCGAAAAATGAGTGGCTTCCGAAATACAGGGTGTTTAAATTTACTTTCTAAAATAGTTTTTTTTAAATATTTTGAACAATATTTGATGTATAACAGTGAAAATTGGTATGCAAGGGTTTTTTGGTACGACAAAACGAACCATGGCCATAGTTTTACTGTAGCCGCTAGAGGGCGCTCTCTACTGTACCTTTAGTGTATTAAAATGACCGAAAAAATTTTCGCACTTTTCAACATAAAAAGCTCTCCTGTGAGTTTTCGTTATAGTTAGCCGTTTTTGAGATATTTCGATTTTTAAGGTTCGATGCATTTTTAATTAATAAAATAATATTTTTTTTACAATTTCGATTTGGGCATTACAAGTAATTAAGATGATCGTTTAGATTGTGTTTTTAAACACAGCAATAATTCCTAACTCCAAATAAACACAAAAAACAGAATATTAATTTGTTTAATTTTCCAATATTATTTTTAACAAATTAAATTAATTATTTACAACTAAAATGCTATTGGATAGTTAGGACAAAAATACAAAATCTAAAGTAGTTGCTCGAAATGTAAACCCAATTGTTCAATACACAATTCACATCTACGAATGATCGAACGTGGTATAGCATTATTCAAATAAGGCCTTATTTAATCACATGCATTCCTGATTCTGTCTATTAGCATATCTCTTGTGGTTACGGGAGTCTGGTACAATTTTTCTTTTAGAAATCCCCACACAAAGAAATCTAATGGATTTAGGTCAGGGGATCGTGGAGGCCAGGCGACTGGTCCTCCACGGCCGATCCATCTTTCTGGATAATTTTCATCCAGCCAGTTTCTAACTATTCTCGAATAATGAGCTGGACAACCATCAAGCTCGAAACAGGCCAATCATCTTAAATCTAACATAACATCATCCCACATATTTGCATGTTCAGCCTTTAAAAATTCCAAGAAGGTCGCAGCATTTAACCTTGCAGGCAAAAGGTAGGGTCCAAATAGTCGATTACGGTAGATACCAATCCACACGTTCACACTAAATTCATGCTGAAAATTTCTTTCCCGAACTGCATGCGGATTTTCATGCGACCAAATATGTTGATTATGAAAATTTACCACTCCACCTCTAGTGAACCATGACTCATCGGTCCATAAAACGTTACTTAAAAACTCCCTATTATTATCAGTTCTATCAAGAATCCACTGAAAAAATGTGATTCTTCGTTCTCCGTCCTTGCACAGGTTGCAAATGGTAAGGACGTCTATGATCATTTCTAAGAACTCGGTGAACATAACTTGCTGAAATTCCCAAGGCACCAGAAAACTCTCCTAACACTTGGGGTCGGATCTCTATCAAACTCACGCAGAATCATACGGGTAAATCTGCGCTAAACGAACATTTATGTTTTGATCCCTTTGGAGATTTCCAAAACCATTTTCAATTATTTGGCGATGCACTCTTACAAATACTGAGCGAGTTGGATGTCGTCTGTTTGGAAATCTTCGTGCGTATTCTCTTGGCTGCTTCTGCTGCGTTTCCATTTACAAATCCATACACAAAATGAGTATCCGCTAACTCTTGATTGGAGAATGAAAATGGCTTTTTTATAAAACTTACAAAAAAAAAACAGGTAAAAGAAACTAAATTTCGTGCATTCACAATTGCAAAAAAACGTTTCAGGTTTCAACATACAACAAAACTAACTGTCAACTAATTGACGTTTAACCTTATTCTGCTTTCAATTTCAAAAATATTTGCAGGCACAGCCCACTTCTAAAAATTATCGAGATACTGACTTTTTAACGTTATTTTATCATAAATAATTAAAAATGCATCGAACCTTAAAAATCGAAATATCTCAAAAACGGCTAACTACATATATAACGAAAATTCACAAGAGAGCTTTTTTATGTTGAAAAGTGCGAAGAATCTTCTTATTCAAAAAGCAAAAAATTGCACTAAGAAAAAATGTTCGGTCATTTTAATACACTACAGGTACAGTAGAGACCGCCCTCTAGCGGCTACAGTAAAACTATGGTTCGTTTTGTCGTACCAAAAAACCCTTCTATACCAATTTTCACTGTTATACATCAAATATTGTTCGAAATATTTAAAAAAAACTAGTTTAGAAAGTAAATTTAAACACCCTGTATTTCGGAAACCACGCATTTTTCGACCCATGTTTATATGCACTTTATGCATTAATTTTAAAAGTTCTATCGAATCTTAAAGTTATGCAACAATAAATTGAAACACCCTGTATATGTCATCCGACTATGCACGGTTTATCAAGATTTTTTTAGAAAATCGCTACTTCTGAGACTGTACGATTTTTATGAAGTTATCTTTTGTTCTGGCGAAATAACACAGCACAAAGTGACTTCCACTATCAACATCAACCAGATAATGTTAATTTAGTTAGACCTCAAGGAAACATATTATATTTTACTTAAGATACGAGTATTTGATAACATTTTTATTTTGAGCCATTTCAATTTGCTAAGCATTTGTCTAATTAGGACTATATTTATCTTTATTCAGTATTATTCTCTTGCGCTTGTTGTGTTAAATATAGAATAGGCGAACAGTACAAGAACTTTGGAAGAATGATAATACAGGGTGGACCAGAAAGACATACGAATTTCAAAACCGCATTGCTCGTGACAGTAGTTATTTTCAAAAAATAAAATTCCCATGTGTCTACTTTATAAAAAATATAAATTATCTTCCTTACGCTTTGTAGCTTTTTGCCTATGATTTTTTAAAGTCCGCTCAACTGAATGACCCACCCTGTATTATAGATAATTTTTCTACTATATGACATCCACAAACTCTCAATAGATATCCCACTTTACTACGTGCTTTTTCGCATAATGAATATCAAAATTTAATTGGATCAATTTAATTTTCTACGAATTCAGTATTATATTTAGATAGTGATTTTTTCTTTGTATCAATGGAATATCAGAGTTAGAAAAATATGGAAATAAACTATTCCAAACGTTGCAGTTTCTCATTTTTATAATCCTTATTTTGCAGAAAAGAAGTCTCTATTGTCGAAATTATTTCGGAGATCAAAACCTTCACAGTGCCAAATAGAAGAATGCGTCGATAGGCAGTTTCCCCCATCCGAATGGTTCAATTCCAAAGCTGTTCATCTGCAAAGTGTCGGCACGCAGACGTCACCATTGGATAAGGTACGCAAGAAATATATTCACAGTTTCTCAATGCATATTTACGAAGGCTGTTCCAAAAATAAGGTTTTTTTTTTTGAGGCACAAGCAATTTTTCATTTGAAAAAAACGGATTCACCATTGGAAACGTGCTATTTTTCTCCATAGTCGCCATTTTTTCTACACATTTTTTTTTTCTAAATCCATTTCCACCTTCCAGCAACATTTGAATTGATGTTTCTAGAGAATATTTTTCCTAAATCCAGCTTGATTTTTCATCAAAATTTTGTTTTTTTCAATGAATTTAATGATTTTGTCTGGACAAGCTGAGGAATTCTTTAGCGAAGTCTTTGAGAGTACAATTTACATCATTCGTAATATTTCATTTCAGGAGCTGGCGCTTCATTCGAGCAACGACCTTGAAGGAACCAGCGCTGGATTCTCCAGGTCTGTGACCCTCCCCAGAAACTTCAGACGACAACTAGTGAACGATACAAGCACTGGTTCCAGGGAGAGCTCTCCGATATCTCGGTATCAAGAAAAACCACTGTATAGAAACAAATCTCTACATAGAAAAAACAGCAGAGCAGGATCGGGTAGACCTCCGCCTCATGGGTCAACGGACTCCAAAACCAAGCAGAAGAAACTACCAGATCGGACGACCCCCACAATGTTAAAACAGAAACTAAAATCATCTCCATCTCCTCCCGTCAGCGAGAAAACCACCTCGAGCACAACAGAATCCCTCAGTACGAAAGAATCCCCCGATTTAAAGTCCCAGAAGACTCTTGTGAATAAAAATCTGGCCGATTCTCAAAAAATCAATTTTACGTCGATAAAAAACCGTTGTAGCACTGACATCGATCCAAAACGTAATCAAAGTCAGGCTAAAGGAGCTGGAACGTCTCTGTCCCACAGTAATTCGTTTACTTTAGAAGTAACGACGAGTCAAGCAGGGTTGAACATAAACAAAGCCAATGCTACTATCATAAATGGAAGCAATAAAACGAATACAAAGATATTCGTACAAAACTCGCCTGTGAGGTCAGTTTTTACTTTCGAGAATGGCCAAACTGAGGCCAATCCAAACATTGTTATAATCAACGATACGGTCGAAAAATCCAGTACAGACACCTTAAACGAAACCGATCTTAAGACATCGAAAAATACGAACCAATGTAAAGAGTCGTTCAAGAACTTGAATAACTATAATGACCCCACAGCAAAATGCGAAAACATGAACAACAATCGGAAGCTGTCGCTTCAGAAAGACGGCTTAAACTATAACAACTTGATAAAAAACATAGCACCGGTGTCGAACAACCACTTCATATCTAATTCCAACCCTGACTCTTTGATACCAAATACCCTCGAGGAGTTTTCGAAACGTCCGTTGGAAAAATACAACAAAATTGACTCGTCTTTGGAAAAGCTGTATCTTGTAGATGACGACACGAACCTGCCCAAGAAGGATATGATTGGCTCGGAGCCAAATATATGTCTAAAAGACCGATCATTTGCGAGAACGTTTTCCGTGGATAATAGTCTTGGGGATTTGAACTTCAACTTCAAGAGCTTGGCTGCTCAAAAGATTCTAAAAGGCATGAGTGTAAATAGTGTTGATACTAGCTGAACCATATTTATTTTACGTTGTCCAGTTGAGTTTCACGTTCCACTACCAGCTGGTTTCCATTGTGGGCTTTCCATTTTACTTATGCGCTTGTTGTGGTACAGGGTGTCCCCCTTTAACTTTTTCATATGAATGGTAGGACTAACGAAGCCCTTCGATTGATAAGAGTTTTCCCCGGCTATCCAATGATGACCTTGATTTGATCTTCAAGGTCATTAGAGAGTCAATTCGATCTTTTACCCCGCGAAAAAGAGTGGAAAATCTTACTTTCAAATATAAATATAATATTGTTAAATTTTGACCATGGTCAAGGTCAAACCCTACGGTGATATAAGCCAGTAGTCGTATGAGAAAACTACAATTACATTATTTTCATAATTTTCCCCGGATATCCTATAGTGACCTTAGATCTAACCTCGCAAAAATCGGTGCGAAAATGGAGAAAAGAGAAAATTTTATGTTCGAGTATGTCTTTGAACCATTTTTAGAATTTAACCTTGGACTTGACCATCAAGGTCAATCGCAGGTTTCTTGATAATTCAGAAAATTGTGTAATACCCAGATTAACTCCACTGTTCTTTCAGGATTGTTCCCCGACTTGACCACATGACCTTCAAGGTCATTTGAAGATCAAATTGATTTTTACAATTAGAACCCCCATTTTTGACCCCGTACTTAAATGCAAAGTGCGGAAAGTAGTCGTATAGTGGAACTACAAAGTCATTATTTTCATGATTTCCCCCGGATATCCATTCATGATATTGGATCTGACCTTGGCCATGACTTTCATGGTCAACTATTTTTTATTGGATCCTATATTTTTGACTGCGAAAACCGGCGCGAAAATGGAGAAAAGGGAAAACTTTATGTTTGAGTATGTACTTGACCATTTCTAGAACTCGACCTTGGAATTGAATATCAAGGTCAAACCAGGCTTGCACAAATTCCTTGATAACTGTTATCCCCAGATAGACTGGCTTCACTGCTATTTTAGAATTGTTCAAGAATCGACTTGACCACATGACCTTCAAGGTCATTTGAAGGTCAATTCAATTTTTTTTTAATGGAGCGCTATTTTTTGAACCCTTAAATGGAAAAATCTACGTTCAAATATGCTCTTGACCATTCTTAAATTTTGATCCTGGTCAAGGTCAAACCCAGGTTCAGTGATCATCAGTCATTATTTTCATGATTTTCTCGGGATATCCATTAGTGACTTTGGATCTAAGCTTGGCCATGACTTTAAAGGTCATTTGAAGGTCATCTATTTTTTATATCCTTTATTTTATTTACCGCGAAAATCGAGGCGAAAATGGACAACTGGGAAAATTTCAAGTTTGAAGATGCCATCCTGTAGAACTTGGACTTGCTGATCAAGGTCAAATACAAGGTTATTTCTGGATAATCCAGAAAACTGTGCAATCTCGAGATTAACTTCACTCTTCTTTCAGGATTGGCTACAAAAATCAACTTGAACACATGACCTTCAAGGTCATTTGAAGGTTAAATCGATTTTTTTAAAGAACCATTTTTGACCCCGTAAATGAAAAGAGCGGAAAATTTTACGTTTAAATATGGTCTTGACAATTCTGACATTTTGACCATGGTCAAGGTCAAACCCAGGTACGGTGATATAACTTGAAAGCCACTAGTCGTATAGGGGAACTGAAGGTCAACTTTTTCGTATGGGACCCTAGATTTGTGACCGCGAAAATCGGGGCGAAAATGGAGAAAAAGGGAAATTTTATATTCGGATATGTCCTTGACCATTTTTAGGACTTGACCATCAAGGTCAAACACAGGTTTCCCTTAATTTCTTGAACACTTAGAAAACTGTGTAATTCCCAGATGACTTCTTTGTTCCCTGGTTGCAAAAATCGACTTGACCTTCATATGACTTTTAAGATCATCAAGGTTAAGGTCATATCCAAGGTCATTATTGAATATACGTCCACAAGCTTTCAAGTTATATTAGCGTACCTGGATTTGACCTAAGGTTAAAATTTAACAATGGTCTAGACAATATTTGAACGTAAAATTTTCAGATCTTTCCATTTACGAGGTCAAAAATGGAGAACTCGATTTAAAAAAATCGATTTGACCTTCATATGACCGTCTTTCATGCATCCATTCCATTACCCTGAATTTCAGCTTTCTAATCTAACTCACCCAGAAGTAGGTTGAGGGGGACTCTTTAGAAAAGTATTGAATGTCAACCATGCCACATGGAAAAAGGCTGGTGTGAAGACGGCCATATTTAGAAATGTCAATGGTTTTAATTATTATTGAATAATCATACATCTGGCACATACTTTGCAGAAATTCTATATTTAAGCTATTGAAGTCTTTTGCAAACTTTTGAAGGAAAGTTTGCAGTAAGACTGTAACACGTTTAAATGTACGGGCAAACCGTACAAGTATATGTCGTATATATATTGTAATTAACTTACATAGGTACATATTTTATTAATGTGAACAATAAAGGACTTTTAACTTTTTTACAAGCGTTTAACTTGACCTGTGTGTATGTAGGTAATTTTATAAAATAACTTCCAAACCTAACCAAATGACTCGAGCGAGTTCAGACTTGTACTGAAGGCGGATCACATGTTCCCATGTCTCCTCTCCTAGCCCGGTGCATCCAGTGTTGCCAGATCCCACGCTCCATTGCCAGTGTCATCACTTTATTTACAGAACTTGAATGTTTGAAAGTTAGGAAACCTCCTTGTTTCTCACTGGCAATTTTATTTGCCAGGACTGCGAGCGGGAGTAGTCATTTATCGGCGGATGGATTAAAAATAAACAGGAGGTTGCAATTTTAATTTGCACATAATGAATGTACATATATCAAGAGGATAATCAATAATAGATAATATAAAGAGAAAACAGAATTATATTCTTTTAAAAATACAAATACTAACAACACTGCCCTCCTTGCCTCCAAATTTGAATGTAGGTGTAGGAACCACCTGATGCAACTGGAAATGCTCCTTAAAATGTTCCACTAATTCACTCTGTGTCCAATTACAAGATGTTATTATGAAAAAACTGTCCTTATTCATTATATTCTTCACATTCACAATGTACTTTTGCCTATTTTCTTTTGCATTCTCACTCAAACTGATTGCATCATACGTTCCTTTGTCATGAATGACTTTATAAGTGCCTTCTAGATCATCCAGAATGTCAGCCTGTTTGTATGTGATATTGTAACCTGGAAATTGTAAGAGCTCAGAAATTGCTATAGAAATTTTGAATATTCCTCAACCCAGGGCATATACACAAGAAAGGGAGGTTGTTGCATCCTATATGTGGACTGTCCCTCTAGCTCCCACATATTGTACAAAAAAAAAACTTCACACACCCCCTCTTAACAGTAGGTCATCACAAAGATGGATGAAGTCTTGGTCATAAAAGAAAAGAGGAGCTTTCTGTCTCTTATGGCCTGAAGTCACTGAAATGGAATCCACTAGCTAGAAAAACTTGTCACCTATTATTAATCAACTTGATTATTTTTTCCTTCTTGAGTGAAATACAAATATGTTTGTCTGCCTATTCTTACCTTTCGCAGTGGCAATGTTTCTCGAAAGCTCAACAGCTTTTTCACTGTAATCAACGCCGAGGAGGTTAGAATATCCTTCATTCGAAAGATCTATGAGAAACATTCCATTTCCACATCCAAGGTCAATAATGCTACTGTCTTTTGCAATTTCAGGTGTCTTACATATCCATCTCAGAATTCTTTCAACTGTGTCATCCCCAAACCTAATCAGGAAATTCAAGTCAAATCCAAGACCACCAAAAGCTTTATTTGGGTTCAGATACCATAAAACTTTATCTAGCTCTAATCATCAAAGGTCATTAACATAAAATTGCCAACCTGCTGTAAATGTGTTTATATTCAATTCTAAGAGAAAGTTCAAAAATAAAAATACTTGACCAACATTACGTACCAAAAAAAAACATGTCTACAAAGATATAGTATAATATAGTTTGTTTTATTTAATATCATAAACTACATAACCAAGAGCAAACCAAAAGACCCTTGATAGCCCCATAACTAGCTTTGGCATGTTTATCTGTAAATGAACTTCAATATCGGCTGGATTTGAACCAGAACTTTATTGAGGTATTGAAAACGTAAGAGAATAAAATTAATCAAATGGGAATTATTCTATCATGGAGCAAAGTAAGACTAACCAAATTTCTCCAGCATCACCATGAGCTGAATAGTTAGCTATTTCCGTTTCATAGCGATGATTCCAATATTCGTGCGTGCCTAATTCAGATGGCTCCAATTCTTCCATTTTACACACCACAAGACATAAATCCACTATTCGTCGAGTTGAAATACCACCAACCCAGACGTTTCCAATCTGTTCATACACAACTTTGAACACTTTTATATTATATTTATAAGCCTACGACTGTTTATAAAAAACAAAGAAAATCGAGTAAACCATTACGTTCGGAATCCATGCAGCTCCAAAATCCAGTGAGTTGCCTCCAAATTTTATTCGAAAACCAAACTTTCATCAAACATTTATGAAAAGTGGGTTTTGTTGAGGTTAGGTTAGTTAGTTTGTTTACATTTTTTTTGAAACTGTCATCTGTCAACTTTGACTTGGAATAGGGTGGTACAAGAATTTGCCAAACTGCCATTAGGGATGGCAATTTGTTAGAAGACATCGATGTTTGGACATCGACAAACAACGCCATCGTAACATCGTAAGCAACTCTTCTTTTTAACGTTTTCTGCTTTCAATTCAGCAACCAATTCATGGATTGCTATCGGTTTTAGCGGAATGGTGATTTTATCCGTTGGTGGACTTCCACGGCGTTTTTTTTTCCGATTTCAGAACCATTAAGTAAGAATGAAAAACGCGACAGCAACTTCACGATAGGATACCAACTGTAATATATTTCAGTAAAAAATTATGATTATAGGAAACTGCAGAATATGAGATTGTCAAAATTAAGAACACATTGATGATCATTAAATACTTTACTCTGTATAAAAGTTGAAGAGTGTTTTTTAAAGTACTTCCACACATCACTTTTTCGTGGCATTTCGATTAATTAACAATAAAAGAGCGACACTACTACTACATACGATAAAATAATCAGAAGAACCTGAAATCATTAAATGCGTAAATGCGCCGTTTTCAGTTTTTTTTTTATATCCCTTGAGGAAGTACAGAATACAGAAAAGACTACAGTCCATGTCACGGCTGAAATGATAATATATAGAGATACTACTAAACAGCTTTCTAGGCTTGCAATTTAGAAGCTACCAGTCCTCGCTTGGACATGGTAGCACAGTTAAGGGTATAACTCGGGGTATGCCGATGTTTATAATCCTTTCGATGTCGATATATCGTCATAAAACCATCGATACCTAAACATCGATGTTCTACGTCCGATGTATCGATGTTTTTGATACATCGATGTATCGTTGCCATCCCTTACTGCTATTCTCTAATGATGTTCCGTGATTTTATTCCCTTCAACGTTGCCGGATGTTGCAATACAGGTAATTTTCTGAAGAATTTTTATAAAATAGAGGAAATCGGACTGTAAGCTCACGTAACAGCAGTCAAGCGTAAATGGGAGAAAGGGGATGGAGAAAAGCTAGATTTGATAAATATCTGATAGGAAAAGACAGAGTTGACAGAAAGGTAACCTTTTTTGGCTCAACCAAGTCAAGCAATAAGAAAACTAAAGATTGTCTGTTTTTAGTTGAATATTGAATACAAATTCAGGTGACACAGCTTCAAGTTCAAGGGCAACCAATAAAGAAGCCAATATTTTTTCAAAAAACATGTCCTCAAAAAACTTGCGCTGTGTGCACGCGCAAAAAATATACTTTTTTCGTAAATGGCGCTACGTGACGCAAAGGCACACCACCGAATTGAATCTACAGAATTCCAACCGATTTCGCCTTTTTCGGTTCGGCAACACTGAAAGCAATTGTCATTTGTGTTAGCTGTCGAATTGCTCTGAGTAGGCGTACTTTTCCGTGTATGTTTTATTAGCGTCGCCATACGAGAGAATTTTTCTCCAAATTCGGAGGATTTTCACTTCTCCTAGGGGATTTAAGGGCAAATAATGTTCTGGAGGGAAAATAAAGCCTTTGGTTATTTTATTCCATTTTTAACTGAAAAAAAGGTCCACTTCTGAACAACAATTTATTCTTTCTATTACATTTCCTTTCCTCATGATGGCAAATGGAAACTATCTCGACAAAACACCTTGAATGTCAGTTGTAAGTTGGTGGTTGGATCCACAATTATAGGGTGATTATAGGACAGAAAAACAAAATAGTATGTGATCTATAGTCAACGCCAAACAAAGTGGCGTGCACGTCATCACGATAAAAATTCCCCGACCTAATGCCTAGGTTTCTATCACAAACAATTGCTCTATTGCAGTTTCATATTAATGTGATATATAAATTGTAAAATGGTCATTACTCTCTTATTATGGTTAATAGTCATATAAACATTGTTATTAAAATATCACATAAGTTGCTTTCTGATAAATTTAGACGCATTATGCGAAATAAAATGTTTTGCAAACGCTCCAATCACTTATCGACATGTAAACGCACTAAACCGATTTCGCAGCGTTGACACATTGTCACCTTGAAACTTATTTAAACTGGGAACTGACATTTGTATTAATTTTGACACTGAATCAATTTGTGGCATTTCAAATCTTTATAAATCCTTTGGCCCCGCATACTGTAAATCAACAACTGTTTGTTTCAAAACAAAATTATTCGTTTTACGAGTAGATAAAGGCAATTTTGGTATATAAAGATGCCCAAACAGTTAAATAGTCGGTGTAAGGAACTCGTGGCCTCGTTAATGCACTACTTTGAGCAAGAAAGGGACAACAACGGGCCTTTGTTGCCTTTAAATGCTGTTCAAGAGGTAGGTTACTAATAATTATATGTAATGTATATTAATAATAGTGAAATTTTATTTCATTTTTTGTAGCGTGTTGCTGCTGCTTTAAAAATTAGTTTAAGGACAGTTAGTCGTATTTCCGAGGGTGTGAAAAGTGATGCAAATTTAGAATCGCCCAAGAAATATTAAACGTGTAACCAACACAGCGACATTGGATACAAGTGCCATTCGAGAGGTGATCTATAATATGTATCACAAAAGTAAGATCTTATTATAATAACTTATCAGAAATTTGCATTAATTTGTTAACTAAATTATAATGTCATATTACACATGGTTTCAGAAGTTACAAACTTTATGGTCTCGATTAAGAGATAGGGCATTATTTGATGGTAGTGCCACGTCTTTAAGGCGGTTACTTAGAGATCTTGGATTTAAGTGGCTTAAGGACAATCCGCGACGAGGGCTCATGGAACTACCAAGTATAGCTTTGAAAAGGGTGGAATTTCTAAGGCAATACAATCAAGCCAAGGTTGAGGCCATATACCAGTTTGTCTTCCTCGATGAAACTTGGATATTTCAAAATGGGACCATAGGTCGCTCTTGGCAAAATGGAAACCAAAAAAGCGTGAAAGCTATTAAAACAGATGGTAAAAGGTATGTACTTTTACACAATTTGCACTATAAAATTTAAAACTAATATATTTTAGATACATTATATTACATGCTGGAAATGAAAATGGGTTTATTGAGGGTAGTGAAGCGATATTTTCTTCGAAAACAAAATTGAGCGATTACCATGGAGAGATGAACCAGGACAATTTTTTGAAATGGTTTCAACATCAGTTATTAGAAAAATTGGAGAGTCCATCTATGATTATACTGGATAACGCCCCTTATCACAGCATGATATTGAACAAAGTGCCCAACAATGCATGGACAAAAAAAAATATCCAAGACTGGTTGACAAATCAAAACATACCATTTTTAAACACAATGTTTAAAACAGAGCTATTGAGTATTGTTGCTCGGTACATAATGCTTCTTAATTATATATATTTTGGTAGACAGTTTATATTTCTTTTGTTTATTCCTATTCTTAAAATAACTGCTTTTTTAGAAACAAACCACCTAAAATATACGTGATTGATGAATTGGCGGAACAACATGGGCACAAAGTTCTTCGTCTGCCTCCTTACCATTGTATATTTAACCCTATTGAGTTAATTTGGGGCATAGCAAAAGGTTACTATAACAGACATATTGGTAGAGATGGTAACAGTGAAAAAGACTGTTTGGATATGTGGAACGAGGCTCTACAAACGGTTACCCCAGACATGTGGAAAAATAGTGTTCGACATACTGAGCAAGAAATTTTTAAATGGTATGAAAGAGAACGAATTTTTGATCGGCCAGACATCGAACCTTTAATAATCAACTTTGAGAGTGATGAAGATTCAGATTCAGACAGCGCTGAAGAAAGAAACTCCGACTAACTTTATTGTACAGAAAAAGCTTACACCAGTAGCTTACCTAATTTTAGAATGCATTTTTCCGTAGGAATTCTGTAAAATAAATACCATGCATAAAATTTGGAGGACCCCATTTGGATTTTTATTCAGTACCTTTAAGCTATCAATTAAATATGGTAGTTTCATAGTGTCATCTGATCAATAATTGTCATACTTAATGATTATGCAAGTACAGATCTATAATTTTATTATACTATTATTTTTGTTCTCATTTGAGGTTAATAATGCTTATAAACCTAGATATGTAAATAATAAATTTTATTATTTTACAAAAAGTTTGGCAACAATGTAAATTTTTCAACACACCCACCTTGATGACGTGCACGCCACTTTGTTTGGCGTTGACTATAGCTATTTTTTTCTCGGAAGAAAGTTTTACTAGATGATCTCTCGCGATATTGCACCGATTGTATTCCATGCACAAATGTGTCCAAATGGCTAAGGGGCTGGTCGTTTTGCGTTATATGCGCAAAATCAAACACAAACGATAATCGAAAAAATAGCAAAAAAACTTAATACAAAACACAAGTACTAAAATGTCAAAATTTACGTCAATCTTTCAAATCCCATCACAAATCAACAAATTTTTAGCACAGAACTAGCCCTTGTGGCAATATTGCCAATAAATGTATTAATTCTAAGAAATGTCGCTATATTCCAAGCTTGCCAACATGACCAAAAGTCGACGTTTATAAACCCAGAGTTAAACCTTGACGGTGGAAAGCTACTTGAATTTAACCTGGGGTTATCGCTAACTCCGAGTTAAGTAACCCTCACCTTTAACCCAAAGCGGAGCAAACCACCGTGAGGGAATTCTGTCTAAACCATCTGGCAACACTGTGTTTTGTGTTGTGATTGCTTGGATTTATGTGTTTTGTGGATTGCCTGGATTTATGTGTTTTGTGGATTGCTTGTTTGCCGGCAATGGGGGATGAGACGTTTTGTAAATTTCTTGTTACTTATGAAACATTTAAAAAGATTGTGACTAATATCTGATTGCACCTGCTCTGTTTCTGTTAGTGACAACCTCCAATAAAATAGCACGTCCAGAGTCATGGCAACGGGTATGTATACTAAAGGATACATAGAGTTTAGTGCCATCCATCAAAAACATTGTGTTCTAGATTTGAACGAAGCCAGGAAAAACTTGGACGAAGTTTTAAGCGATGATTTACGCAAGGAGTACTTCGCTTTGCTGCGAAAATGGCTTTCTTTCACCTCTAACATGGACAATGACGAATTCAACGAGGCCGTAAAGAAAATATTGGTTACCAATGAACAAATTCAATGCCACAACAAATACATGTACTATATCTTGTACAAAGTCAATTCAAGTAGGACCAAGGCAGCTTGTGCAGTGAATGACAGGTACACATTATATTAAAGATAATTGCGGCACACAAAATCATTTGTTACTGCTTTTAAACCCTATGATACTTTCCCGTAACCAGCTGAACGAAAAGGATCTGTTTTGCACACTTGTCATTTATCTGGACCCCTCATGCTAGTCTATTCATGTTTTGGAAGGAATATCATGATCAATATTCTGCTATGGCAAATTGTGTAGTTTTAGGGCCATATCGTCAGTAATGTTCCTAGAATTGTAGGGCACTTTAACAGCCTTATCTTAACTTCAGAAAGGCTGGGGATTTCTAGATTTTTGCTGCTCCATGTCATCATCAGCACCCTCCTATTGTGAGGCTATGTTTTCTTTTGAATTGTAGAAAAGTTCAGGCTGGTATAACTGATGATATAAATCAAAAGTATTTACAATTTGATGCAAATAGTTATTCGTAACATAACCTCAGAATAGAGCACTGACACAGAACAGTAGAAAATGAAGGAGGCCATACACTCTATTTTGAGGTTATGTTACAAATATGTACAGTAATGGAAAAAAGTATATAGACAAATATGAATATTTACCTAAATACCTTTAGAAAACGAATTAATACTTCATTGCTCCATAAACAAATGCATTATTAGTAGAGAAACTAAATTCCTTGTTTTTACATTATCTGCAACGAACACAATACAAGTCTGAATATCAGCACTTTTTATGAGGGACAAAAGTATAGACAAATTCTTTTCAACATTAGTTTAGTACAGTTTCGTGTCAGAAGAGGATTAGTTTGTGTTCATCAAGTATTGTGGAATAAGTTGAGTGATTTTAAGACCATGCCACGTGGTCCTGAAATTTCTTCAGATGTGAAAACTAAGATCATTTAGTTATACAAAGATGGTCAACGGCATTGCCAAAAATTTGAAGGTGAAGCGTAAAGCAGTTTATCTATGTATCTAATAATTTCATTCTATGCAGACCTCCAAGCCTGTTCGAGCAAGCTGAACCCAAGACTGAACCGCAGTGTGAGTATGTTTCAGTACCCAGTCCGACCACCACCTCGATGCCGAGCAGTTCGATGCCTGTGAATGTCGATTATGAGATCCGCAGTGCTGCTGCTGAACTTTTTGTGCCGGACAGTGGCTTCATGACCAGTCGGATTTCAGTGGCAGCTTGGATGAACGGAATGGAAGCTGCTGATCCAGCGTGTACGGATCTGTTGCTGCACGCATGCCAGGTAAAGATATTTGACCGAAATAATAGATACATAAAAAAGGTCTGGGGTGCTTCACATTATTATACACAAATTTTTAAAGAAACACAATTAAAAATTTTATATTAAATGCTAGTTGAATGCCCAACTAAATCCTTTGCAAATAATACAAAATTTATTCATAAAAACAATGAAAATACGAAAATTATTTTGTTATTTTTATATTATACTCAAAAAACAATAAATATCACATAGTAAAATGAACAAAAATGTAGCAAAATTTGATAAGTAACGTGAATGACGTATTTCTCGTGTTTCCGCAATATTATTACAAATTGATGTTGGGCATAAGTTAGGATTTTGAACCAATATTCTACTATTTCTTTTCAGGTATTCATAAAAAATATAATAACAGCTATGATTTCGAAGAAGAAAGGGTACAAGATAAGGGAACGGAAGTTGCAATATGGCTTTAATCAGCCAATTCCAGATCCATTGTTGAGAAACTATAATTCCTTGGAAGATTATTCCCAGGAGAATAAGGTAACATAACAAGCATTTGTAGTGGTTTTATATTATTTATTTAAATTAACATACCTCCAATTTAGAACAAAAAAACAACAGGTCATAATGTAGACAATAAGACATCAAAGTATTCAGGAAATACATAGGATTAGAACAACGCGCCTCAGAACCGGTGTCTCTCAGAGTTCTGTTCTTGGACCAATCCTTTATTCAGTTTTTATTCACTCTCTATGCTGATTACACTGTCCTGGTATCCGACACGTGCTCTAATCAAAATTACCCACTAGTTAACAATGAATAGGCATCCGTCAAATTGACGAAATTCTTTCTCTTCGCTCTGCTTCCTTGCTTTCTTCCCTTTTTTCCGTAACTTTATCTCTGAGCAACCAGATCAGACAGACCAGACTTACAATACTTCAACCAAGAGCAAAGATCCTACGGACCACTCTGACTGAAAATGACGAATAGAATTCAAAACGTATCAACAAAACATCTTATTGTTGTGGACCTATTCACTGTGGATCTCTTATTTCTACATAGGTGGAGGTGGAAGAAGACTGCGACTATTTCAAACCAATGTGCAAACTGTCACTGGAAAGAGCCGAACAACAGATGGCGTTCGCGTACACTTGTGCCGGGGGGAAAACCAGTAGCGACAACCTACTTACTACAAAACTGTTTTACAGTACCCTTAGAGATAATCCTAAACTGTTAGGGTCGCACTCTATACAAAGCGTCGCCTTGTTCAAATTGGGGCTGCACATTGACGATGAATAGTTTTTTAATATAAAGTAATAACAATAAATGCTGAGTTATAATGTCTGGAATCATGTTTCTACATCTACTATCATAATCACTTGGTTAATCAGACCTTCATTCTTATTCGCTTATTCCATTATTTATAGAAACAGTTTTTTACTAAACCTTCGGAAAATTTTTCTGAGTTATTTTAGGTAAATACCATAAGTGAGATAAGTGCCCTTTTTTCGTTATTTTTTAGCTCAAACTCGTCGCTTAAATATCATAAGCTCAAATCATATAATTAAAAATTTTGAAATTAAAATAATTACATCATTTAACAAAGTCCAACAACTTACGTTATAACTTTTGTACTTAACCCGTTATTAACTATAATAAATTTCATTAGTAGTAGCGTTACTACTTGCTACCTTAGGGTCGTATCGTCAGTCGTACAATTGTAGGGCGCCTTTATGACCTTGATTTTCCTGCGTGTTGACGTCCATTTAACCTTTTGTTGTCACCATAACCTTGGTCTTCAATTTGTATTTGAAAAAAAAAATAGGGATTTCTATTAAAAATGAATTTGACCTTGAAATGGCTTTAAAGGTGAGGATTAAGGTCAAATCCAAGATCAACGATCACTCGCTCATTAAAATTTCCTGATCTTGATAGTTGTTCTCATTACGAATCCTGTGAAATTTATAGAGGTTTTCCTAGCAGCACACATTTGACCTTTCGATGACAGCCTGACCTTGGACTTAAATTCGTATTTGAACGTAAAATTTTCAACTCTTTCGATTGTCGGTATCAAAAATAGGGATTTTTGTTCAAAAAATAAAGTTGAGTTTGAAATAACCTTGAAGGTGAAGGCCAAGGTCAAATCCAAGGCAGCGTTCACTTCTTCGTTAAAATTTACCGAAGACTTGACCTTGATAGTTATTCATTATATTTACAAAGGTTATCTTAGCAGCACACATTTGATCTTCGTTTGACCTTTAGTAGTCATCCTGACCTTGAACTTTAATTGAGTTTGAACCTAAAATTTTCTGTTCTTCCGATTGCCGGCAAAAACAGGGGTTTCTATTTGAAAAATAGAGTTGACCGTGTATTAACCTTGAAGGTGAAAGTCAAATTCAAGGTCACCGTTGAATTCCTTGAAAGTTACCTAAAATACAGAGCCGTACCGGGACTTTTGTGTCACTGTGTCCAATGTTAAGAATGGTAGTTTTGAAAAGAACATGATTCCAGATGTTATATTACATTTTCTTTAAACTGAAAGCATCAGATATTTGTCAAGATCCGACCCCGAAAAAGTCCAACTCCATTGAGTAGTCGACTTGGGGAAGTAACAGTCTTCTCACGAATAGCAATTTTACAGATAGTCAGTCAGATATCTCCGCGCCAAATGATCGTATCGAGATTTTAAAAACATATGATGACCTAACAGAAAAACAAATTTTTCAAGCCCGCAGATTGAAAAGAAGACAAAAGTTTTGCCAAGAATGCTTAGCCTAAGAAACCTGAAAACTGGAATCTTAAGGCTTCAAAGTTCTTTTTTTAACGACCACGTTTCACCAAAAAACAGCAAAAAACGAATTGCATCGTGAGATTACTGTACGGTTCGACGGAGCTCTGGCATTAAAAAACCTGTAATCCAATGTGTGAGGCGACCCGTGCAGAAGGATGAATGGTACCGGGGGTTGCTAAAACTCGGTACCTCGAACGGAGCCTCCGGGACACCGGGCGACATCCCGGAGTACTTAGCCTTGCGTCTGCGCAGGGGGCACCGCAGACGTTGACCAACCCTTTCCCCCGTACTCGTGGGAACTGATATGGATAAACAATTTTCAAACAAACAAACTGGGCATTGGGGGGGATCGAACACTAGCAACTACTCTACGGGGTGGCCACTAGCCACTGCAAACATCGCTCAGGGGTATGGTAGCACCTCTAAAATGACACCAGAACAGTGGGCTGTGGCGAGCACGTGCTATGCGGCGCAAAAACAGGCAGCCATAGAGACTTACTCAAAATATGATGACGCATCAACACCTGGTCCGGATGACAGGCAGAAGCAAAATTCCTCCAAGTTGTCCGGCGCTTTCAATACCAACATGCAAAATATGTCCCAACGAAAACCTCCGGAAGGGTACGGTACTGGCAGGACAAGTTACGGAGGAACCAAATTGAATACAACAGCATTCTCGGAACAGAGAAAGGGTTATGGAGACTCGGGAAGGCAATATGGAGCTGGTAGTTCAAACAAGTTCCCAGAAAGTTCCGCAGTCGGTACGAAGAGCATGTCGTACGGAAGTTCCATGCCAGCAAGAGAACTGGATAGGACGAATGTACCTTACGGCACATCTAAGTTTGCTTCTGAAGGTACTATGTCTTATGCTGATCCTATGCAGTCTTCTTCCATGTCTTACGGAGGTACACAGGGTAGGCACCAATTTTATCAGACACCTGCAAATACTGAAGGACTGGCATCGAAAAGACAAGAAACAATGTCTGCTGGAAGGTATGGCAGACAGCAAGATCGGTTTTCAGGTAAGCGATTATCGTTAAAATGAATTCTGTTGGTAGCAATTGGCGTACGTTTTCTTATACGTTTATACGTTGTTGTTGACGAACAAAGGGAATTGTTGTGGGAACTATGAACGAGAATAATGTGTTAAAATGGGCGTTTAGCTTCGCGGTTGACTTTACTTTGTATGCAGCCATTCCGAGTGTCAAGATATATGCAGATGATCCGAAACGCACACTGCTACACTCTGAGAAAAGGGGTAATAGTAAAGGGTTGTCCAATAGGGACGCAGGAAAGTAAACGTCAATTTGACATAGACGCCATCTTTGTTTTCTGTCACCGACATGTCATTTTGTTAGTTGAATGTTTACCATTGATCGCTATGGAGTCGTATTCGATTGAAGACCGCATTAAAGTTATTCAAGAGCACTACAAAAATGGTGCAAAAATAAAAAACACGTTTCACGCGCTTCGTGAACATTTCGGTCGCAACAACCGCCCAAACGAAACAACCATCGGTCGTCTGGTGCGTAAATTCGAGGCAACAGGTTCTGTGGCAAATCTGCCAAAAATATTGCTGTTGTGAAGGAGAGTGTGAGAGACGATCCGAAACAATCAACAACGCGTCGATCCCAAGAATTGGGCATTTCGAGAACCAGTTTGCTCCGTATTCTCCACAATTGAATGTACACGCCTACAAGATCCAATTGACGCAAGAGCTGCGTCGGGCCGACCATTTTTCGCGCCGAACGTTCTCAGATTGGCTCCTTGAACACCGCCAAATTGATGCCAATTTTTCATCAAAAATCATGTTCAGGGCGAACTAAAATCCCCGTGAGATCAAGAGCAGCCGATGCATCCTCAAAAAGTGACTGTGTGGTGTGCATTGTGGTCAAAAGGCATCATCGGACCTTACTTTATCGAAAATGCGGCCGGGGACGCCGTTACCGTCAATTCTGAGCGATATCACGTGATGATAGAGGACTATTTTTTGCCGCAACTTGAAGGAATAGATATGGACGATGTTTATTTCCAACATGCCACACAACCAACGTCAATATCCATCGATTGCAGTCCTTCTTCGGTGATCGCGTGATTTCGCGCAGAGGAAATGTGCCATGGCCACCAAGATCGTGCGATTTGACTCCCTTGGACTTCTTTTTATGGGGATATTTGAAAAGCAAAGTCTACGTCAACAAACCAGCCACCCTCCAAGAACTCAAAAACAGCATCATTGCCGAGATAAATGCCATAGAACCGACCATGTTGCAAAATGTCATTGAAAATTTCGACCATCGCGTGGACGTCTGTAAATCCAGTCGTGGTGAACATTTGAGCGATATTATTTTTCATACATAAATGGTATAAATGAACCTTCAAAATAAAGTACCCAACTTGATTTGAATGTCAATCTTTCTTGTTTTAATATGCGTTTACTTTCCTGCGTCCGATTTGGACAACTCCATATATTAACAGTAATAAAGCTAAGTACTTATCACGCTGGTACTAATTATTTACTACTGCGAAGAGAGAAGTGTATGACAATTTTACTGTAAATAGTGTCTAACAGTAGTAGTAGTATCCAACATCGTTAATTTATCTTTGTTTACCTTTGTTAAAATGTTATCCCTTAGCTTTTATGAAGAAAGCAGTTTCTGGGTGTACAGATATTTTTAGCTATTGCCCTGTCATTTACTAGTGTTAAGCATAACAAAATGCCTAGAGTTCGACGACGTCCAAATTATCATCATGTTAGCGACGACGAGAATTATTGCCTATCGAGATGTTGGTTTGTCCAATCGCGAAATTGGCCGCCGTGTTAATTGTACTGCAGTGACGGTAATGCGTGTGTGACGTGTGTGGATAGAAGAAGGTAGAGGAACACGAAGCCCAACTGGTTTACCGAGGCGTACTATCCACTTTGCACCATCCGCCACAGATTCTGCCACAGCTAATCCAAGAAGTTCGAGTTGGTTGGAATGAGGAGCCACAACCAGACAACGATCATCTCATTTTGACGATACAGAAGTGTATTCTGCTGCTGGGTCGCCCAACACATTATTTTTTTTTCTTATTGTTAATAAAATTTCGTGAGAATGTTATCGTTTCCTTCTTGATGTAAGACTTCCTCACTGCCAAAAAATCGAGTTGAAGAAATTTTTTCTGGGTGTAACACTGAGTATATTTTTTCATTATAAATTGTATTAATTTTCTTCCTATGGAACGCACTGTACGTTGGTATTGGTTTAAAGGTACTGAAGAAGATACAGTGCCACGATGGAAAAGACAAAGTACGGAAGACGATAACCTACCTGCATGGAAGAAGCGAGGTAAGCAACGATGACTAATCGAAACCTAATTTTTCATAAATAAACTGCTTATCTACTTGCTTTAATTTGCTTTAATCAAAGCTATGGAAGAGGGACGATTGGCACCATCGAATAGACAAAGAGTAGAAGAGGACAGCAAGGCATTACCTGTGAGAGGTATGGGAAAAGAAACGCCGTCATCATGGAAGAAGAATGTTACAGAAGAAGAAAACTTACCTGCATGGAAAAGACGAGGTAAGCAACGATGACTCATCCAAACCTAATTTTTCATAAATAAACTGCTTGTCTACTTGCTTTAATTTGTTTTAATCAAAGCTATGGAAGAGGGACGATTGGCACCACTGAATAGACAAAGAGTAGAAGATGAAAGCATGCCATTACCTGTAAGAGATATGGAAAAAGCAACGCCGTCATCATGGAAGAAGAATGTTACAGAAGAAGAAAACTTACCTGCATGGAAAAGACGAGGTAAGCGCGACAGTTGCTAAAGAGTAAGATATTACTTTTTCATGTCGTTTATTAGTTACCTCTTATCCATGTATGTTGTAGTAAAATTTTCGTCCTTGATAATTACTACACTGATACAAGATCTCTAGGAATATAACTTTTTTGGTCTTGTGTCAGCCTACTTTACAGAATCTGTTAAAGCTTGTTTTTCATTATACTGAGATCCATACTACTTGAAGAGATTATGAAAAGATAATATTCCACAGTTTACTACTATCTATTTTACTTGTGCTATATACACAGGGTGTCCGCAACGTTGGGGTTTTCCTTTTCAGAAACAACTACCCTTGAAATAACAAAGGTAATGTGTAGTGAAACGAGGGCGACCAAGTAAAAAAAATAAAGGAAAAAGTACTCACTTTCCAGTTGACGAGAAGGGCTAAGTACGTCTCTGCCCGAAATCATACCGCTCCAACAGAAAATGAAATCAGCTGATGCGCTACCGAGCAGACGCAGGCAAACAAGGAAGGCAAAATGTTGCGTAAAAAGTCTAGGTATTGCATCCCGTCCAATCGATTTGGGAGAATAAATGGTCCAATGAGCATACATGTTCACCATGCCAGCCCAAACATTCACCGAAAATGTTTGTTGAAAATGTGCCCGACGGACAGCGTGCGGATTTTCTACTGACCAAACATGAGTGTTGCGAAAGTTATTCACCCCATTACGCGTGAACGTAGATTCGTCTGTCACCAATATGCACTCAAAAAGTCCGGATTATTGTCATGTTGATGCAACAACCACTCACAAAACCGCACTCTTGCTGGAAAATCGTCAGGTTGAAGGACTTGTACACGTTGGACGTGAAACGGATACAGCCCCTCTTCACGCAGCGTTTGTCACACTTGATACTTGCACTTCTCTAGCCACGTCTCTAGTGCTTGTTGTTTTTTGAAACGCAATCGATTATACGGGTTCGTTTACCTCTACACGCGTGACCGTAACCGTCGGTTGAAGGTTGCATACTGACCTGACACACTGACCCCGACCCACTTGTACCAGTCGGTGATATCGCGGGTCGCGGCTACAGGACGGTATTCAGATATTTTTGATGTTGCAGAGCCCTTTATCTCGGTTCCCTTAAGACATTGGTGTATATGGTACTAAGAAAAAATGCTTATGTTTTCAAGATCTACACGTCGTGTAAAGGTAAACCCCAACTTTGCGGACACCCTGCACAGCAATCCTTCAGAGAATTCTCAATAGCCTGAGGACAATGTCATCTTATATAGACATGCTAGCTTTTTCTGCAGGTTTTGCAGATTCGTCTTAATGGTCAAACCCCACTTCCCAGGTCTTTGCTGGGTCTTGACTAATTCAAAACCCCTCTTGACTAAACTTTTGCAGCAATTACTTTTTTAATGTATCAATTGAAACTTATGCTGTGGTTTTCATGTAGACTATTCTCCATATTTCGCTGGCTAATCGAAACCACATGTGTTGAAGAAATCGTTTTGGTCACAAACTCGCACACTTCTTCAATTTATATAACAAAATTACTCTTCGCAAAGATATACACTAGGTAAACATCAGGTCTAAAACTACAATCACACCACCAGTTCATCGTACTGCTCTCTTAATGATCCTTTTCTTATAAAACATACAGGATGGCCCAACGAAAAGGTCGCAACCAAATTTTACTTTCCATTGCGTTTAAATTTCTGTCGATGGTTTTTTTAGAAAAATTTGCTGAAAAACCTGTATTCGATATCAAAATACTCTTTACTGATGAAGCTAGCTTTTCCCGCATTTCCTTTAGAAATTTCCATAATAATCATGAATCGGCCGAAGAAAACCCATACGTAATTACGGAGGCACATCATCAGGAGTAGTTTTCCGTGAATGTGTACCTCTTTTATTAAGAGAAGAAATGTGGTACATGCATGATGGTGCTCCTAGACATTTTAGCAGACTATTTTTTGTGGGGGCACCTCAAGACTTTATACTACACCAATTCAAACTGTAGAGGAACGAAGACAAACAATTTTACTTTCTTGTCAAACCGTAAGAAATACTGCTGGAATTTTTGAGAGGGTTCGCCAATCCAAGAGAAAGAGAATTGAAGCCTGTATTCTAGCAATTCTTGTGGTCATTAAATTGAATAGTATCGTTTTATTTGATCCACAGAAATTGTCAAAACTTGATTTTTTAATTCTCATGCATTGCAAAATCGCTAAAATCTCAAGTGGTAGTTTGTAGGTATGATGTGTATTTGTTTAATTTTTATTCAGGTCAAGTCAGTTGATTAAAGTAGGCAAAATCGTTTTTTTACGCGAAAACGGTACATCTGACGGAAAAAAGGTCAAATTTGTTGCAAAATAAATGAGGATTTTAAAAATGATTTGTATTTTGGGAAAAAGCAATGGCGTACCATATTTTTTTTAAATCTCCAGTATACATCCCGTACAGACGCCACTGGTGCTTGGTAGATGCATGCCAAATTGGTTGGATTTTGTAGGGGTAAAATGAGCTAAGGAATCATACACTGTATTTTTAGGCATCAATTAAATTAGTCCATGTATATTGACAAAGTCACTGTACTGAAGAAGGTCACCATTGTGACCGAAACGTTTACAATAACAAGTGGTTTCGATTGGCTAGCGAAATATGGGGGATTGTGATTTTTTGTACCGCAAATTATGCTATTTTGAAATTCAAAGCATTGCAAGAGGGGAGGATGCAACCACCGAAGAGAGTAGCCATGGAGGAGGATGAAACTCCATCGTGGAAGAAAAGACGTACAGAAGATGACAGAATACTGCCATCGCAGATGCGAGGTATGCAAGTAGGGTTGTCTCCTCGGGAAAAACGAGGTAAATAAGGGAAAATGATTGTTTACACTTTTCCATTTATATATTTCCTCTTAAATAAATGAAAAATTAATTTGCTACTAAATATTGAAGTAAATTATCATACATAATGGAGTTGAACAAAAGCTATATGCTCAAAACGGAGATAAGAAATTGAACATAGAAACAAAAAATATTAAACATCACATCATTAACAATGTTTCAAGATAACACATCTCCTGTCTGCTTGCTATATTTTTCAAAGTATGTTTCCTATTGTTCAAAGCTATGGAAAAGGAAAGGTTGCCATCATCGCAGTTACGAAGAACGGAGGAAGAAACCGTACCACAATGGAAGAAAAAACAACTCGTGGATGAAGATCCGTTGTCATCATGGAAAAGACGCGGTAAGCATGTCATATCTCTATTAAAGGACTGGAAATGGCTGTTTCTACTTTGAGCAACTGCAACCCGCAGGGATATTGCGTATCTTGAAAAGTGACGTTATGTTGTTTTTTGAAATTACATAGGTTTGCGAAAGTTTTTTGTGTGTGTTGCGTCATTCCTAATTTTGTGTGATGTGAAAGTTTTGAATACGCAAACACCGGAGAAAACTGTAATTTCTAACTTTGAACATAAGGACAACACAACCCGTCTGGTACAGCTAATAGATATAATTAAATAATTTTCTCACATAGCAAATATCACTGATTACACATGCAGACCAATACACACAATCATCCGGATGCAATCTTCCTACTCTGCTACTCAACCAATTTTCCTTCTGTCACATCTTCTCAGAGATATGCTCTACAGACTAACGCGACCTTCTGCAACCAACAAAGCATACTGGGAAACTGACTTGGAGCTGATCATTGCGCGCCGTCGAGTTATTCCTTCATAGATGACGCTCAAAGCGAGCAAACGCGTAATGAACTATTTGCACACTAGCAGCTATCTAGTCGGCAAGTTGTCGCATTTCGTCGGTTTTTTGTTTGACGTTATATAGGTTTTTTAAGTGATAACCCTGCGGACCGCCATCGGTTTGGCGATTCGCTCATAGATGGCTCTGCAGGTACCGAGGCGATGTTGCCAAGTTGCCATAAAATATTTATGAAACGCTACATTTATACTAAGCAGAATGGAATGCAGCTGTTATCACGGTTTTTGGAAATTATGTCATGTCGTCTACATAACTCGCGACCATGTCAAATAGCCCGCGAAAACTTTTGAATCTCATGTTGACTCCTTTTATTACTAAACTAAGTCGTGTAGTATTCCTCATAGGTTTTGAGAATGGCTTTTCTCACGAAAAATGTGATTTAAAGTCAACAACGCATTTTGACGCCGTTTTCTGCTTTATGGACGCAATGTTTTCGGAGTCATCCTTCATCTGTCTCTAATTTTATTCGCCTTGTCTGTCTTCTTTTTATATAACTACTCTTTGGTGAAACCTTTTTAAATCAGCCATTTATAGTTATTGGATATTCTATCTAATGTTAGCCTTGATTTTTATGGGAATGATTGTAGATACTTCCCCATTGCTTCTACAGTTGTTTCTTTGTTTGTTGAAGATTTATTTAGCATTAATGCTACAATGACAATTTTGTACAATTTTTTGAATCAATTTTCTGTAGTTTTACATTTTTGTCTATTAAAATTACATCACTATATATTTTGGGTATTAATAAAGTGATTTTTTAATTTCTCCTTAAACACTTTTAATATGTTTAAACACTGTTTAATATTGTTGTTCAATTTATTAAATTCAAATGCTCCTTTTTGAAATAGAGATTTGCTACTTATGCTACTATTACAATTTTGTAGATGAAAATCTATAGTGCCTCTAGATTTGTAGTTATGATAATAGCTATTTAATTTTGTTAAGTTTTTTAAATGTGGTGATAATAAATGATTTTATTTGGATATGATAATTAGAACCAAATAACATTTAAATTTTCACATTCAACCACAGTTTTTCTTCTAATAAAGACTTGATCTTAGCATATTTGATTTTAATTAAAATGATTCCCATAGCTTCATTTTGTAAAATTTGAATTTTGAAAGTATGTTTCCATTTGCTGTAAACAAAATGGTTGAACAATATAAAAAATGGAGGAGCATTATATTGTTATACACAATTTTTTTTGAATACATACTGAGATTATGGAAACTATAGAAATAATGTATGTTTTTTGATATTTATGAATTAATGTAACATTGAGATGTGGCCATCGAGACGTACGCACTCCTCGACTCTCGAGCTCAAATTCGTAAAAACTTTCACTAGGACATTGACTGATTTAGATCATATAAACTAAACAGACGCCGTGCAATAGTGCACGAAACTCCATTTTTGTAATAACCCGTAACACAGAACGCACGCTGCTCACCGGCGAAACGCTCCATGGCGACTGAATTTCCGAGCATCAAGCTACTTATCCCCACTATCCGTGTCCCACTCTGTACTTCCGTGGATACCAATTTTGTGATTTTGACATTCCTAGGTATAGAAGAAGGCAGGATACTACCAGCGAAGCAAAGAGGTATGGAAGATGCACAAAGAAACGCGTCACATCTGAGCGGACAGCATGGCAAAGGCATAGACCAAAGCGCAAAACGCGAACAAACTCAAGGGCTATCCAAGACACAGCAGAGAAAAATGCAAAAACTCGAAAAGGCTCGTAAAAAACGAGAAAAACGAGCTCGCGCGCGAAAGCAAGCGATCGAAGGTGGAGGCAAGACAAATAAAGAGGAATCAGATTTCGATTCGGAAGAAGAGGAAACTCCGAAACCGGTGATACCTGAAGGCATTGCGATGATGGTTTGCGACAAGCGTTATCCAGCGGTCGGCTTGAAGGAAAGTCAAACGAAAATCATCATGGCCTGCCTGTTGAAAGCAATGGAGAACTTGGGTCCCGATGAGTCGCCGCAGTTCAACGAGCACAGGTTTATGATGTGCGGTATGCTCTCGATCATATGCGCGAACAAGAGCACCTGTACCTGGTTGACGAATACGATCGAAGCGCTGCGAGAACCGTGGCAGGGCGCCGACCTCACAGTCAGACGTTTCCAGGCTCCCATGACCATCTATATTCCAGGTTAGTGAGTTACTGATTGAAGAACAATCATAGATGCGATCACCTTAAATTTCAGTTACTTTTAGAGCCACAAAACCCTTTATGCCGTATCCTTTGTACCCGAGAAACCAATGTCCTGTATAAACTGTGTATATTTTTATATATTTGTCCTTAAACATGAGTAACCTTTCGTTTATATAAACTGGTGGACAGTTATAAAATATGAATGTCATTAATATGTTTTGCATTGCCGTGTGGACATTTTTGCTTCATGATTTTTTGTTTATCTCTGTTCCAGGCGCTGAAGGGTCTACATCAGAAGTTGAAACATCATTGCAGGACGTGAATCCCTATTTCAAAGTACAAAGCTGGCAGTTTGTGAATAAGCAAGCTGGACAACTCAACGTAGAATATACATACCTGATAGATTGCGACACTTTCGAAGCCTTGAAGGTTATTCAGTTCAGGCCTTACTACAAAAATACGAGGGTGCTCGCGAAAATGGTACACCGTGTTTTGAGAGAGACGACTGAAGAACCTTCGGAAAAAGAGACGGATAGTGGGAACGTCAGCCAAAATAAAAGTCGAGAGCGAGCTGAACTGGACATTCTTCTTGAGAAGGCTAGACGGCAGAATGAGATACAGAACAAAATAAACGACAGTAAAGGCCTTTCAGGGGAAGCTGAAATTCTGTAGAGACGGCGTCTAGTTATTGAGAAGAGAAATTAAATGATTTATGCTACTGAAGTTTCTTATTTATACTAGAACTACACCACCTGTAATTTCTGTCACCTTTAGTAAACAACTTGAGAGATGGGAAAAATGAGCGTCCGCGGGATTCGAACCCGCATCTCCTACATTCCGACTGTTAGAGGCACATCTAATCCTACCCATGCCGCTGCACCTTTGTTCTTTCAAGCTGCATAAAGGACTGTCATGAATCAAAATATTTATTGCAATAACATAATATATACATCAACAAAAAAATCTCACTGAAATACTAACAATGTGTGCAAAACGCACAAAATCGAACGATCGTCATCATCTTGATAGTCATTCACTTTTTATTTATAAAAATATTCGTATTTACATCCTAAGGCAACAAGACGCTCTTCTGTTCCGACTTCCATTTTTGCCACCATCAAATCGACCCGTTGGCAGACGTGCATACCTTACAAACCACCACCGCTTCTTTCAACTGATATCTTCTTTTTCAGCATTTCTTTCTCGTGCTTTTGTTCTTCAAGCTCCGCCATCCTGGCGAATCTGGAGTACGTTACGTGTCCGGATTTGATCGCCGACATCATCTGCAAAATCAAAGAAATTTCGGAGATAATCAACATTTTGAACGCGGAGTAGACAATCGAATAATCCGAATACGAGAACTTAGATCCCTCCGAATTGCAAAGTAAACGGGACTTTTGAAATTTCATTTCGCGCTCAAAGTGTCAGTACCTTTTTAGCATCGGTCGAAAAATGAGCATGAGCCAATATTAAGTTCCGTGTTAAACTTGGTAAAACACAGGCGCGAATTCAGGCGGGGTCATGAAACCCCCCCCCCCCCTCCCCCAGGAAATTTGATAAAAAATACTTTTTGACGGACCAGTGGCGGATTTAAGGAAAGGGCCCCGGTTGGCAATATGCACTGGGGGCGGGGGGGGGCAGTGGTATGATTGAGGACAGACGGCAAATAGTGCGCACTATAACTGTTTTGCGAATAACAGAAAATACTGTAATTATTGACAAATAAAATACGGCAATGGAAACTTTGAAAGTTGCATCATAAATCAGAAATGAATATTAAACTTTAATGCTTAATGTCATATTAGTGCAATCGTATATCAGCTTCGTTTTTGCATTTAATAGTGCGCACGTGCACGGGACAGGTTGTAATGCGCATCGTAATTTTTTTAAGTAAATTAAACTAGATGATTCACCAGCAAACTTCTTGTGCATAATAGAGTTTAAAACTTATCTCGGATGCTACCGATAAGTAAAGGGCGTCGAGTCAAATTTGGCGTGATTTTTTTGCTAGTATCTTTTTGGCAACACTGTTTTTGACAGATGACGCGTGAATCGTGTCTTGTGTCATTGTCAAACTGGTCTACAATTTAACCATGAATCGACTTACGAACGAACAACGCTTGCAAATTATTGAATTTTACTATCAAAATTCATGCTCGGTTAAGAGAGTGCATCGAGCAGTGCTTCCAATTTATGGGCAATTTGGTCGGCCTACTGAGGGAGCTATTCGGAAGCTTGTGACTAAATTTCGAATCCAGTTTACATTATTGGACATTACACCACCAATACGCAGACGTAGAGTGAGGACTGAAGAAAATATTGCGGCTGTATCCGCCAGTGTTAGTGATGACCGTGAAATGTCGATTCGCCGCCGTTCGCAGCAATTGTGCCTCTGTTACTCCACTACGTAAAACCTTATAAGATACAGCTCCCACAACGTTTCCAATTTGGCAAAGTTGGAGGAAGATCCACATTTTTATCGAAAAATTGTGTTCAGCGAGGAAGCTCATTTCTGGTTGAATAGGTACGTTAACAAGCAAAATTGCCGCATCTGGAGTGAAGACCAGCCAGAAGCATTGCAATGCATCCCGAAAAAATCACTGTTTGGTGTGGATTATGGGCCGGTGGCATCATCGGGCCGTACTTCTTCAAAGACGACAATGGCCGGACGTAACTGTGAATGGCGAGCGCTACCGTGCGATGATAACAAACTTTTTTTTGCCCAAAATGGAAGAGCTGGACTTGGCTGACATGTGGTTTCAACAAGACGGTGCCACATGCCACACCGCACAGGAAACAATGGCCCTATTGAGAGGCGAGTTCGGTGATCAGTTTATCTTAAGTTTGGGGCTCGTCAATTGGCCGCCTAGATCGTGTGATTTAACGCCGTTGGACTATTTCTTGTGGGGCCATGTTAAGGCTAATGTCTACAGGGATAAACCAGCAACAATTGACGCACTGGAAGCCAATATTGAAGCATCTATTCGTGAGATACCGGCCGATATGTTGGAGAGAGTGTGCCAAAATTGGACCTTGCGCATGGGCCATCTGAAGCGGAGCCGCGGCCAACATTTACATGAAATAATCTTTAAACATCAAATTATATCGACCGTTCTATCGACTCAAATAAAGATTTAATCGTTTTTCCAGATTTTTTGTGTTTTTTTTAAATCAAAATCACCCGTTATATTCGCATAAAATTATAAGAAAAAACAAATATGATCGATAGTTGTTGTCATGTTTGCCGTGATTAATATTTCATTGAATACAATCTTGGTGAACAACACTAAAATACGTTAAATAACGTGCATTACTACAGGATATATACTGGGCACTATTGGCGAACGTGATGTTCTCCACATTTATCGCTATTTGCAAATTGATGACGGCAACTGAGAATAAAAAAATTAGAAAGACCTGCACAAGTAACCGAAACAAGCTCATGGATAGTGCAAAAGGTTAATTCAACTGTTCCAATATTCACGCGGATCTAAAGTTTGTCGATAACGTAAAATCCATCTAAATTGTTCAAAAAGTTCGAACTACAGATTTTGCTGGCAATAAGGATGTCGCATATTAACAGGGGCTTACAATTATATACACAATAGTAGCTGCTGCGCACTGTTACCTCTGTTTTTTTACTTTATGTCTATATAACCTGAATCAAGTAGAGACTGTGAGAACAAACATTTTTTATTCAATACAAAATAACAATTATTCTAATTTGAATCCCCGCCTTGCTTTTAAACTCCCATCACAGAATCCAAATTGAGTGTATTAGCTACTGATCTTTCGATATAGAGGATAGAGAAGTTGTTGAGTGTGTCTTCAACCAAAGAAGCTCGACGGTATTTTTTAATAATTTTCAAAGAGCTTCTGACACGTTCAGCACTAGCTGAACCGATAGGCAAAGTCAAAAACAATCTGAATAAACTGCAGCTCTCTGGAAAACTGTCTACAAAATTGTTTGCAATCATAAACTTCAAATAATCTAGCGGGCTATCATTAGAAAAATTACGATTTTCTGAAAAATACATGCTCGCAAAACTGATTTCTGGGCATAGTCATACAAATTTTTTAGAAGAGTCGATATTAAAAAGAGTTCAAACCTCGTTTTTTAAAATTTTTCGGCCGATTCTTACCATAAATAACACGCCGTTTTCGGAAAGTTGGAGCTTTTTGCCGAGCACTTTTGACTTATTTGTCCCATTTTTTTTTTTTTTTGACGGGTGGTTGCGGGCTTGATGACATAGACCTTCGACTTTAAATAACCCCATAAGAAGAAATCTAATCGTGTTAAATTACACGATCTAGGGAGCCAATTCTGATCACCGAAACGAACACGACCAGGAATTGTCTCGTGCAGTAATTGAATTTTTTCACGGGCTGTATGGCATGTGGCATCGTCTTGTCGAAACCGCATATTCATCCATTACGGCAGAAAGAACTGTGTTATCATGTCGCGATATCGAGCACCAGTAACAGTTACTGCTGCACCAATCTCGTTTTCAAAAAGGTATGGTCCAATGATGCCTCCAGCCCAAGATCCGCACCAAGCAGAGACACGTCGTGGGTGCATTTGTTTTTCGGCAATCACACGTGGATTCTCCGATTTCCAAATACGACGATTTTGGCGATTAAGCCATCAAGGTGAAAATGTGCTTCATCGCTTTGAATGATTTTGCTCGAAAAATCAGCATTCACTTGTTGATGTTCAGTAATCCATTCCCCGAACTCTTTTTGCTGTTCATGCTCATTAGGATTCCATTGTGTTAATTGAATTTTGTAAGCATGGAGACACAGATCTTTTGTGAGTATACACCAACACTCTCACGCACTGTTTCGACACTGACATTTGAACGGCGTGTTCTTGGACGACCGCTGTGTTTAGCGTCTCCGACCGATCCAGCCTCCCTGAATTTTTCAATTAATCTTTTCACAGTTGCCGAGGTATAACGTTCCAGTTTTACTAATCCTAACCTCTCAACTGTCAAATTGTTTTTTTAGGGCTGCCCACAATTTACTGCAAACACCCTTTACTAACGGCACGACAATAGTTGTGTAGTGTTTGTTCGTTCTGCGCGATATTTGTCTACAATGAAATGACGAAAAAAACATTTGTTCGGAATTGAGTGTTTTCACGCATTACATAAATGATAAGTTTAAATCCCTCTAAAGCAGGAGTTCTCAATTATTTTCTAGCGCCCCTAAAATTACTTTAAAGATACCTCGTTTCAATAAAACAGATTAGCCATTGCATCCCCGATTTCCTCTAGGCTTTTCACCGCCTCCCCGTGAGTCCCTAATGCCCACAAGGGGGCATTATCGATATCGCCCTGCTCTAATAAGTTTTCAATAAACTACGACAAAACCAATTCAAGATGGACACTACTATTATCATGCCTAGCATGCATAGCAACGTAAAAACCAACAGCAAAAAAACATACATAATGTGAGTGTACTGGAGTGCGACTCTGGAGAAAAAAAAGGTGGGTGCTACAGGAATGAATTGGTATAAAGATAAGAGTGTCTGTTGTGCAAATATTGCAATGCAACAAAAAAAGACGGCGAATGATATAAGCATACATCTTTCCTTGTAGGTTTTTATCTATTAAAATACATAGAAATCATGATTGATTATAATGTTTTATGGGACTGCACACCATTTGAGGCAGGATTCAGAAGTTAGCCTCCGAACAATAGGATTCTTACTACACGGTAGCTAATCAAGACATTCAAACTGCTTTCCATTTCTGTGAGGCTTTATTTCATGCTTATAAAGCAATCATTAGTAGAGGAGTTAGGAGACTGGCAACGAAAGGCAAAAAGAGTCTAACATCGCCTCGTCTGCTTGCCGTTGTCTCATCTATACCGTACTGGAGATTGCTAAAAAGCCGGAAACGGCGCCGTATACGGTTGGTCGCAGAGTTAGTTTTTTTTAAAGTAGGTCTTAGTTATTTGTTCTATTAGACCAAGTGCTCAAAGAAGGCAACGTTAATCCAAGAGTGACGTACGGATGACATTTCTTTGTTTACAATTTGTATGAAGTCACATCATCGCTGATAGCGATTTCACCGTTTCATATTAAAAATAAAAATGTATTTTTTTAAATTCGACTTATATATCCATTTACTCTACTCATTTATTCTATGAAATTGGATATGAGTCAAGTGGCTCATTCAAACTGTGTTTATGCAACATTTGAGTAGCATGCACGAATCACATTTATAAACTTTACTTGAGAATATGGTGCCCTTTGATGAATAATCGCTCCCTGGATGTCAAACGAACAATAACTCTTCCTTGAGTAACGTTCAAGGGAACATTTGCACTTTACAGTAGCCTGCAATAGTTGTCACCAAGGGTTTTCATCAATGTCGGAAAGATTTTTCTTTGCTGGCATTGGGGGCATTTTGATGGCAAATTTTGGACGGGTTCCTTTTTTTTGCTGCCTCTGATTTATTATTTATACGAGTTATTAGTAATTTGTAGAAAACAACGCAATGGCCTAAGGTGCAAACTATAGAAACGATGAAATATTCAAAACATTGCAAAGACTGAAAAACTAAAGATTACTCCCCTAAAATCACTGGATTGTGGTAAATAGTGTAGAGTGTAATAAACAAATACTAGGACACATGTAGGTGCAATTAATAACATATTTCGTAGAACAAATCCTTGAATTAGAAAAACAACTCTCATTAGCTGCTACGAGTGTTAAGAAAAAGGAAAATATCAACATGAACGTCAGTGCGAGGAAAGATACTGGACCACTCTTGCAAGGCAAACAAAAAAAAAACAGAAAAGCGGTGAAATTTTGAATACTGAAAGGGAGTTTCAAACCTGTAGATACTCGTCAAGTTCAACCTGCCCGTTCATGTTTGTATCGATTTCTTTAAGAATTTCGTGCAGTTGCTCTCCGGGTACGTCTTGTCCGTCTTGTTGCTGTAAAGTATTGAGAAATATTTCAGTGAGGATTTGCTTGGACTCACCTGCAGGTAATCGGCCAGTTCCAGCTGTCCGTTATAGGTCGCGTTTATATCGGACAATAGATTGTGGATCTCGCCGTCAGTTAGTTTCATACCTAATGACTAACAGTAAAAAGTGTTAGTATGTTTGAAGTTTGAACGCTAAAGATACAAATCAACACAAACGACGTTTAAGGGGAAAATAGCCCCATCCAGATTTCCAGAAGAGTGAGAATCTTTTCACATAGAAAAAAAATTCCTAATAGGATATGATTCCTTAGCTCAGTTTAGGAAAAAAAGGTTATATGAACATGTATTAACTTTTGAGCTACAGGGTAAAGAAAAACTTCGTTCTTATCTTAACTGTTCTTGATATTTTCATGAAGTTTGACGTGCACCTAAGCAAAAAAAGGCACTTTTTGATGTAGAATATTTTTTAATCTTTCTACCAGTAGCGTCCGTACGGGATGTATACTGAAGATTTTAAAATATGGTACACTATTGCTTTTTCCGAAAATATATAATTTTGCCACAAATTTGACCTCTTGACTTTCCATCCGATGCACCATTTCCGCGTAAAAAATAACCATTTTGGCTATCTGAATCAACTGACTTGAATGGAAATTAAACAAAAACACATCTTGCCTACAAATACCGCATGAGATTTGAGCATCTTTGCAATGCATGAAAATTGAAAAAACAAGTTTGTAATAATTTCTGTGGATCAAATAAACTGATACTATTTAATTTAATTATCACAAGAATCGTTGAAAATGTCCTTCTGCTATAATACAGGCGTCAATTGTCTCTCTCTCATGGACTTGAGAAGCTTTTAAAAAATTCCAGAAGTATTTCTTATGGTTTGAAAGTAAAGTTGTCTGCCTTAGTTCCCGTATAATATGAACTAAAGTTTTGGTGCCCTCACAAAAATAGTCTAAACTATTTAAATCAGGGGACCTGGAGAAAAAAACTCTTTTCAATAATTTCTAATGGCACATATATTTTGAACGCTTGGCATAATATTTCCGATTTGATTTATATTTTTTCATGAGATAAGATTCTCTCAGTTCAAGAAACCAGACCAGGAGGTCTTTAAATAAAACGATTAAAATGGATTTCTTCCGGAAAATTTCGTAATAATTTAATAATATGTTAATATGATAAGTACTACAGTATATTCAGATAAGAGATAGACCGGATGTAAACAAAAGGTTCGGGTGATTTTCACGCTAACGCCGCCGTCTCGACGTAAAACAGGAGCCCTCATTGGTCAATTCGCAATTAAATGCCTATGCCGAGCGGCAGAGCAGTCGTATCAAGGCAGAGTCACATTCAGGTTCAGACGTGTTACGTATGTCGTGTGCATCATTGCAATTTGATATTTCTTTGGACGTTTTCGTTTGTTATCTTATTAAGTTGCTGAGTTTGTCGTTGTTATTGTTATACCTTGTTATTGATTGTTATTGTTATCAACTGCTTGCGCTAAATGCCCAGTAGTACAGATACTGCCGATGAAGTTGTAAACTCCTGTAGTCCACCTAGGAAACGCTCTAAAAAAAGACACCTGAGTGCAGAAATGAAAGAGGTCATTTTGAATATATATAAGATCGAGCGCGAGGAGAACGAGGCATCAACCATCAAAGAAATTGTTGTGAAGGTTTCTCACAAAGTTGGGGTGTGTCGCGCATCAGTGTTTAATGTGTTAAGACAATACAAAAAAAATCACACCTTTTCTGAGCCAATGACCAGTAAACATCGCAAAAGTATTGTTAAATCATTGGATGAAGCTGATAAGCATGCGATTAGGAGGAAAGTGCATGAATTCTTCTTTAGGAATGAAATACCTACTATAGATAAAGTACTGCAGGAGGTAAATGGAGATACAACGTTGCCAAATTTCAAACGATCAACTTTCCATGCGTTACTGAAGCATTTAAATTTCAAATGGTCAAAACGGGGTCGTAATAGTTTACTACTGGATAGAGAAGAAATTGTGCTATGGAGGAGGGATTATTTAACAAAAATTGGGAAATATAGAAATCAAAACAGGAAGATTTATTACCTTGATGAAACGTGGGTAAACGCAGGACACACTACAAGTAAAGTATGGGTTGATGATTCTGTAACTTCATCCAGGAGGGCCTTTCTAGATGGACTGTCCACCGGATTAAAAAATCCAGCAGGTAAATACGAGTAATAGACAACCATCGGATGTTTTTCAAACCTTGGGAACAAGGTTCTAAACATTAATTCCAGGGGGCAGATAAAACATATTACAAGTAACAAAACTTTTATAACTTTCGATAAAATGCGTGGATGTTTTATTGTCATTTTCATTTGTTAGAACTTTTTTAAGCCATGTTTTTATGTGTTTTCGATATTGTGTACCGTTCCTAATATTTCTAATCATTTTAATTCATACTTTAAGCTTTATAAAGTTATAATTTGTTAATATTAATATTTGCGCGTATTACAGGTTCCTGATCATTCATTTTTTAAAGGTTTATAACTTTAAATTAAATTGTGAAGCGCTGAGTAATCATACGACGTTCAATATTCTTTCTTTCAATATGACTAAATAATCCCAATTATAGCAATCTGATACTCATGTCTCAATGTTTTTTCGCTGAATGTGATGAAAACATTTGAAAAAGGTTCGCTTATTGAAATAAATCTACACCAGTTAGTACTTCGATTTCCAGGTAAAGGGAAAAGGCTCATTATCTGCCATATTGGCAGTGAGGATGGATTTGTTGTTGACGGTCTGTGGTGCGTTGAGTCTAAGAAAACTGGAGATTACCACGAGGAAATGAATGGCGAATCGTTTGAACAGTGGTTTTCAAAAATTTTACCGAACTTAGAGGAAAACGCAATAATTGTGTTGGATAATGCGCCTTATCATTCTCGAAGAATGGAGAAGGTCCCAACAACGGCTTCAAGGAAAGTTGATGTTCAAAATTGGCTCCGCTCGAAAAATATCAACTTTGAAGAAGCAATGCTGAAAGTACAATTATTAAGAATTGTCAAGGATCACAAGGCGGAATATCAAAAATACGCCATTGACGAAATGGCAGCAAGTCAAAATAAAACTGTGCTCCGTTTACCTCCATACCATTGCGAGCTCATATGGGCAGAGGTTAAAAATTATATAGCTAAGCACAATACAACTTTTAAATTTTGTGACCTCAAAGGACTTTTCAAAGAAGCACTAGAATTAATAACAGCGCAAAAATGGGAAAACTGTATTAAGCACGTGAAAGACAAAGTTGAAAAGAGAATGTGGGAACTGGACAATATTTTAGAGGAACAAGTCGAGCCATTCATTATTGACGTTGGTGCTTCAGGCAGTAGCATGATGAAAGCTCATCAAGCTCATCTTTCCAATAAAAGATGTCGTTCATCAAATTCGGTAAGTTATAAGTAATTATAAAGCTACTGTATTTTTTAATTAATTATTGACATTTTTGAACCCATTTTGGCAAAACCTATTCAAGAATCTACTTTCTGACAATGTTCAACCATGCACATTTTTTTACGTTTTGAACGTTTTAATTTGGTTACATATTTACCTAGAAATCAAAAAATATACTAATCAATATTCTAAAAGCAATTTTAAGAGATATACGATTATTTTTAATTTAGGCTAATTTAAACGCCATTTTGAGATTATATTCGACTGTATTTCACCAAACATCAGGCGGCATCCGAAGCTGGAAATCGAAGCGAAAATTTTGAAACCATTATCATCATTATATATTTCTTACCCCACCCCCACATGATCCTATATCCATCACCAATCGTATACACATCGAATTGTGCTAATTTACTACAAAGTTACGCAAAGCAGTATCTACTATCTAAAATATGTACTGCGTGACTCTTAATACGTCCCTGCTGAATGTTACAGCGTTCGATGATCACATGGTCTTGTTTATGTCCGGTCTATCTCTTATCTGAATATACTGTAGTAATGATCTCAAACGTTATGTTACCTTAAGACTTCTTCTAATGTCATTTATAGATACGTATCCTTTCCTATCCTTATCGATAATCTGGAACCTCCTGATATATAACTGTATCTCTTCTTTGCTGAGGTTAATTGGAATCTTATCGCGACTAGCTCTGTTCACGTTTTGTCCCATTTCGTTTTGTAGGAACTCTGTGGCCTCCTTCATTTGCTTCGCCTTTTCCTCTAAAAGAGTGCCAACGTTAATGGCTTTTATTTAGCTGTTCATAAACTAAATATTTTTCCGACAACAAAGCTCCTTCATCTCGAGTTTCCAAATAAAAGCGTTTTGGCAGCAGCATGGAAAAATGGCGTAACACGTTTTTATTTGGAAACTTGAGATGAAGGAGCTTTATAGTTTGAAAAATTCCAATCGGAAAAAATATTTTTAAATTTTTAGTTTATTTTATCTTGTTTTTGAAATGTTTTTTCCTTTATTTGTTACTCTTTAGTATTTGCGATGTCAAATAACTAGTTTCTATGTAACTCAATATGTTTTATTAATAGGACTCCATAAAAGTTACTATACAGGATGTTCGAAAAATGGACGGAGATATTTTATTTAGATTAGATTTCTTGTTAAACGATATGAGAAAAAGTTTCTATAAAGATGGGAGGATACGCTTCTGCATACAGGCGCCTCGCTGCATAACACTATAACCACGTGCATATACGTATATTACATGCATTCCTCAAAAGTGTAATTTTCCATCACAAAAACTGAGACAAAAAGTTTTTAGAGAAATTTTGCAACAGAAAATTACGTAAATAATTCTTTTCTATAAGAAATGTCAAACTTCCATGCAGAAATGATTAATTTCCAAGGCACCTGTGATTTTTTTAGCAAAAATTAATAAACCAATTTTGTCCACTGATAGGCAATAAAACGTTTTTTTTAATATTTTTTTATCGAATAAGTGAAAAAAAACAAGCGACAAATACACTGTATTTTTAAATGTTTAATCTAACAACAAATATTAAAATTACAAAAAAGGCAGTGGCGTACATTTTTTGCCAATAATATGCGCAAAGGTGCCCCCCGGGATACCACTGGGCCTGATAATTTTAATCTATTTAGGGCTAAATTACCATCTTGATACAACAAATAATATTGCCATATTTCAACCGAACCCTGTAAATATTTTTTAATATAGTAATAAAAAAAAATTGATCACCCTATATCTTGAAAACCCTGCATTTACGGACCCATGAGACAAAAATACCCATTCTCAAGAGAAACCCCAAAAAAGTCCCTTTTTAGGGATAAATGTAACTTTTTGAAAATTCGATAATTTGAGTTATAACTAGCAAATATTGCAATTTTAAGATGGAAATCTGTATTTCCTCTTGTAAAATAATCTTTGCAATGATTTTTCGATTCTATATAATGTTCTAAATGTTGTGGCAAAAGAGGATTTTTATTTTAAATATGAAAATAAGGACAAACATGATTTTTTTTCTATATTGAACCACCCCAATTCTTGTAACATAGATTTTAATTTTGACAAAAAAACAGCAACCTGGACGGAAATCCCACAGATTATCATACTATCTATCTCCGCATGTATAGGCGTAAATGACAAAAAAATCTAAAATCGAGTTACACCGTAATTTCACGAAGTGACGTAACAGCATATCAGTTCGCTGCTTGGAAATAAAATTCTTAAAAAAAATGCGTAAGTAATAAAATTCCGAAAACAATTTTCACGTACCGGCTTAAATAGATTTACGCCTCTGCGTTAAAACCGGTTTTCTGTATTTGACCGATAATTATACAGCACGTACCGGCGCATATGCCTCTAATAATATGTAAACATAACCTATATCAATATTGTTGTGTGGTTGTAAATGTCGACTTAAACAAAATGTTTATTTTTTTGTCATTTACTTTTTTTTTGTACTTATAATATTATGTAGAGAATAAAACAATTTTTATTTTTGAAACAGTATTTTCGATACTTCGATACCCATGTCCAGTTTTAAATTGTTGGCGTAGCTAGTAGTAGTAGTAGAAAGATTTATTTAGCACATTTGGCTACATAAACAGAATAATTGTAAACAATTTAGAACTAGTAAACTCAAACAATATGGTGCATGATGTAAATGCTGGGCAACCTATAATTGTAGATTTAACAAGTGATTTCTCAATTTTACTTTAAATTTTGTCAAAGTTTTCTGGTCTTTTATCTCCGAGTATAATTTATTATATTCAATCAACCCTTGATGGAATACAGATTTGAAGCATATGTTATACTTTTTGGTCATTAAATGGAAGTCATCTTTATTTCCGGTATTATGTAAATGATGGTCGACATTTGATGATGTTAAATTAGTTAGACTTGATGGAAATATATTATTTTTTACTTTATGAATGAATATCATTACAAGATATTTGATAATTTTTTTTACATTGAGCCTTTTCAATTTGCTAAGCATTTGCCTAATTGGAGTATATTTATCTTTATTTAGTATTATTCTCATGCACATATTTTGTAAAATTTGCAGTCTTTCAAAAATGGAATTATTTGCTAAATATAGAATAGTCGAACAGTACAAGAAATTTGGAAGAATAATGGTATTATAGATAATTTTTCTGCTATATGAACTCAGACATCCAGCAACTCTCGATAAATATCCCACTTTACTACTAATCTTATTTATAACTTTTTCATAATGAATATCAAAAATTAATCGAGAGTCAACAAAAACCCCCAGGTATTTAAAATTTTCTACGAATTCAATATCTTCACCATCAATATTCAGTTGAACATTTGTACATTGTTTTTTTCCGATTAACAAGGCTTTCATTTTACTTGCATTTAATTTTAGTCTGTTAGATGCTAACCATTTTGAGACAAGCTTCAAGTCTTCATTTATATAAGAGATACCAGACTGAATATTTTTAGTACTTATATAAATCATAGTGTCATCGGCGAAAATCTGAATTTTGCATTTTTTGACTATGGCAGGTAAATCATTTATGTATAAAATAAAAAGAAGTGGTCCCAGGATACTGTCCTGTGGAACTCGCAACGTATTTTCAATTTTTGATGAAAAAGTGTCATTAACTTTTGTAACTTGCATCCTTTTAGACAAATAATTTCTAAACCAATCTAAAACACTTCCTGTTATACCATATGCCTTCAATTTACCTAACAAAATATCTCTATCAATCGTTTCAAATGCCCTCTTCAAATCCAAAAATACTGCTATGACAACTTCTTCTGAGTCTATGGCTCTTCTCCAATTATCAGTTACCAACTGGAAAGCTGTTTCTGTGGAATATTTTTTTCGAAAGCCTGCGTGCGCCTCCACTAAAATTTTGTTTTCTTCTATAAACTGCATTAATTGGTCATGCACTATGGACTCTAATAATTTTTCAATGTCTGGTAATACATTTACTGGTCTCATATCGCTGCATCTTTTAGAATTTTTTATTTTGGGAACTGGTGTTATTGTAGAGCATTTCAAATTTCCAGGAAAAGAACTGCTTCTCAGTGAACATGTGATCCAATTTAATACAGGATATCCCAAAATTTCGAAACAGTTTTTCAGCAAGTTTTTAGTAGTGATTTCGGCACAGTTGTTATTTGATTTTAAACTGTTTACTTTTTTTCTTAGATAATTCAATGATACGCTGTGAAATTTTGAAAGTGTATGCAACATTTCCCCTTGGAAACTGATTTTCATATGGTCAGGTGCAGCATCGGCAGTACCCACAATATCAACAATACTTTCCACAAAATATTCATTTAGTTTGTTTGCAATCACCAAAGAATTTGTTTCGGTACCGTTTTCGAATTGAACTTGATTTACACAATCATGAGGCTTCGAATTGATCAGTCTTTTTAAAGTCTTCCACATCTTTACACTGTCGATTTGTTTATCGTAGAATTTCCTTTTTTCTTCTCTAATTACATATACACATTTATTCCTAAGAGTTTTATATACCTCCCAATCATCATTTGATTTTGTGAATATACATTTATTGTATTGTTTGTCTCTCAAATTTTGACCTGCCTTAATATTCTTGTTATACCAGGGTGTATTTTTTGTCGAGCAAATCACTTTTTTATCAGTTGCAAGATCTAAACAAGTTTTTATATTTCCTATTATGTTGTCATATATTTTTTCCATGTTCTCACCAAAATTCCAATAGCAGCCAGCAAGTTCTCGTTCAAGTTTTTCGTACTTAATAGTATTTACGATTTTCTTAAGCTACACAATAAAAGAAACAAGGGTCGTGACGTAGTGGCGAAAATGTACAAAAAATATGTTTTTTAAAACTTATTTTACTTTTACAAAAATTAAACCATCCCAAAACAAAGTTCTACAAAATTTTAGTCAACTACGTGCAGACTAAAAAATCACTATGTCATTTTCAATCTTATTTATGGCTGATGTTCGTTTTGTAGCTCTCGTGTAAAATTTGTAAAATGTTAGTTTCAATATTATTGTTCAACTCACCTTCCGACCAGTTCAGCTCCTCGGCCATGATGTTAACAACTTCCGGCAACGCCTCCTGGGCAGCCTGTACGTTCAAAAAGGCCAAACGCACCCGCCTGGCGATCATGTCGATCGCTGTCATCGCGTATTCGCGTACCCCGTACCTCACCTCGGCATCGATGTACGGGAACTCGGGGTGAAGTTTCTTTCCAATGATCGGCCACCTTTTACCTAGAAATCAATCGATCAGTCGATAGGCTTTATTCAAAACAAGTTGATTACAAAGAGACGAATAAGTATAGCAAGGTCATATAAAATGCAACACCCAGTATTATTTTTTTATACTCCGACTACCAGGAAGGCCTAAGGCCTAAACCCGCATGGGGTACCGTGGGGCTATAGGGGGATACAGGGGGAAGGGGGGACGCCACACGGGCTCTGGCAAGGGAACACGTGTGTATGCTCAAAATTACAGCACTCTAGTCGGTGATGCATTTTCATTTAGCTCCAATAATTTTGGCAAAAACTATATACAGTGTGAGTCTTCATAAAGTGCACATATCAAAATCAGGGCAACTACACTCTATTTCATGGACGGATAAATCATCAAAAAACATGAATTTGATTTTTTATGAATATATGAATATTTTAAAATTTTTAGTAGCAGCTTCTAACCATATTGAAATAACTCGTTACAACTTTTAAACTAAATGTCCTCTCATATTGGAATACATTTTGTAGTGATTGCTGGTAAAAGGACGTGTCTGAAAAGTGAAGAATTCCAGGAAAAGTAATGACATCCATTTAGAATAAAGAAAATTTTGATGAAAATCTGTTTTTTTTTTGTCATCATTTTTACAATAATTTCAAATTTTCTATAAATATCGTCCCTTGTACCCTACCTTTTTTTATTTGTAAGTTATTCTACATGTTATCAGCTTTATAAAAGTAAAAATTGCACGTTTATTACTCAAATGTAACAGTTTCTATGAGTGTTTATAAAAAAGCCCATGCGCATCGTCTTGCTAGGCACCATTGTTTATCATGTAGATACCTTTTTTTGGTGATTCAATGTAGAGTCGCGCGGGCTGAAGTACGAGTGGGGAGGCGGGCCCAGTTGAAAAACATTTGAATGTTGGGCAGTTAGGCAGCTGTTTGTGTTCCTCCTGCCAACTTTATCAGTTTCGTTTGCATATCACGCTTTCGCTTTTTGGTCGCGATGCCACGTATAAGTGATTTCCCTCCGGCACACATTGCCGATATCCATTATTATTATGGAATGTACCGAGGGAGTGCTAGAGCTGCTTGCACAGCTTATCTAGCTGCATTTCCAAATCGATGCCCTGTTCCATCAGCCCGTAACTTCCAAGAAGTACATAGAAGACTGGCTAACACTGGACTTGGTTTGCCTCGAGATCGCCGCGAACCAGGTGTTATTATTCATGTTGCTATCGAAGAAGCAATTTTGGATGATTTGTTTGCTGACCCGACTACTAGTACGAGACGTTTGGCGTTACGTCATGGCGTATCCCAGAAATCGGTTTGGCGCATCTTGAGGAAAGCAGGGTTGCATCCATACCATTATCAAAGGGTGCAGCACTTGCATGAAGATGTGGATTGGCGTCCAAGGTGCGTTATGTCTACATGGATTTTAATAAAAACAAGAGACAATCCTGAATTCCCGAAAACAATTCTGTGGACAGATGCATCTCAATTCACGAGAGACGGCATCGTGAACTGTCGTAATTTACATAAGTGGTGCCCAAAAGATGAAAACCCTAGGCTGAAAAGGGCTTCAACATTTCAAGTGAAATTTTCTGTAAATGTGTGGGCCGCACTGATTGACAACTTTTTGATTGGTCCAATAATACTCCCGAGGACATTAAACGGAGAGAGATTTCTGGAGCTTTTGCGGACTGAACTGCCCTTGCTGTTGGAAGAAGTGCCACTGCAAACCCGTCGAAGAATGATGCTTCAAACGGATGGATGTCCTGCCCATTACTCGCTGATTGTCAGGTCTTTTCTTAATGAAAATTATCCAGGCCGCTGGATCGGTCGACAAGGACATGTTGGGTGGCCGGCGCGTTCCCCAGATCTCACACCTCTCGACTATTCTTTATGGGGGACAATGAAACAAAGGGTGTACAGCAGTTCCATAAACAGCAAAGCGGAACTTGAAGAAAGAGTTTTGCGTGTTACAAACGAAATAAAAAATGAACCCGAGATGATTCGTAGGGCAACTCATCAAATTTCACTTCGCGCTACAATGTGTTTGAAGCAACGGGGCGGCCATTTTGAACATTTGATGCATTAAGCCAAAATGATTATCCTATAGACAAGTCTATTTGATTCTATTTGTTAAAGATGATGAATGATTCATGTAGGTTAATACTGTTGTTTTATTCCTACTCTGGCGTTGAACTGAGTTCACTGCTTTTTGGAACGCTGATTTAAAAACTTGTATCTAAGTAATAAACTTGCAATTTTTCACCATTAGGAAGCTAATAACATGTAGAATAACTTAACATTTGAAAAAGGTAGGGTAAATAGGACAATTTTTATTGAAATTTAGCAATTGTTTTAAAAATCATTGAAAAAATAGTGAGCTAAATTTATAGCATTTAATTTCGTGGAAATTTTCACTTTACTGGTACGGCCTATTATTTGCAATCACTACAAACTTTATTCCAATATGATAGGACATTCAGTTTAAAAGTTGTAACGATTTATTTAAATAGGGTTAGCAGCTGACTCTAAAAATTTTAAAATATTCATAAAAAATCAATTATTGCTTTTATTTTTTTTTTGATAATTTTTCCGTCAATAAAATAAGGTGTAGTTTCCTTGATTTTGCTATGTGCACTTTATGAAGACTCACACTGTATAAATATTGTCTGTTAGTTGCATCTTCAAGTACTGCCATGTTTTATACTATGAAGACCAATCATTGTTTTATACTTATCCTGAATTCGCATATTTTTAAAAACAAAAATAATATCACTCTGTACCTGTTAGTGAGGCCATTTTGGCAACCGCGAAAGCCCTGTCACCGTAAGACTTAGCGAGGTGCTGTGCGACTTCGCATTCCAGTCCAAAGTCCTGCACTAGACGAATATACATGGTTGGCGTCCATTCGTGCGCCCCTACCAGCAGCAAGCCCTCAGTCTGACTTTTTGCTAGTTGAGGTTTCAAGTTGCAAGCTGCAAATTAAAAAAAACGGTAACTCTATCATACAACTGGACATACGAGGGGCACGCTGTATATTTAGAGATGCGCATTAACTATACTATAGTCGAAATCACGAAAGATGACGATTACGTCATCATTTTAGTCTGTAGTAAAGACAAACGACAGTGATTTGTGAATATTTTTAATGAAGTTTCAGATATGTTAGACAGAGACAAACAGAATTCTATTGTCTAAACAAACTGTATTGCTAATTTGCATATACCCGACAAAGATAGACGATGTTTTCATGTTGCATGATCGATCATATTTGAAAGATGAATAATTAGGTTCTGTAAAAGCAGGTTATGTTGTTTTCGAATAATACTTTGGTCTTTGGTGTTCCTGTCTTAAGGTATTCTACTTATAACTGTTTTTTTTCAAAACAAAAACTACCTACTAAAATTATTATTAAAGTATCACTCGAAACCATGAGATAAAATCAAAATAATCAGTGAAATAACCTAACTTCGCAAAATCATAATATAAATTTGTTGTCATTATGTTCCTGACATCGCGATTTTATCATCGACGTACGTCCACTGATTACTTCAGTACAATTTATGTTATGACGTAATAGTCATCTTTCGTGATTTTGACTATATAGTTGAAACCGGCAGGAATGCACTATTAAAAAGAGCGGTCCTTTACTCGTATTAGTCAGTCGTCGCATTCAGTTCATTTGCAAGCGTCTTACATTGCACGTGGTGTAAAAAAATTTAAGATGAAACAAAATCCACTTTTAATTTCCAAAAAGCAATAGAATATACAGACGATACATATATATATATATATTTACTTGAGACGTGGTCATTGTTATCTAGACCTGTTAGCTGAAAAATAAAGCTTCCGCCTTTTGTTGGGTACTTCGACAAAATTTAAGCAAAGAGGACTCTTTATACTTTATTAATCTCTAGCTTTCAATGGACTTTGCCATCTTCATCAGGAGCTGCAATAACATTGAGAAAAATAGCAACTATTGTGCAAAATGAATTTTAAATTAACATACAGTAGTATGTGAGGATGTTGCTCAATGTTATTAACGTTTAGGTTGAGGAGGGAAACGCCCAGTAACTTGGTGAAAGCTGGATACATGGTACAATCGTTAAAATTAATATAAACTATATATATATATACGTATATATATATATATATATAATACATTGCTTTAGAACTGTTAAATAGTGACATTAAAAAAATGTGAATTGGTTAAATGTTAATGAACTTGAACACCAATACAACAAAATGTACGTTAATAGGGAAATATTTAGGTGAAAATACAATTAGGCTCATGATTAATGAAGAAAAAATTTAAATAGTCAAATCATTCAAATATTTGGGCATATACATATGTGGATAGTATAAAAGCACTATGAATATATTATTTCAAAAATATCAAAAAAGATAAATTAGAGTCTCCCATATTCTCAGTATGTATTCAAACAAAAAAATTGTGTATAACACCATAATACTTCCTCATTTTTAATATTTTTCAACTATTTTTTTTTTAGAGCAAATGAAAACATATTTTCAAAATTACAAATGCTACAGAATAAAGCTATGAGAATCACTTTAAATAAAAACAAATACGCTAGTATTAAGTATATGTTAATGTATATAAAAAAAATCATAGGTTGTTTAGTTCTCATTTTCATATTCAAATTAGAAAATCATTCATTACCACCGCATTTAAATTATCATGAATATGAAACTAGTGGCAGAATAGATTTGAATCTACAAAATTTTAATAGCATAACCAACAAATCTGTATTTCAAAAGGGAGTATGAATTCAATAAATTGAATAACCATATTAAACATGCTCGAATTTATATATAAGATATAATTTTAATAGAAAAGAGGTGTAAAATTAAAGAAAATTAATTCAAACAATGGGTAAAAGAACAATTATATAAAATTGATATTTCACCATTAATGCTAAATTAATTTTCAAGAAACAAAATATTTAGTGAACACTAAGTTATTTAATAAATAGGAAATACAAAATCTTCTTAATTCAAAAATTAAAATGAAGTATCTTGAACTCTTATTATATAATAATTATGTATAGTCATTCGCTGCACATTACTAACCCAGTCTTTCAATTTTCTTCTAAATTTTTTTCCAAAATTAAGTATCTTTATTTCGTTTTATATAATTTAGCTGCTAAGAATTTAAATGATTTTTTGAATAATGTTTTGTGTGGTCTTTGGATATTAGATGAGCCTATTCGAAATCGTGTGTTGTGCTCGTGTTTATACGATTTTTTCTTTTTATTACAATACTTATGGTATAAGGTGGTGGCATGTAAGAAATAAAGTTGTCTTGTATCAAGTATCCCTGTTTCTTGATATAAGTTGTTCGTTGGATATAATCTTGGCTTATGGAAAATGGCTTTCAAAACAGTTTTTTGTGCTATATTCAGGTCAGAAATATATGTCTTGCAGGCGGCACCCCAGGCTGTGATGCCGTATATGATATGGGTTTCAACTAAGGCATGGTATAGGATACGTAGATAACTTTCTGTAAGAATGTTAGCAAGCATTTTGAGTTTATAGGCAACATTTCTAATTTTTTTGATAACATATTTAATATGGTTATCCCACCTTAGATGTGAGTCTATAAATATTCCAAGATATTTCAAAGTGTTAACTCTATCGATTTTGGTCTTTTGGCCATGATAATTAACGGAAATTTGTTCGAAGGTAGGTAAAAATTTTGAATAGGATGTAAATGCAATAAATTTTGTTTTTTTGAAGTTAACTGTTAAAATTTTAGTATCAAACCAGTCAATGATCCTTATAAAATCCTGTTCAGCTATTTGCTTCAGTGTGCTCCACTTTATATAATACGAGGGTGTCATCTGCAAAACATATAATCTTTCCAGAACTGTTAATTTTGAATAAGTCATTTAAGTAGAGGCTAAATAATAGTGGGCCTAGTACTGTTCCTTGAGGCACACCACACTTGATGTACATTTTTTTACTGTAAGTGTTAGTGATTTTGACAGTCTGTGCCCGACTTGAAAGGTAATTTTTTAAAAGGATTTGTGACGCTCCGCTAAATCCCAATCTTTCCATAACTTTCAGAAGCTCGACATGGTTAACCGTATCAAAGGCATTTTTTAGATCAACAAAGATACCAATAGTAGGTATCTTTTTGTTGACATTAGAGTTAATTTCATCCATTGCAGCCAAAATTGCATCTGTAGTAGATTTTCCTTTTCTAAATCCATATTGGTCAGAACATATAATTTTGTTTTTGTCCAAAAATTGTAATATCCTAACTGATTATTGAGAAGCCAGAGGTTAAAATTGTTGAGAAACGCACCTTCAACAGCAGCGTCTATCGTTTCTTCTGCCATCGATCTATACGTGGTCCACTTTCCACCAGCTATCGTCACTAAATTCGCAGGGCTAACGTGAATGATATGATTTCTTGCTAGTGATTGCGTGTCTGGTTTATTGGGATCTTGTACTAAAGGCCTGATACCACTCCATGCGGATAAAACGTCACCTCTTCTTACTGAAACAAAAAAAAAATGGTGTTAAAATATAGATAGATAGAAGGTCGCCGGATTTAACGGCTCCTGATTTTTTTATGGAGATTTTTGAAATATAGAGTTTATGACAACAAATCAGATACTGTAGAGCAGCTGAAGAACAATATTACGGAAGCGATTAAAAATGTTCCTCTCGAAACCTACCAAAAAATGTCTAAGTTTCATTAAAAGATTAAGATGAAAAAAATGAGCGTATTTTATTTCGTTTCACAAATATTCAAGATACAAACCAGTCAGTTACATATCGGCCATCTGATAGTTCGTTTTTGTAGAATAAGCATTTTTTGGACAATTTTGGCAACAGGATCCAAAAGGGAATGCTATATCTCAATCTACTTTCAAATAAAGCGTAATAACTGCTTAAGGATGCGCTTCTTATAATAAAGGGAATCTTTGCAGGTTGTATAAGCAATTTGTCTACATGTTCAAATCTAATTCATGATCAACAGACAGTCCCAAAAATTTGATGGTGTCTGTTTTGTGTATCAATCCATTATTTAAATTGATAAAATCAACCACTGGCATTGACTTTACGAGAAAGCTTATAGCTAAATAAACACTTATGAAATGTCAGTACCAAAGAAGTGAACGAGACAATCCTTTGAAGCAATACGGTACCGGTCGATATTGAGTCGCAAATACAACCAAGATAAAAAAAAAAGATGAATCATTCGTAAAAAAAATACCTTCTACATCGGGATTCAGGTAGTTCTTAACTTCTTCTAATATAAACATAATTTCGTCTTCAGTCGGTTTTGGGTTGTGTGTTACAGAACATGGCAGATCCGTTGTTCCTGCAATTGTGTGTTTCTGCCACGGTAAAAAGAAGATTACTCTACCATCACTTGTAGCTGGATCTAGTAGACCCATTTGTTCGGGACTGTAGTAACCTAGGAAAAAAGTATAAAAATAATAGCAATCTTTATTTCTTTACAACACTGTAATGCAGCTAAGGTTAGACTTAGATGGCGAAATTTAGCGTTTGCTACTCTTGCATTTAACCACAAAAATCACTAGCAGATGTTAATCATAATGGAATATTATCAATATTATGGGTAATATGGATAAATATATTAGAAAAGCTGTGGTCAAGAAAATAGTATATGAAAGAGTGAACCCAACACCCTGGTTTTCACAGATATTCAGAAAGCTTGTGTTAAACTAAAGTGAAAATGATTGGAAACAACATACAAAATGAGTCTGTAGCAGTTCTCGGGAAGGGAAAAAAATACTATGTTAACAAGATCGATAGCAATAAAAATGATTCTAAAATGGTGTGGAAAACATTAAAGAATATTGTTTCTCCAAATAGAGGGAATGAATTACCTGAAATGCGTTTCGAAAATGGGGAAGTGACATAAAAAATAATTATACCAGAAAAAATAAACACTTATTCCATAGACAGTATAAATCAAATAGAAGACGATTGATGGTGGCCTCCTATTTCGGTGCCGAGCGTCGCCAATAGGCGCCTCTTATTGGGTTGTGGTGGGGGAGCCGACAAATACGACGGTGTAGCCGGATTTCACCTAGCATCACGCGCTGCAAAGTTACAGCATTGGGAACCATATTTTTGAAACAACCCTCGTAAATCAAAAATAACACGGGGCCTAAATATTGAGCCCAATAAAGTGCTCATCAAACTCCAGAAACTGAGTCACGCTGACGCTCCAAGCTTGACGATTTTACGAAAATTTCGCCTTCTAGACCAAGATTCAACAATAACTACCTGGTAACGTAATATGAACCCCACTGCTAGGCGCGCAGATTTCCTTAACCTCGGGATTATCCATCTTCCTTATACTGTCCGTAAAAGGTCCCGTTGCGTTGATCACGCATTTCGCTGGCACGTCCCACTGTTTCCCCGTCATTTCGTCCTTGACGGAGACGCCGCAGATCACTTCTTTGCCGTCTCGTTGTTCTTTGAGCAGTTTCGTCACGCTGACGTGATTCACTACCGTGGCACCGTGCTTGGCTGCGGTCAGAGCTACGGCCAGGTTCATTCTGGCATCGTCCTGCTGACCTGAAAAGAAAGTAGCAAAGACGTTCACTTAGATTTGAACAGAATTAGTAAACCAAACTAAACAGAAATATGTACTACCAAAGTAAAATATATAAAAGACGAATGTCACAAATTTGGTGTTTTGTAGTTAGAACCGGCAACACGCAAATACAATGACAGTTCGTAGTTATAGTCAAGATGACTATTACGTCATACCAGCGCCGCTGGTCATACCCTGAATTGTACTGAAGTAATCAATGGACGTACGTCGATGATAAAATCACGATGTCAGGATCATAATGACAACAAATTTATATTATGATTTTGCGAAGTTAGGTTAGGTTATTTTTATTGTCATTTTATTTCATGGTTTTGAGTGATACCTTAATAATAATTTTAGTGGGGAGTTTTTGTTTTGAAACACACAGTTATGAGTACCTTAAGACAGGAACACCAAAGACCGAAGTATTATTCGAAAACAACATAACCTGCTTTAACATAACCTAACTATTCATCTTTCATCTTTCTGTCTAACATATCTGAAACTTCATTAAAAATATTCACAAATCGCTGTCGTTTGTATTTACTACAGACTAAAATGATGACCGTCATCTTTCGTGATTTCGACTATAAAAGGTAAGTAATTAATATGGTAGATAACAGATTTACCTATGCCTTTTTATTCTTTTTTTCAGCGATAGCAAGATTTCATAATGTACAAAATAGTAGTACAGCTAGACTTACAAATAAGGAATTTCGATTTGGGCATTTCGGGAAATACCAAATTCTTGGGATTGACTTGGACGAGAATGTCAATTTTAAAGAGTACTGTAGTCATATGGTCTCAAAGTTGAATACCCAGTCGTATGTTTTGAAAAATATATGCAGCACTTTAACAGAAGCGCGACTTCTAACACTCCAGATCAAGTTAAATAAAAGCTTGTAGAAATAAAACGATATGGATTCGACGTTAACTGTATCGATATACAGAGTGTTCGAAAAATAGACGGAGATATTTTAGAGAGTAATTTCTTGTTAAAAAATATGAAAAAAATTTCTATAAACATAGGACCGGAAATCTGGAGTTTTCAAGATACCGGCAGATAAATTTAAAAAAAAAAACTATTAACATCGTAAAAAAATATTTACTCGACTCACTGATTTTTTGTTTTCCAAGGCACTTTTAATTTTTTTAGCAAAGTTAATAAACCAATTTTGTGACAATAAAACGGTTTTTATTTTTTTTTCTTGAAAACGAAGTGAGATACGAAAAAAATACAGCAATCAAGCAATAGATATTAAAGTTACAAAAAAGGCAGTGGCGTACATTTTATTTGCCAATAATCTCTAAGGTGTCCTCCGGGATCTAGTAACTTTAATCTATTTAGGACTAAATTAGCCTCTTGATAAAACAAATAGAATTTCAACAGTGTCGAGTAAATATTTTTTTAAGATATTAATAAAAAAATATTTTTTTAAATTTATGACCCTGTATCTTAAAAATTCTGCATTCCCGGACCCATGTTTATAGAACCTTTTTATCATATTTTTTAACAAGGAATCGCCCTCTAAAATAACTCTGTCAATTTTTCGAACACCCTGTATAACATAGGTAAGTATCAAAATGGCGAGATAAGTACCAAATAAGGTTAACGTTCACGTTCTGATATTTTTTTTGGGTTTATCAATTTGTAATAGAAAAAATAAATATACAAGGTATCCTTGTTTTTTTACCAATACAACTTAGACTTACCATCATAATACACGATTCCACCGACTAACTTATCGCCCCTCAACATCGGAAACAATTCCAATGCATTATTCTTTGACAGAAAATAGGAAGACTTCAGCGTTTTCCCGCCAGCCACAACGTCGTACGCCTTGATACCGACCCAATAATAAGGGACTTGCCACCATCTAGAATGAAACACTCAAATTTAATATTTGAAATAGTCTGTTTAGATTTTTGATCAGCTTATAACCTGTAAAGTTGTATTTTTCTCCTCCAGATACCTACTTATAAACAGGCAGCATGATGGGCAGAGGATGCGCCAAATGTGGCGCTTGCTTAAGCATGCTCGCCCTTTCGTTTAACGCTTCTTTGACCATTCGGTACTGCTCTATGTCAAGTTGCATGATGGCCTTCTGAAGATACCTGACACCACCGTGGATCAGTTTTGTGCTACGACTCGAGGTACCGCTTGCAAAGTCGTCTGCTTCCACGAGCGCGGTCTTCAGGCCTGGAAGAAAGAAGTTCAAAACTCGATATATTTATTGAAAAAAAAACGGTGCTGTTGCGTCTTGTAGAACTTCGGATTTCACTGTTTTTTCAACTGAAACTTCTAGAGGGTAGTCTGATAGATTATTTTAAATAAAAAAAAGTGCGGATGAAGCACGCTTTTCGTGAATTTTTTCTCAAAAGACGTATTTTTAGCAGTCATTTCTACCATTATTTACACTACCATCTGCCATATGACGACGTTGATGTCTGTGCATATGTCATATATGAGAGGCGCTTACCTGCGGTGTTGCCGGATTGGGCTCCGCATTTAGGAAAAATGAAAAGTGGAAAATCTATATATGTACATTTATAGTAATTATAAAAAACAAAAATCAAACAGTAAAATAGAAAGCCATTCTAGTGATAACAAGAAACAAAAAGTAAAAACAGTAGTAAAATAAAAAACAATTCCATGTAATGCTTTTTATTTTACTGTTTGTTATTTGTTTTTTATAATTACATGGAATAGTTTTTTTTTGCTTTACTACTTTTTATTTTTTATGCAGAAAAAATGTAAACGAACCCAAAAGCGTCGTCTACTATACGTCAGTACCACTCTGTATAAAGCAATAAAAAAGCGCGGGTCCTAGAAAGAAAGTTCTTAGAAAAATGTCGGCAACTTTAGAAGTCAGAAGATCAAAGGCTTTTTCGCGAGTACCCCTTCTACTGGTAAATCTGTTTCGAATTTATTCATACGAGGATTGTTTCAAAAATAAGATTCCCACATTTTCTTCAGACACAACGTATAGATCGACCAGCCAAAGATTGCTAGGGACGAAAGGGGGAAATGCGATGAAAAAACCTTACCATTAGACGATTTTATATGGAGTCATAGGCGGAGATCGGAGAGACTTGAATTATTAATTGAATTTATATTTTATTACAACTGGTAGTATTAATATTTTTTTGCGATTCATAATGACGTGATACCAAACATACATTATAAGAAATAAATATACACAAACACTGAATATTGAGAACAAAATAAATATATTTTTTAGGCAACAAGTAATATTCCTATGTACGCATTATGATTGAACAGCAAAACAAATTATGCATTCTTCTAAAATAGAATACAACAAGTCAAAAATATCTGACTGAATAGAAAAATATAGGAAAACAAAAAGTAATTTCTTGATGAAATAACCCATAAACAACACATAGAATTAGACTTTCTACTGAGATACTAAAAGCCACAAACCAATAGTATAATAAATGAATATCTAAAAATTCTAAAAGGTAGCCAATCTAGTATAGTTTCAATCCTGATTAGAGTCATGATCACTGTCTGAGGAACTGTCATTGCTATCACTTTCACCTCCTATGTTGATTATTATTTCTTCCTGTATTTCTTGAATGAGACTGTCTTTTTCCCAATATTCATCTTCAATTTTTATAACATGTCCAATAACCTTTTGCCAGTCACTGGCACTTACTGAAGCGATGGCCTTATTAGAAATTTCATCTAGTTTTTTTATAGTAAATTCGCCGCTTGTATTATGGCTTCTAATGAAAAATTTTACTTGTGCCCAAATCATCTCTATGGGATTAAACTGACACATATAGGGTGGCGTTCGAAGTGGGGTGTGTCCGAAACTTCTTATTAAATTATCTATCTTATAATTTTTCTCATCAGATGGTGGCCTATGTAGACAAGCTATTTCATAAAGCTCCATTTTTTTAGCATTAGGATCATGCTCTATACCTTTTTTGCTCAACCACGTGATGATGTCTCTTTTTAGAGAAGATCTAGTTGGAGGCTTGTCTTCCAAAGCTGAATGGTAAGGTGCATTATCCATTATTATAATACTATTAGGAGGAATGTTAGGAAATAGTTTTTCAGTAAGCCACTTCGTGAAATTTTCTTGGTTCATTTGACCGTGATAATCACCAGTGGCACAGCCAGCCTTGAAAATGAGACAGGCTCCAGGAACAAAACCATCTTTCGAACCCGCATGAACAATTATAAGTCGTCCTGGAAATGAATAAATAGCCTCATTTTAGTGTTATTTTAAGTTTGCCAACACCTTTTTGAATCACTATGTATAAAAAACATATTTTTGAGAAAAAAATACTTGCAAGGGATTATGTATTCAATTAGACAAATTAAATGAGCACTTATTAAGAATATTCCAAAATTGAGAAAAATGTATAATAAGCAAAATCGAGGTGAAAGAAACTTTATTACCTGTAGAACTTATATTGCTCAGGACACCCATAATTTCTTCGCTTTGCCAGCATTTCTTGAAAGTGAGGTCATTATCAACCCAAGTTTCGTCCAAATAAATAATATGCCTTCCTTCTTCCCGGAACTTTTTAATAGACCTAAGATACTTGTATCGCCAATGTAAAATACTGGGTCTTTCCATTAGTAATTTCCTTTTGTTGTGGCATTTACGCCAGTAAAATCCTTTTGCTTTTAAAAGCAGCCTCAACGATTCTTTACCAAATGGAAATTCCATTTCTTCCTTCAGTTTGATTAGAAGTTTACTACAAGTAGGTACCACTTTAAAATCACAGTAAAATTTTTCTATCATTCTCCGAATAATGGAAAAATCGACTCCATCAATTTTTTGGATCACAGAAGGGCGTGATCTCTTTTTTCCGGGAGAAGCTAAAGGCTGTGTGGAGGTTGCATTTTGCCTGTCTTTATCTTCTTTTCTAATTTTACTTATAGTTCGTTCACTAACACCCGTATAATATGCCGCCCTTGCATTTCTAGCTACCAGTGGATAAACGAAAGTATTGTTAGCCGCTTCTGCATCGCAAGCACGTATCACGTTTGCTATTATTTCCCTTGCCTGGCTGTGAATAACTTTCCCATGCTTGAATTCCATTATCACCACTAAACAGTAAATTATATTTTCAAAGTATTTGCCAACTGCCTACGCCTATGGGAGTAGGTTTATAAATGACCGTGCCATCGGCACGTTATTCTAGTTTCAGATAAGATAAGAGTTTTGGACCAATCAGCGACCGGATGTTTACCTGCGGCCTGGGTTTTCCAGCTACATTGCCAAATTCAGCGGAACAATTCTATATCTTAAATATGTTAATATGTATGGACCGCATTTTATGTAGAACATCTGACAACTTCGCAATTTTTTGTCCGCATTCTTTCGGCTTGCAATCTTTCGCTGGTCCAACAATATTGTTTATTTCAAAAAACAAAACGTTGATCTTCAAACTGTTTTCCTACGTAGTCGCCAATTTTGCACCTGGCGGTGTCGGCGATGAAGGTCTACATTGCGCATGTCTGCCGGACCGGCACTGAGCGTCGCATATTAGTATCGGTGGTGGGGGAGCCGACAAACACTACGGTGTTGCCAGATTTCGCATAGCATCACGCGCAGCAAGCTACAGCGTTGGGAACATGGTTATTGAAACAACCCTCGTATCAAATCGGATAATAATTGGAAATCGTACCTCTTGTACAGGAATCTAAGGCACATCCAGCACCGGTGGCTCCACCGCCAACGATAACGACGTCGAAGCATTCTGACTGAAGTGATTTGATCTGCTCATCTCTCGTAGGTAGTATTCGTTTTGGTTTTACTCTTTTCTGTTCTGCTCTTACTTCCGGCCACTGCAAAAAATGTTGCATTTCACATATTGATAATTCACTAAGGATGAATATTTCTATAGCACAACAAAATCTTAAACGAAATCTTGATGCATTTTTCCATAATATATCGATGATTGTAAAATTGCAATGTTTCATCATATGAAAAAAAAGTTAATAACAAAGAAGAAAAGACGAAACGTAGGATGAAAATATAATGTCATTTTGTAGAGGAAGAACGTTATGGAACCCCCAGTATATATTAAAATATTGTTAAAATATGCACTAATAACATATCAAGGTTCTCACGAAAACAGTTTTTTGACATATTTTCCAGTTTGCTCATAAAATTACTTTCCGTTTTCGTTGAGAAACCCTGCATGTGTCATGTAATATCCAAAAAACTTAATATATCAATTTCAAAAATTTTCGTGCCTACAAAACGCAGTTGGCGTGGGAATAAAATGAAAAAAACGAACTAAGGGTGGCTAGAATGTTTCTTATTTTAAAAAACAGGAGTTAAATGTTACTTGATTAAGATAGTACTTTAAAACACAAATCAGCATCAGTTACGACAAAATATTTGGCGTTAAGGTCAACTACGATACCAATGAAACTAGCCTACAGCGACATGAAGAAATAACAGTTCTGCGATGTTCGCCATAACTTTAGTGATGGCAGATAATAGGAGTGACTTTATTGTCCCACAAGTCGAAGACAAAAACAAGACAAGACAAAAATCTACACCATGTAATGATCTTCCAGTTCCCGTTACTAAATTTTTTTCTCAATTCATGACAATTCATGGGAAAAAGTTTAGTCAAAGCCAATCCAAAATAAATTTGTAGAAATTAAAACTAAAAGATTATCACTGGGTGTAGATTTTTCCGACTTTTCCAATGTTTTTAAAGCCTATAATTTGAAAATTGCACAACTTTATTCATATTTTTCTGATAACGATTACGACTTGGCCTATCCCCCGTTTCCGACTGGGCGTTCGTGGAAAATTTTAAATTGTTAGCTTAAAACAGCATTTTCGCTATTGCGTTTCGAACAATTCTGGGAGAAAACGAAAGCGATTTTGAGAAAATATTCCGGGAAAACTTTCAATTTCGCAACTATTCTTTTGATTTCATTAGTAACTTAAGCTTCTGTTAACAATTTCGAGGTAGGGTAGGTCAAATTTGAATCACCCTGTATACAGGGTGACTTCGAAGTTGAGTCATTTATTTTAACAGTGAGTAGATCTGATCAAAAGAAATGTTTTTTTCCTTTACCATTTTTCTGGTAAAATTAAAGTAACAAAGTTATAGCCCTTTGGAAGTTTGAGTACCGCCCTGTCTCAATAATAATATTATGTGCTCGTGTTTGGCAACAACGGATATAATCCGCCTTATCGGTTCATCGCATCGGAAACAAAAAAGCGAAAGAATTTGGAACGATGTTTTTACAATTATTTTATTCAGTTGTATACGGTCAGTGTCAGTCGGTAACGCGTGAGTGAATAGTGGTGTCTGTTGCGTGGCACAAACGAAATAAAAAATGGCACATGTTTATGCGGATCGGTTTTCCAATCGAGTGCAATCAACCCCTCGTGCCTTTGTTAATGTAGTACAACGGGCTCGTGAATCAGGTGACTTAAGACCTCACAGGGGACGGCATGCCGGTGCTCCAAGACCTCACGATCAAATACAGGTCCGCACTGAAATATTTGTCGGGAGGATACTTTATAAAACAAGGTAAACATTTTTTTTTATTTTTTTTTTTATTTTTACACACATATTTTGGTTTATCTTCCTTCTACAATCATTATCTGAAAATTAATGACTCAACTTCAAAGTCACCCTGTATAAACACCATACCTCGTGAATGTGAAGATGTTCGTCTATACTACGTTTCATCAGAATTAAGATATAAACACATATTTCTATATAAGTTTTATATAACTTCCATTATTATCATACGCCTCATTCAGTTTTAGACTTGCGAGATTGTGGATATAAATAGCGCACACAATTTTGCCATTGGGAAGACGTCCAGCTTTGTTTCTACATCTGATCGCAGCCGACACGTAATTATGAGAAGCTAGGGAAAAATTCCATCTGGGATAAATTTACACAAAAATGGTCAAAGAATTTCATATGTAACCATTAGAAATTGAAAATGTACGTATATTTAACATATGCGTGCATTTGAAAATATAACAGCCTGAAAAAATGCATCACTATGTATTTAAAGGATCTGTATTCAAAATTCTACAAAATTACTCAATTGACGAAGTCAAAAAGTTAAAATTGGATGTACATAATCCAGCTCAAAACATATTTCTATTGGTGTACCGCAAGGTAGTAAACTGGGTCCATAGCTCCATTACTATTTATTTTATGCAGATGATACATTAATATACATATCAGATAAAAATATAGACACTGCTTTAATGATGCCAAATTCTGACTTGACAAAATCATAAATTGTCTAAATGTAAATAAACTAAAATTGAATAATTTTAAAACAAAATGTAAGCTGATAGGGAAATACTTAAATGAATGTACTATCACAGTTAGGATAAATATAATTGAAAAAGTTAAATCAATTAAATACTTGCATATATATATATATATATATATATATATATGTATAGGTGAAAAATTAAAGCTTCCGCCTTTTGTTGGGTACTTCGACAAAATTTAAGCAAAGAGGACTCTTTATACTTTTTTAATTCTCTCTAGCTTTCAATGGACTTTGCCATCATCATCAGGAGCTGCAATTACAATGATAACAGTAGCAACAAAAGTGTAAAAGTGAATTTAAATTGAATCAACTTACAGTAGTATGTGAGGATGTTGCTAATTGTTGTTTTCGTATAGGATGAGGGAAACGTCCAGTAATATGGTGAGAGCTGGATACATGGTACAATGGTTAAAATTATATAAAATATGACAAGACAAGTTAAAGACAGATTAAAAATTATTTAGAAAACATTAGAGCATTACGTCGTGAAGCCACTTGATGATTGCACAAAATGGTGGTCATGGAATAATGAGTGAGATGAACCTTTGACAGAAGGCCGAAGGTTGTCAATGTCTGTGTTGAAAGATGGAACGAATTGTGGGCGTGTGCCAAAACGTTGCCAAATCACTTCAGATGATGTGATTTTCAGAATGTTATGTAAGAAATTGTTAAACCGACCAGAGGCAGTTGAATAAACTATATTTTAATTAATGGGAATTTTAAATTAATAATTATTAATAAATCGTGAGAAGAGAATTATTAGATTTTGAGTGGAATGAAATTTGTTGGTGGAATCGGCCAAAACACAGATTATATTTATGGTTGTGAAAAGTCTAAATTTGGGGAGATATGTAAGTTCTCCAATTTTTCGCAGTTTAGCAAATATGAGTAAATGACACTCAGTTGTTTAATATCTATATATATATATATATATATATATACTCGTATACTCGTAAATTGATAGAAAACTAAAGCTTAAAGATTACTATAAATACATTATGTCAAAAATTGACAAAAAAACAAATCACGTTTATAGGGTTTTTACGTAGTCTTAGTACATATTCCAAAAAAAAAAGTGTATATAACAATTACTACTACTGCTTGCCAAGACTCTTGAGATTCTTTTGAAAGATTAGCTGATTGACTATTCTGAAAGCAACATCCTATTTACTGACTGTCAATTCGGTTTCAAATGAGGTAAGTGTACTTCTCTACTCTACTGCCAGCGCAATTACAGTTTCATGTGGTCCACAAGGTTCTGTGCTGGGTCCACGTTTATTCTTAGTATACATAAATGGTCTTCCTAATTGTAATACAAACAAAAACCTTATTTACTGTTCCTTAGTTCAGTATTCCTTTGTTTAGATGTTAATGTAATTCAATTTAGTGTTTATTTATTGTTGTTACATAATTAGTAATCAAAAATTATAAAAAAAAATAATTTCCAAGAGAAACTTTCCCATATTTCTTGTGTGGTCCAGGGACAGACTTTTTTTTCTCGAAAACTAAGCAAAATACGAAAAAAAATCAAGACAAAAAAGTTGTATTCTGCTTAATTCATAATAAAGATTGCACAAAAGTCAGTGGCGTACATTTTTTGTCATAAATATTCGTTCTGATCCCGCTCGAGATGCCACTGGACCTAATAAATTTAATCAAGTTGGATTCGAATTAGCTCGTAAAATAAATACCACCGCCAAATTACAACAAAATTAGGTCAAGGATATTTAAGATATTTACGAAAAACCATTTATTTTTTTACTTTTAACATACTTAATTAATACCCTGTGTATTATATTATTATTCCATATTTAACAAAAGTAAAATAAGGCGAAGAAATTGGGTCGAAATCGTTCCCATTTATGTCATATAGAAAGCAGTGAATATCTACTTACAAATGAGTTTCTGTCTTCTTTTAATAATAAATAGGTGGCAAGTCCAGCTCCCGTTACGCCTGCTATGCCTCCCACGGCGATCCTCTTCAAGTTTGACGCCATGCTGGAACAGTTATCATTATCTTAAAGGTTTGAAAATTCAGAAAAAATGACACAAGTATCATAGTCATCATATAGCAATAACGGGTTTCTGATGTTTGACATGACGTGTTTCATTAAATAAACATATTATACAGGATGTTCCAATAATGAGATCATAGATACTTTCGCTCAGAAGTACTAAAAATGATATAAGTAATTCAAATCACAATCGTTACAACGTTCTCGAATGACCGGTTGTTGCAAAAAGACTCGACAATCCTAACTTGATTCGCAAAAACACTTCGCCGTCTAGATGCATTTCAAAGCTGTGGGTAATCGAATAAAACAAAATTTTATAAAGTACGTATCAAAAATTCAACAATACTTCTGAATTGAACAGGTTAAAATTTGCATTTTCAGAATGCAAGTCAACGTGTGTGTGATAATATAGAAGGTTTTGAATCGCATATTTTTATATAGTGTTTTCTCATAATACCGAGAAGAATATACAGGGTGGCGCATCGAAAACGAAACAAACGCATTAACTGGTAGCTCAGTTTTTTTTTTGAAAAACGCTCAGACCCGTCGATTTTGTTTTCGAGGGGGACACAAGCTTGGCAAAAAAGCGGGGGTGACACCACCCCCAAAATCTTAAATGGAAAGGGGGGTCGAGTGATACCTTATTTTAAAGGTCTTTCAATTCCCTTTATAATGATATAAAATTAATGTACTTCAGTTCAGCAGTTTTGAAGATTTATTGATCCAAAGCTTAAATAAAACTAATACATCATCATCAGTGGAGATCAATACATCTGGCAGCAAAGTAATTTAAAAATGAAGAATGAACTGACCCGTTAGGCAAGTAAATGTTGAAAATGGCCACCATGACTCTCCATGCAATAATAAAGATTTTGCTTAAAACGTTGTCGCACATTTTGCAACAATATTTGAGGAGTAACTTGAAGGCACTCATTCACAATTCTTTGTCGCAGGTCTTCTAATGATGTTGGCTGAGTAGCATAGATTTTGCTTTTTAAATGACCTCACATAAAGAAATCCAAAGGTGATAAATCTGGCGATCTTGGGGGCCATTCAATGGCACCTCGGCTACCAATCCATCGATCTCGAAACGTCTGATCTAAATATTGTCGTTTTACTACGCCATTTACATTCGTGGAAAAGCAAGTGTTGAACACACAGTCTCCAATTTGCGGGTACTTAACGTAGGATCTACATAAACTTGCCCTAAAACCCCCACTTCTATTGCTTCGTTCCTTATGGGATTTTCAATGTTGCGTTTTTTATTGGCGACTGACCCAGTTTCCCGAAATTTAGCTACAAGTTCTAGAACATATTTTCGATGCACGTTACTGTTCTCATGTCGCTCATTAAATATTTCTGCTGTTCTATTTCCGAAAAATATTTCGATAATTTCAACTCTTTCTGCTGTTATGTTTTATTTATGTAATAAAGCGTTACAAGTTATTTTAGCAATAAGGTTTGGTCGAATAAATCGCAAACTATGCACTAAATTCCTATTTAAAATAAGTACGAGATATTTCCTTATCTTTCTTCAAGAAATAACCTTTTTGCCACAAAAAAACGCTCCAATAGCTATTTTCAACAAAAAAATGATGAACAAACCAAGGGCGTAGTGAAGAAAAGCATTTACTTATTAAGTAAATTCTTTTAATCAAATTCCTTCCGAAAGTAGTACAAACTAATCTGATGTACCTATTAAAGTCTACTTTAAGCTTTAAATCAATAAATCTTCAAAACTACTGAACTGAAGCTCATGTATTTTACATCATTATAAAGGGAATTGAAAGACATTTAAAATAAGGTATCACTCGACCCCCCTTTCCACTTAAGATTTTAGGGTTGGTGTCACCCCCGCCCAGGGGGCTGCACGTGTTAACGTGATTTTTTGCCAAACTTGTGTCCAGCTCGAAAAAAAATCAACGGGTCTGAGCGTTTTGCCAAAAAAAAAAATGAGCCGCCAGTAAATGCGTCTGTTTCGTTTTCGATGCGCCACCCTGTATATTTTGCATTCGAAAATTTATTCTGCACGTATTGTCACAGTAGGAAGTTAAGCTAACTTACATCATATCGAAAATTTATAGGCAACTTAGGAAAGCTATTTTTTTACCAGCAATACAAATAAATCTGTTTTCCACGATAATCTAAATTTTTCACGTTTTCGTAAAGCTTCTGTCAAATGCTTGCACGGTATCTAGACATCTACAACTAATGACTAACAGGTAATCAGTAAGGCTGGTTGCATACATTCGTTTCCCGTATACAGTTTCCCAATCAGGAATTCCAATTCGGAATTCCGTAAGACTAGGGCAAACGTTCAGTTTCTTTAACTGTGAATGCTTGGCGATGGTGAACGAAGATTTAATTGTGATTGCACTTCTATTATCATTATCCAAAAAGAAGAAAAAGAAATGTCGGTATTGGGTGCATCCCTTATCCGTTCCGTTTTTTTTATCGCGCGGCTGGCTTCCGAAACGAACGTACGGAATGTGTTTGATGCATTCGGGTCTCCGAATACGGAAAACAAATTCGGAAATCGAACGCGGAAAACGAATGTATGCGCCCAGCCTAACACCGAGCCAAGGCAGTTATTAAAAAAATGCCGTCAAGTAGGTTGACTCTGCTTTTCTTACGCAACGCCGTCGTCAGTGCGTAATCTATTAGATCATTTCTACTAGAAAACCCAAAATACACCGATTTATCGATACATCCATGTGTATCTCTACGATGTTTGTATCCTTATACAGAAATTGACATTGCGGTATTCCCCGAGTATCGCAGGCGGTACAGTCGTTTTTCAAGTTGACGAAACTCTGGATTCCACTTCGTTTGAACCTGAGATCGCCAAATGGCCCGAAAATAGGATATACATATTTTTATGACTTTCTTAAGAATATTTGTATGAACTTTTTTCTGAGAATCACGCTTACACACTGTATTTTCTTGCCTGTTCTTGGTATACTCGCATGACTTGATTACATGTCCATCCTCACCTTACGTTCGAATTAATATGTATACTTTATCTGAAGTCACTTGAAATAGCATAAAAACCTTTGGTCCTTTGTAATTTCATGACGTATCATAGGCGTGCGGTCATTTATTTAGAACGACAATAATAATGTTTTTATATCACAATAAATGGATTTTACTATCTTCTTATTTTTTTGATTTGGGATAAAAAATACTTATATTGGGAGTTTAATTTATGTTGACTGAAAGTTAAGAAATGGAAAAATTACAGAATTCCAACGTTTGACATAGGCAAATATTTACATAGCAGGTAGGTATATAAAAAGGTATATAAAGACTTACATTATAGGTATTTATATATCATCCTCGCCTTCGGAGCTGTCGCTAGAGTCATCTTGTAGAGGAATTACAACGGGATTTACAGGAGGCAAAACACAATATTCATTTTCTTTTTCAATAATATGCCTAGAACACTGCTTCCATAGGTCTATGGCAGCAATATGAGATACTGCATCTCTTATTGTGGCCAATAGCGATTCACTTAATTGAGGGGTCTGATTATGTTTTCTTACTTTTTTTTAAAAGCAGCCCAGACCAACTCAATCGGGTTAAAAATGCAGTAATAGGGAGGTAGACGTAATACTTCATGGCCATTTTGCTGAAGCAGATTGTCAACAACATACTCTTTTTCAAATTTTTGTCTTTTAATAAGATCCAATAATATGGCTTTGGTTGATTTTTGTGGTATTTCCATTCCCTTATCCTTCATAAAATCAATAATGTCTTGTTTTTTTGTGCCTGTATTCGGAATTTTGTTTTTCTGTCGGGAATGGTATGGCGCATTGTCCATAATAATCACCGAATTTGGGGAAATGTTTGGTATTAACTGCTGCTCTATCCACTTTTCAAATAAGTCGGAGGTCATGTCCTCATGATAGTCGGCACATGATTCTTTGATATTTTTGGCAGATAACAGCAAGGCATTAGGTATAAATCCATTTTCACTGCCAGCATGGAGAATAATGATTCGTTTTCCACGGTTGCATGGTGCATTTAAAATGCACTTGTTGCTGTCGTCAACCCAGCCGGACTGCACAACATCATGGGTATCATACCACGTTTCATCCAGGTAAATCAGATTTCTTTTCTGCTCTCTATAGATTTTAACTTTGTGCAAAAATTCTTGGCGCAATTCAACGATTCGAGACGACTCCATAATCACCATTCTTTTATCTAATTTTTTGTATTGAAAACCACACAGTTTTACAATACAGTGCAGTGAGTCTAAGCATTTGTAATTATAAAAATCTTCAGGATAATCTTTTAATTTATCCCGTATCATTTCCAACGTGGGCACCAAATTTTCTTTATAAAATTCGTATATTATACGACGAATATCTTCCTGAAAACCCACGTCTATTCTTTTTAATTTTTGCCCTATGCGCTTTCTGTGGAAGGAATGGTTGACAACATCTCCCCTTTTTATAACCCGATAAATGGTAGACCGACTGATTTTTGTCAGGATACAAATTCTGTTTAAAATTTGATTTTGCGAGGAATCTGGATTTTCGTTTTTCAGACAATCATACATATTTAGGATTACTCTTTGGGTCTGTTCCTCTAAATCTTTATGAAAGAATTCTTCCTGCACAGGTTCATCAACCATCTCCTCGTGACTTGGAGCATTTTCCCAAGGTCTCCAAAGAGCCATATTTAGGACACACAAGAACAATCAACACAACAATTAAATCAACAAGTAAACTGAGTATTCAAAAGTCAAAAACACACAAACTAATAAAATCTATGAAAAAACACGGACAGACTAAAGAAAACACGTTTATTCACCGCTACACGGCACTGGCTAAACTGTTTCAATTTTCAGTAGCCACCTGCACTTGTTCGGAGCTCTGAAATACACGCTTTCTCATTGGCTATGTCCACGCATAGGCGTGCTTTACTCCACGTGGACCGGTGAAACTAACTTTGATCTTATATTTGGGATATTTGCTGCGAAATTTGGCGATTTTTGCAGCAACAGAGCGTGTTAAATATAGATATATAAAACGCACCCGGTATTTCACAGTGTTTCAAGTGACTTCAGATAAAGTATAAGTGATTTGATTTCTTAACTCTGGTGCGTAGTGTTCTGGCTGGCTGATAATAAAATCAATAAGCCACCTTGACCGAGCAATCTTGGGAAATATGTATCAACTCCAGACGTCATCGAACTCGATAGTTTTACGAATTCAAACGATAATCATGCTTATCCGCATATTTCACGGCAAATAATTTATTGACATTATCATTTGTTACTTGAACTGAAATTATATATTTCTTGGAACGTTTTTTTTGTCTTACCACTTATACAGGGCGTCATGAAAATTGGGACTTCCATTTCAGAAACAACTACTATGGAAATAACAAAGCTGTTGTGTGGTGACAGTACTGACAGTAGCAAAACGTAAATAATGACAAAGTAAAGGTAAGGGTTTATAAGCAGGAAAATGATTTGAGTTCTAACTCATTGTTTTTAATTCAACACAAACTTATAACTTTATTTTTAATTTAGCCTGCAAAGACTACTATGTATGTATACTTCGATATTTTTTAAGAAAAAAATGGCACGCCAATGGAACTAACATTAATTTTTCACCCTTAGATATTCGCATATCATTAAGTATATTTATTAAAAATACGGCGTCCTTAAACTCCATCTTCAGAGGAACATGTGACTTTCCAAAACAGTTGATAAAAATAATTAAATATCTGCCAGATACACGTTGATAATTTTAGTATACGTCAACGACGTTGAACAGTTGTAGATTTTAGGGAAAATCCATAACGCGTTGAGTAATATTTCCTTAATCAATTGCCAAATTATACATCGTAAAAATTTTCCGTTATTTGCGGTAATGATTAAATTCGACCTTGACTCCAGACTTTATAATCAAGTGAGTTATATAACAATGGTATCAAAGCATCGTTATCATCTGGTACTGCATTTAGTACTATGAATTTACTATCGATGATGTATCTGTTCAAAACATGATCACAGATGCTTGTGGAACAAGATTTTTTCTTAAAGGAACGAGAGAATGGAGAATCAGCAGAGGATAAGGTCTATCGATATGAGACAGCAGAAAGTGCCATGAACGAAAGATATACCGGGTGTCCAGAAAGCAACATTCCAAAACGTATAGATCAGGCAATATTAAGCATATTTTTTTTTGTGTGACATATACACCAAAGCTTTAAGATAACCGAGATATTAGGATTCCAAACAGTAATAAGTAAGTCAGTTCGACACCCTCCCCTTCCACAGTCCTCTCGTCAAAACGTATGATGTTGTACTAAGACTATGTGAGTCACTATCCAAATCTGTTTATAAACAAACCACATCCGAAGGACCGAAATTGGCGCATTCCTAGAGCAATAACGTAGTTGTATTGATATGAGCATCTTAAAGATCCTATTGATACTTCGCGAGTGGACTCAGAACGTCGACGTTTCTTTCCATCAGACCTGCATATGTTTATTTATATAGTGCAAAAGCCGACTGGTTAAACACAGTTGAAGACCTAAACAAATTTAGGAAGAGGTAAACAAAGTCGTGTTTCTAAATCGAACAGCGACAACTTCAACCAATGTTTACAAACAAACATGTAACAGGGCAGTACTTGGAATTCCTTACCAAATGAATAGTATCTTTCGATTTTTTTTTTACGTTTTCGGTGTTGTTTTGTCGCAAATTAGCTTTGGTATTTCAAACGTAGTCGACTCTGAAAAGGAAAGTCCCAACTTTAGGACATTTGTATTGCTCAATGGCGATTAGACCGTTATAGCACCAGAACCGACGGCATCTAGCGGTCGCAGTGGACTGGGATACAGTTCCAGCAGACGGCTTGCTGTTTTCAGTTTCGCAGTGGTCGATTCCGGTAGCAGATGGCACTTTATTTTACATAAAAGAGTTTTTCCATTGTGACTTTTTTACTATTTTCAACTTTAGATTAAAAACCATCTAAATATTATTGTTAAGCCTTCGTATAACTGTAACTTTGGGTACCAGCGACCAAAAGATGCGACTGTCCAGAAACATCGACGCTTAGGCAATCAGAGTTACGCGGTTATGAGTGAGTCATAGTGAATAGTCATCTCGAAGCTTAAGATAACTGAGATATTTTGATTCCAAAAAGCAATAAATGATTTATTTCGACACCCTTAGTTCCACAATCCTCTCGTCAAAACGTATAATGTTGTACTAAGACTATGTGAGTTAGTATCCAAATCTGGGGTCACGTGGTGTCTAGATTAACCTAGTTTATAAACAAACCACATCCGAATTACCCAAAATTGGCGCATTCCTAGAGCAATAACGTTGATATGAGCATCTTAAAGATCCTATTGATACTCCGCGAGTGTACTCAGAACGTCGACGTTTCTTTCCATCAGAGCTGCATATGTTTATTTATATAGTGCAAAAGCCGTTTGGGTGAACACAATTGAAGACCTAAATAAATTTAGGAAGAGGTAAACAAAGTCGTGTTTCTGAATCGAACATCGGCAACTTCAACCAATGTTTACAAACAAACATGTAACAGGGCAGTACTTGGAATTCCTTACCAAATGAATAGTATATTTCTTCGATTTCTTTTTACGTTTTCGGTGTTGATTTGTCGCAAATAAGCTTTGGTATTTCACACGTAGTCGACTCTGAAAAGGAAAGTCCCAACTTTAGGACATTTGTATTGCTCAATGGCGATTAGACCGTTATAGCACCAGAACTGACGGCATCTAGCGGTCGCAGTGGACTGTGATACAGTTCCAGCAGACGGCTTGATGTTTTCAGTTTCGCAGTGGTCGATTCCGGTAACAGATGGCACTTTATTTTACATAAAAGAATTTTTCCATTGTGGCTTTTTTACTATTTTCATCTGCAAATTAAAAACCATCTAAAATATTATTGTTAAGCTTTCGTATAACTTTGGTACCAGCGACCAAAAGATGCGACATGGGGTCAGAAACATCGACGCTTAGGCAATCAGAGTTACGCGGTTACGAGTGAGCGATTGCGGCCTCATTGACGAGCTTCGGTCGAGATCGGGAACGTTCGAGAAGTATCAATAGTCATCTCGAAGCTTAAGATAACTGAGATATTACGATTCCAAAAAGCAATAAATGAGTTATTTCGACACCCTTAGTTCCACAATCCTCTCGTCAAAACGTATAATGTTGTACTAAGACTATGTGAGTTAGTATCCAAATCTGGGGTCACGTGGTGTCTAGATTAACCTAGTTTATAAACAAACCACATCCGAAGGACCGAAATTGGCGCATTCCTAGAGCAATAACGTAGTTGTATTGATATGAGCATCTTAAAGATCCTATTGATACTCCGCGAGTGTACTCAGAACGTCGACGTTTCTTTCCATCAGAGCTGCACATGTTTATTTATATAGTGCAAAAGCCGTCTGGTTAAACACAGTTGAAGACCTAAACAAATTTAGGAACAGGTAAACAAAGTCTTGTTTCTAAATCGAACAGCGACAACTTCAACCAATGTTTACAAACAAACATGTAACAGGGCAGTACTTGGAATTCCTTACCAAATGAATAGTATCTTTCTTCGATTTCTTTTTTACGTTTTCGGTGTTGTTTTGTCACAAATTAGCTTTGGTATTTCAAACGTAGTCGACTCTGAGAAGGAAAGTCCCAACTGTAGGACATTTGTATTGCTCAATGGCGATTAGACCGTTATAGCACCAGAACCGACGGCATCTAGCGGTCGCAGAGGACTGTGATACAGTTCTAGCAGACGGCTTGCTGATTTCGGTTTCGCAGTGGTCGATTCCGGTAACAGATGGCACTTTATTTTACATAAAAGAATTTTTCCATTGTGGCTTTTTTACTATTTTCAAATGCAGATTAAAAATCATCTAAAATATTTTTGTAAAAAATTCGTATAACTGGAACTTTGGGTACCAGCGACCAAACGATGCGACAGGTGTCCAGAAACATCGACGCTTAGGCAATCAGAGTTACGCGGTTATTAGTTTATAAACAAACCACATCCGAAGAACCGAAATTGGCGCATTCCTAGAGCAATAACGTAGTTATCGTAATTATATGAGCATCTTAAAGATCCTATTGATACTCCGCGAGTGTACTCAGAACGTCGACTCGTCCTCGATGTTTCCTTCCATCAGAGCTGCATATGTTAATTTATATAGTGCAAAAGCCGTCTGGTTAAACACAGTTGAAGACCTAAACAAATTTCGGAAGAGGTAAACAAGGTCGTGTTTCTAAATCGAATAGCGACAACTTCAACCAATGTTTACAAACAAACGTGAAGCAGGGCAGTACTTGGAATTCCTTACCAAATGAATAGTATCTTTCTTCGATTTATTTTTACGTTTTCGGTGTTGATTTGTCGCTAATTAGCTTTGGTATTTCAAACGTAGTCGACTCTGAAAAGGAAAGACGCAACTTTAGGACATTTGCATTGCTCAATGGCGATTACACAGTTATCACACCAGAACTGACGGCATCTAGCGGTCGCAGTGGACTGGGATACAGTTCCAGCAGACGGCTTGCTGTTTTCAGTTTCGCAGTGGTCGATTCCGGTAACAGATGGCACTTTATTTTACATAAAAGAATTTTTCTATTGTGACTTTTTACTATTTTCAAATGCAGATTAAAAATCATCTAAAATATTTTTGAAAAAAATTCGTATAACTGGAACTTTGGGTACTAGCGACCAAACGATGCGACAGGTGACCAGAAACATCGACGCTTAGGCAATCAGAGTTACGCGGTTACGAGTGAGCGATTGCGGCCTTATTGACGAGCTTCGGTCGAGATCGGGAACGTTCGAGAAGTATCAATAGTCATCTCGACATTTTCGATAGAGCGCGCGAACCAGGGTTGCCGTTTTGGGGTATTTTTACCCAAATTTGGGGGATTTTTACGTCGCTTGGGAAATTTTTGAGGGATAAAATGTTCTGGGGGATTTTTTGGGGGAAAATAAAATCGTTGGATATTTTTGGCGTATTTAATTCAATCTTCAACTGCGAAAAAATGTCCACTGCTAAATAACTAACTAATATTTTTTTTCACAGATAATAAGTTGTAGCCGGTTAATTTAGCCAACTTTGTCTCACACAGGAAGAAGAACTAGACGCGGTTTTGCACAGATTTGCTTGTCTTCTAGATCCATAGGTCTGCGATTTTAACACCCCCCCCCCCCTTTAATGTGACAGTAACAAATCGGACTTTAAACTGTAATCACGGGGTTCTAGCTATAGTATATTACCACGTAATATCTTCTAAGCTCTAATAACATAATTTATCATTCGTTTATAATATATCTCATAATTAAACGTACATTGCTGATATATTCATCGATAGAGATCCCAATTATGATTCCATTCAAGTGTCGTAATAATAAGTGATAGAAAGAAAATGAGATACGTTCTGAATATACCTATTTTCCACGATACTTCAGTACAAACATTTGAGTGAATCCGATCCACTGCTTTGCTGGTGACAGCGCTCTACATACAGGAATTCATAGTAACAAGCCTATTTCTGCCAGAAGAGGAGACTAGCAGCGATTTCCTCTCTTGCTCTTTTTATGACATCCAGCTTTACGTTACAATTATGACGTAATAGACGCGATTGGAGTAAAGCGTTTTATGATAAATCGTATTACGTATAATCATAAAAAACATGGAATGATCTAATTTTTGTTTTTTTAATTCCATAAGCCAAATAGTGTCTAAGATCCATAATCTACAAGTGCTTTTTCCAACACTCCATGGAAATCTACTGTACTTTTTACGAGAGTCTCACTCACAAGCATCCGGGAAATAATTACCGTACACGTATGTATACAGTGTTCAAGTGTGTTGCATTATCTGATGTTTATTGAGCTGTGTGATTCATACAAAATATAAATTGATTATCCACGTCGTAAATACTCGTAAGATTTTAGCGTCGATCATTATTTAAACAGTACAGCGTTATTGGGATCAAGGAAACATGCTCTGAACGCCGTTAATATAGCAAAAAATGCAATGCAACGTAAAATAACCACGTTAATGGTGTATCGTAATTCGACAATCAAGTGGAATTTTTCCTTAATCCATTTTTATCTAACCCAAAATTGTTTCTGAAAGCGAGGTAAACTAATTTTATCTCAACACAGATCATGTGTTTTTTATCGAATTCGTAGATATTTATTGCTGTAGCATTAATTAAAAGTAATCGATCAAAAAGGGGAATATGCCCTATTTAACGAGTACTCATCACGTTTTGACGTCTACTGAGGTGAACAGATTATCAGGAAGCGACATTTTTGTGTTAGTCTGCAACGTTGGCAATAGTGAGTCAGGTGTAAACGTAGTAAAACTTGTTTGTAGCGTTTTGTGTTTTGTATGCAAATGAACCTTTATAATTAAAAGAGCTTTTAGCAAGTACAAAATGAATCTGTAGCATACAAAAAATCAAAACAAAATATGGCTTTGTCTATCTGAATTAACGGATCCGTTAGAATTATGTGTCGAGCCGATATGGGGAATTTTGAGTATCCATCACACTCGTGAAACAGGGTATATACAGGGTGATTCAAAAATCAAAGGCGATATTTTTAGAGCAAAAAGTACAACAAAAAAGTATCTATAAGTATATGTCCAAAATTGTTCCATTACCAAGCGAAAACAAAAACATTGTCAAAGGCTGGATTTAAGTGCTATATAGTACAACTATTTAAAACTGTAATGACTCATACGCGTGATCAACACGTGATCAGAGCTCGATCCCGGCTTCCTTCCAGTACAGCCGTATAGCGTACGACATATGTCGTTTCTGTGGCTTTGCGGTGGTCAACAGCACAGACAGAGATGGAAATAATGGCTGATTGTTCTCCGCCGGTAGAACCAATGAAATCAAAGACGCGCCTCGGCCGGCAGACTCATAGGCGTCGGCAACGCATTGGAACGTGTTTCGTTGAGCGATCGCATATTGTGTGTTTTTATAAGAATTGTTGTGTGATTGTTATTGTTGTGGTTTCTGTGGTTACTGTTTTGGTTATACTTAACCATGGAGAGTACAAATGACACGAGTGGAAGTACTGAAAGCTAGGGAACAAGTAGACGGCTTCGTAAAGCACTGAAGAGGGACGCGAAAGAAATCGTGCTGAACGTGTTCAATTATCTGAACAGAACTATGTCGCAGGGAGATGCACTCGCGCGTTGTGAAAGTATGGCAAGCGTTCCAGAGTGGACCATTCGCAGGGTGGTGCATGAAAAGAAGAAAACTGGAGCTACTACTGATCCAAAGTTTAATTTGAAGGGACGAAAGGCCGTTAAATTGGATGACGATAGCAAAATGGCGTTAAGGCGAACCGTACATTCATTCTTCTTTAGGAATGAGATACCAACCCTCAAGGCTGTACATGCAGCAATCAAGGAAAATGAAATTATACCCCAAATGAGCGTCGAGGTAATGAGGAAATCCCTGCACGAAATTAATTTTCGTTACGAAACGCGTAATCGGAAGTCAGTATTGATAGAGAGACCTGAAATAGTCGCCTGGCGTCGAAAATACCTACGCGAAATGATTGAATATAGGCGACAAAGCAGAAAAATCTATTATTTGGACGAGACATGGGTAAATGCAGGTCACACAGTTAAAAAAACCTGGATAGACAAAAACGTTGTGAGTAACCGACAAGCAAGCATTGAAGGTTTGTCAACAGGTCTTCGTGGACCGTCAGGGAAAGGTCAAAGATTGATCGTAACTCATATTGGTAGCGATAGTGGCTTTTTAGAAGAGTGTGACTTGATTTTCGTCTCTAAGAAAGGAGGTGATTACCATGACAAAATGAATGCCAGCTGCTTCGAGAGCTGGTTTCAAGGGGTGCTTCAGCGAGTTGAGCCCAACTCTGTGATCGTCATGGATAATGCTTCTTACCATAGTCGTCGAGCCGAACATGTACCGACTATGGGATCTCGAAAAAGTGACATGCAGCAATGGTTGCGCGAAAAAGGAATCCCGTTTGACGATTCATGTGTGAAAGCGGAATTGTATGAAAAAATTAAACAGCACAAACCTGCGAACATTAGTTACGTGACTGATGAGATGGCTTGTCAATGTGGTGTCACTGTGCTGCGGTTACCGCCCTACCACTGTGAACTGAACCCAATAGAGCTCATCTGGGCTCAAGTGAAGGGTTATATTGCGCGCCATAACACAACCTTCAAATTACCAGACGTTAAGGTTTCACTTGAGACTTCCATACAGCTAGTAACGCCCGAAGCTTGGCAGAATGCTATCCGTCATGTTGTGAAGGAAGAAACAAAAATGTGGCAGCTTGACCACCACATCGACACCATCATAGAGCCAGTTATAGTCAATTTCAACGAGGAAAGCGATAGCGACAGTTTATTACTGTCAGATGTCAGAAGTGGAAGCGACGATGAATACAGGTAATTCCCAAATTTTTGACTTACAATATCTTGCAAACTACTCTTTATTAAGCATGTGACAAATCTAGTTCACCCATGTTAAACATTCATACCCCGCCTATGAACAGCCGACTACTGGTAGTTAAGTGATGTTCACGTGAACATCGATGAGTCATTACAGTTTTAGATAGTTATATATTAGAAAAAGTCTACATTAAAAATCACCAAACATTTGATTAAAATTGGCGCAAAGACGTTATTTGTGAAAATGGCGGAATAGTTCGCTATTATCATTACTTTCCGATACCTTTAAACCTTGTTTGCTTGTATAATGTTTCTTTTATTTTGAGACTTCTCGTCGTTTTGAATGATACTTTCCAAAAATGTCAATTTATGAATATATTATAAACTTGAGATGCTCTTATAATGAATGAGCACACATTATAGTGGCAACACCCTGTATATATACTTTGCAATGTGGCAATTAACTAGACTTTTCATGACCTTCCCTTTACAAAAAAAAATATTTAAATCGAACAAATAGATGTGACCAAAATACAGGGTGTTTCAGTTTATTGTTGCATAACTTTAAGATTCGATAGAACTTTTAAAATTAATGCATAAAGTCTATATAAACATGGGTCGAAAAATGCGTGGCTTCCGAAATACAGGGTGTTTAAATTTACTTTCTAAAATAGTTTTTTTTAAATATTTCGGACAATATTTGATGTATAACAGTGAAAATTGGTATACAAGGGTTTTTTGGTACGACAAAACGAACCATGGGCATAGTTTTACTGTAGCCGCTAGAGGGCGCTCTCTACTGTACCTGTAGTGTATTAAAATGACCGAAAAATTTTTCTTAGTGCAATTTTTTGCTTCTTGAATAAAAAAGCTGATTCTTCGCACTTTTCAACATAAAAAAGCTCTCTTGTAAATTTTCGTTATAGTTAGCCGTTTTTGAGATATTTCGATTTTTCAGGTTCGATGCATTTTTAATTATTTATGATAAAATAACGTTAAAAAGTCAGTATCTCGATAATTTTTAGAAGTAGGCTGTGCCTGCAAATATTTTTGAAATTGAAAGCAGAATAAAGTTAAACGTCAATTAGTTGACAGTTTTGTTGTCTGTTGAATATTTAAAAAAAAATTAAACACCCTGTATTTCGGAAGCCACGCATTTTTCGACCCATGTTTATATAGACTTTATGCATTAATTTTAAAAGTTCTATCGAAAATTAAAGTTATGAAACAATAAACTCAAACACTCTGTATATTCACACAAAATATCACTATTTTCATTGCGCAAAAATAGGCGATGGAGCGCAAAGCAAAATTAATCGCGCAAGTTGTGCAACAATTTTTCCTAATTGATTATACTTATTGCGCACATTTTTTTTATGCGCGTAGTTCGCTAACCCTAAAACTGCCCAATCTGCGAAAATCTCACCTACACATGCTCATTTCCGGATTTCCCGTAGACCTTCATTTAACATTAATCTATTTTAAACCACTTTGAGGCTGTGAGTCAATGTCACGCGCTTTTCGGTCGTCGGTACGGTCCCAATTACCTTCACAATTATAAGTAATGCACGCTTACCTTGATAATTATTCGCCTCGCCCCGTATTTCCACTTAATAATCGATCGGCTACTACAAATCGGCTAGTATTCATTCATATTTTCTTCGTCAATGCGTGCTGGATGTTGACTCGGCGCAATTGTAAGGTTATGTGTGTTATGTAAACGAGAGTGAGAGGCAGCGGCAGGTTTGCGAATCGTCGATGTTGGGATTCGCGATGAGTCTGACGTCTGACGGAGATTCTGAGGTCGCCGCGATGAGCGCCAACGCGGGGCGGGATATCGCGAGCGCGATTTCGCGACAGGGGAGCAGCAAATCGACACGGTCGCCGCGCGTGAGATTCCTACTTGCGCCATGATGCCAGATTTCTCGATTTATCACGCAATCGTTCACTTTTTCACAACGCACCGCTGGTGCTCCCATGGATGAGATAAAACGGTGTAAGGGTTCTTCAAATTGAAGAGTCAATAAAAGTTTAGGGGTATTTTTTGACGTTCGTACCACACGTAAATCATATTACTAAAAGAAGCTTTGCTGTCCTACGTCATTCGTATCTTAACAGGCAAATAGGGTGAATGTGCCAGTGGTCAGTCACTTTACACAAAAGTGGAATACGAAGTGTAAAAAGCATCCCACAAACTGGCGCGAAATAATCGCGGCGAAGTATTCGCAACGAAATTCAGAGCGAAATTCGCAATCTGTTTCGCCTGTTTATTCATACCAAAGCGTCTTATTCGCTCCGCGGACGTGAAGGTTTCGACAGGTTGCGTACATTTTATTTTTGCCTTTTGCAATGAGCTCGTCTTCAGAAGAAGAGGAGGCACTTCTATTTCTTGCTTTAGAAGAGGAACAAAATGCACGGTAAGTTATGTTTATTTAACGCCATTTGATAGTTGGGTATGTATTAAGTTTAACGAAGTACATAAAACAAATATTTTCAATTTTGTTTAGGAAACGAAGGAAGTGGGTACATGATATTAACTTGGAACGAAATAAATTTGGGGAATACCATACATTGATGCCACAATTTCGGCTGGATGAACAGCGCTTTTACGTATATTTTAGAATGACTCCAGAGTGTTTCGATGAAATATTGAACTTGGTGAAAGATGAAATACGAAAATCTGACACAAATTATCGTGAAGCTATTTCGCCAGAAGAACGACTTGCTATTACACTCAGGTAAAAAAATTATATGTATTAAAATTAGCAGGCTTATCGAATACGAAAACTTCAGGGATCGTGAAATAAATATTTTATTGTAATAATTGGACTACATGTTGCCACTAGGAGTAAATGTTGCTAAATAATTCGAGGCAGAATTTGCCTCCTCTGTTGGGTATATTATTGGAGTAAACCCAGTGCCGCTTGGGAAGGATGACATACTACTATCATACATACTTGCAGAATTCTGGGTATACGCTGAAGACATTTCTTCAATATGTTCAAATTCTTCGTGCGCTATTAATTCGGCTATTTTTAGTTTTATTCGGGCTTGACGCTTCAAGGGAAGTGTTTTCACAGTCTGTGCATGTGCCAAGAAAAGTGAATCAAAGGCCTCGTTCTCTTTTTTAGGTTTTTTACCTTCAAAATAATTAATGAGCTGTTGTACAGACGAAGATGGTGGTTCATAGCGTTTTCTGCTCGTTTTATATTTTGGTGTAGTTGCAGTCTGCGGAATGGTGTGCCCTGGAGTAGTCACTGCTGTAGTGTTCAATGAAGAAGGTGGTGCTGTCTGTGTTGCCGAGGCGTTCTGTGCATCTTCTGCATCTACATCAGCATTTTCATCTTCTCCATGGCCGCGGTCTTCCAAATTTTCGGTTTCTACATTTCCAGCCCTTTCTTGATATATATTTGAGTTAAATTCGGCAGTCTCATAATGTATGACGTCAATATCTTTCACATTAGACGGCGTTTTGGCAAATGCCAAAAAAGGACGGAAAAATTCCATGTAGTCAGCAAACTGCCATTTTTTTATGTTGCCCACTGCTTGGCCGGTCTTTGGTTTGGTAGATTTTATATATTTTGCAAATGTGTCTCTGATATTCTTCCACCTTTTTTTTTACTTCATCACCTAAAAACGATTTTTTTTTATAGATTCCTTGCCACTGGAGACACCTTCTATACCATTGGGCATAGCTTTCGAGTTGGCTTTACAACAGTGAGTGCAATCGTAACCGAAGTCTGTGAAGCGATATGCAGACATATGGAGCATATATATTTACCAGAACCAACAGAGAATGTATGGAAAAAATGTGCTGAAGAATTTGAAAATAGATGGGGATTTCCCAATTGCATTGGCAGCGTGGACGGAAACATGTAACAATCAAGAGACCTAACAACAGTGGCTCCAATTACTGGTGCTATTTAGATAAATATTCAATAGTACTTATGGCCATTGTTGGCCCGGACTATAAATGTATATGTGTTGATATTGGTGGTTTCGGAAAAAATTGTGATGGGGGTATTTTCGAAACCTCAAACATGGGAAAACGATTTGAACAAAATTTAATGAGTGTCCCTGCACCTAGATTTCTCCCTGGGCAAAATTAAATCTGCTCGTACGTCTTAATTGGTGATGAAGCATTTGCTTTAAAACCATACCTTATGAGACCATTTCCTTATAAGCAGACTTTAACAGACGTCAGAAAAGAGAAATACAATGTAAGACTTTGTCGAGCTAGAAGGGTCGTGGAAAATGCGTTTGGTATTTTGTCTCAAAAATGGCGAATATTTTACAGGCCATTAGAAACTAAAGTAGATATACTACTATTCTAATTGTACGTACGGCATGTGTTTTACACAGTTTTTTACGAAGTAAAAGTGGCGATGACAAATATTTTCAATTCTTAGATCCCCCAGAACCCGTGCTTGCAGCTTTCACTGATGTAGCAAATGATCCTCGGCGGGCAGCAAGGCTAGCATTTTCTACTCGTGACAAATTCGTAAATTATTTTAATTCTGATATGCCTATGCCCAATATATAGAATGTTCGTTTTCACATTTGTGTAGACTGTAAATTATTTAACAAGTTAATAAAAAATATTAGGTACATACCATTTGTATTTAATTCTTTTCCTATTTCCATCCAAATCTTGTCTTTCTTTCTCACATTCCTGTATTCATCGTTCGACAAATCATTCAAACAAGGATACTTTTTCACTACTTCTATCAATAATTCCGTTTTTGCCATTGCGAATTTTTGAAGAACGGCGTCAAAAACGCGGTCAAAGGCGAACTGAAATACGCCGCCATAAAAACGCTGGAACAATCGCATTCGCTTCGCACAAGTCTGAGCCTGTCCGTAAACCGTCGCGTTTTAATCTGATCGCGAATTCATCGCCGCGATATTTTCGCAGCCAAAGCGAATATTTCGCGCCGGTTTGTGGGATGCTTTATGCGAACTTATTGCAACGTTTGAGCGATGAAATCAAGCAAAAACGGCCGCATTTGGTTAAGAAGAATGTGTTGTTTCATCAAGACAATGCACCAGCTCACAAATCCGTTATTGCAATGGGCAAAATTAACGAATTAAAGTTTGAATTGCTAACTCATGCACCCTATTCACCAGATTCAGCCCCCTCGGATTATTTTCTGTTTCCAAACTTGAAAAAATGGCTCAGTGGTCAAAGATTTTCCAACGATGAAGAAGTGATGTCAGCAGTTAATGGCTATTTTGAGGAGCAAGACAGTTCTTATTATAAAAAGGGTATCGAACTTATTGAACATCGCTGGAAAAAGTGTATAGAGTTTTCTTCGTTGGGACGGCTACTTCTGGGACCACCCTCGTAACTGTTTCCTTTATATATACAGGATTTATTTTTTTCTTGGTATCCATTCCCGAATGAAGTGGAAATGCAAAATTTTATTTCAGTCTCGTGAAAAAATGGCGAGAAAATGGAAGTGGCCGGTTATTGGGATGCTATGAAAATTCCCTCATTCCAGTAGTCGGACACAATAACTTGAAGTCATTTAATATTCGTTGTAGTCGTTACGTAATTAGTGATAAAAAATTTAAAAAAGTAATAATTTCCAGAAGAAACGTTTCCCCATATTCCTTGTATGGTCCAGGGATATGAAATTAAGTGGATAATTTTTTCTCAAAAAAAGGTATATTTCTGTCATTGATCCAAAGAGCATAATAAAAATTGCACAAAAGTCAGTGGTGTACATTTTTTTGTCACAAATATTCGTTCAGATCCCGCTCAAGACGTCACTGGACTTTATAAATTTAATCACCTTAGGGCTAAATCAGCCCCTTAATGTTATAAATACCACCATCAAATTACAATAAATGTATTTAAAGGATATTTGATATACTTACAGAAAACCTTTTTTTAAATTTTCACACCCTGTATTTTGAGAACAAATTGTTTACAGACCTATGTTTGTATGAATCTTTTGTCTTAAAATTACTCAAAGGATTATGTTAAATTTATAGTGCATAATTAACAGCCTGTATAGTATTGTACTATAATTTCCCCTTTTTGTTCTATTTATACAGGGTGTCCGCAAAGTTGGGGTTTTCCTTTTCAGAAACAACTACCCTTGAAATAACAAAGGTAATGTGTAGTGAAACGAGGGCGACCAAGTAAAAAAAATAAAGGACGAGAAGGGCTAAGTACGTCTCTGACCGAAATCATACCGCTCCAACAGAAAATGAAATCAGATGATGCGCTACCGAGCAGACGCAGGCGGTGGTGCAGACCACGAACAGAGGTAACAAATATGACCATCGTGCAGAAACCACATTGATTGTCTTACACTTAATGGCACATCTTCTAACAAGGAAGGCAAAATGTTGCGTAAAAAGTCTAGGTATTGCATCCCGTCCAATCGATTTGGGAGAATAAATGGTCCAATGAGCATACCGTTCACCATGCCAGCCCAAACATTCACCGAAAATGTTTGTTGAAAATGTGCCCGACGGACAGCGTGCGGATTTTCTACTGACCAAACATGAGTGTTGCGAAAGTTATTCACCCCATTACGCGTGAACGTAGATTCGTCTGTCACCAATAAGCACTTCAAAAAGTCCGGATTATTGTCATGTTGATGCAACAACCACTCACAAAACCGCACTCTTGCTGGAAAATCGTCAGGTTGAAGGGCTTGTACATGTTGGACGTGAAACGGATACAGCCCCTCTTCACGCAGCGTTTGCCACACTTTAGTTTTTGATACTTGCACTTCTTTAGCCACGTCTCTAGTGCTTGTTGTTTTTTGAAACGCAATCGATTATACGGGTTCGTTTACCTCTACACGCGTGACCGTAACCGTCGGTTGAAGGTTGCATACTGACCTGACACACTGACCCCGACCCAGTTCTGTCGTCGGATTGAGCTAGTGTCCTAGTACCACTCGGGGATGTCGCGAGTCGCGGCTACAGGACTGTATTCAGATATTTTTGATGTTGCAGAGCCCTTTATCTCGGTTCCCTTAAGACATTGGTGTATATGGTACTAAGAAAAATTGCTTATGTTTTCAAGATCTACACGTCGTGTAAAGGAAAACCCTAACTTTGCGGACACCCTGTATATTTTGATTTTTCTTTTTTATCAAGAGTTAAATGGCAGAATAGCTATAAGCCAAACTTCGCCCTAAATAAAGACGATATACTATTATTATTACTAAATAACATCAGCTACAGCAGAGCAGCTTTTGCGCATGACATCACTCGGTGACAAATGTTTGATTGGCGGTACGAAACCTATTATTATTATTAAATAACGTCAGCTATAGCAGAGCAGCCTTTGCGCATGACGTCACTCGGTGACAAATGTTCCGACTGTCGTTACGAAATGCTTTGTATTAGTTCGTGCGTACTAATCACAAATTACGAGATACACTGATCCCATGCACGTGGATTTATCTTCTCCAGTAAAGTATAATGATCAAAATCTATTATTCTATTATTATCTATATTAAGTTCACAATTGCAGAGATAAGAACCTGAAGAAGCTATGGTGCTTGAATATTTTGATAGATTAGATCTTTGATTCTATCACTTGGCATTTCTTATCGACACGTAACATTCAACCTTGTCGGGGGCTTTGATGGTTCATTATAAATAATAGAAGTCATCTTCATGTCCAGGAAGTGACGTATTAATGATGTCTCCCATATGACGTCATCGGTATGTAACATTAGTACTTTTATGTCATTCGGCTCGTGACTTGTCATTTTATGACCAGTTTTTCACATATTCACGCGCCTGTGCGACTTGTGCAATTGCATATATTTTTTTGTGTGAGTATGGTTTTAATTCCAATATATATGAGACAAATACTTATGCACTGGAAAAGACTGTGCCTGGAAAGGTTTCAATAAACACCTGAGCTTACAACACAGTAGTAAAATTTATTTAGTATAATACTAGGAATGATACAAATTCTACAAAAGCTAAAATCAATAAATATAAAATACATCACGCAACATATGCACGATCTAGTCTGCAGTGTCTTTCTCAATGTAATGACTACATTTTTACCCGTATTGTGAATTCTGGAAAAATATATTTATCATTAATTCCAAATTAATTTTTTTTAATTCTCTCGTACATACACTTCAGTCAACCGATTCCATTCTTTAATTTACCATCCGGCAATGGCACTACTTCTTGGTTCCAAAGTAGTAACATCTGCAAAGAGAGTAAAAAAACCATCCTTTACATGTAGGTTTTTGAGTAGAGAGTAAAAACAATCCTTTACATGTAGCTTTTTGTAAACGAGACGAATAATTCTGTTTAAGTACACCTAAATACAGAAGAAAATAATCACTTAAATGACAAGCTAGTAGCACTGAGAATTTTGTTTATAATCGCTCAAAAACAAGGTTGCACCACAACAATGTGCATCCTCATGTCTCACAAGAAACGAAAGACTTAATCGAACGATTTCTCTGACAAGTCATTGCCCATTGCCCAAATGTGGGAACCTTATTTTTGAAACAACCCTCCTAGTTTTGGGGGCAGGTACACTTTAACAAAAAGTTGTCTCCCTCCGATGATCGTCCTTCCCCCTGAGAAAAATTCCTGCGGACGCCATTGTCGATCTATGGTTCATTAGAGATTAATTTTAGAATTATATTAAAGAGTCTAAAAAAATGTAAGCAAAAAGTTCTCAAGTTTTGATTTGGTTTATTTATAAGATTTTGTTTCGTTTAAAACTGATATAGGATTCTTCCTTGGTTTGTTTAGACTACCTTAATAAAAACATGTATACTAAGTGACATATAAATCCGATCACCCAGTTTAAATGGTTTTATTTTAATAAAAGTTGGTGAATGTATTTATCTTACTGTAAATAACATGTGAAAAAATTTTCAGCCTTATCAGTTGGACATTCCGGTTTTTATACTGCTTTTTTTTAATTCACTAACGCTCTAAAAATGAATATTTCAGCCGCAGTAAAGAATCAACGTTGGCGGATTTTGGTTCTTGACATCCTTTACGATCGGTTACGATGCCTAGAGTACGGAGACCTGTACGATTTCGTCAACTTAGTGAGTTTGATAGGGGCCGCATAGTGAGACTTCGGGAAGCTGGACTTTCTTTTCGGGCAATTGCAGTGTAGAAGTGTAGACACTGTGGTTAGGTGTTGTCAGGCATGGCTTCGAGAAGGCCGTACGCAAAGAGCAAGGGGCACTGGACGCCGCCGTAGAACAACAGACCGTGAAGATCGCCGCCTAAGATTATTGGCCTTAAGGGACCGTTTCTCCACTACCAGGTCCATTGCAAATGAATGGTTTGCAGAACACGGAAGACCTATTGGCATGCGAAGTGTTTACCGACGAATGAGAAGTTTTGGCTTGTTTTCATACCGGCCACACTGGGTCCTCCTTTTAACTCGAGAACACCGACGTAATCGCCTTGAGTGGTGCAGACAACAGTCACTCTGGGATCAGGAATGGAACAGTACTGTCTTTAGTGACGAGTCTCGATTTTGTTTAGGCATGCACGATGGTCGTGCCAGGGTTAGAAGGCGACGTGGTGAAAGGAGGAATCCACAGTTTTTTGTTGAAAGACATGTTCATCACACTGTTGGAGTTATGATTTGGGGTGCTATAGCTTATGGTTCCAGGTCACCTTTAATCTTCATCAGAGGTAACATGAACGCGCAGCGTTATATCCACGAAGTTCTAGAACCCCATCTTTTACCCTATCTTGACACCCTGACAGATGCAACTTTCCAACAAGATAATGCCCGACCACATGTTGCAAGAGTCACAATAGACTGCTTTCAACATAATGATGTCACATTGTTACCATGGCCACCAAGATCTCCCGACTTATCCCCAATTGAGCACGTGTAGGATATGATGGGTAGGAGATTGCTCAATTTCCAACGTCCTCCTCAGACTCTAGAAGCACTTCGAGAGGAGTTGGTGGTTGCCTAGAATGAGATACCACAGGAGGACATTGACCACCTGATCAGAAGCATGCCTAGGCGCGTTGGATAATGCGTAGGGTGCATCCACACATTATTAAAGGTCAAAGGGCTTTAAAGCAGTGCAATCACTTTGAAATTTTTATCATTTACTTATTATACTTCATTAAGTACTTATACAAAATTTTATTAAAATAAAACCATTTAAACTGGGTGTTCGGATTTATATGTCACTTAGTATATAAGAAAATAAGTATAAGTTATACATAATCAATTAAAAATGCTAATTTTATTTGATTTCAAATGTGGTTAATTCGTTTCTAATTTCATTAAGAAATTCATAGTGAATATTTTCCGATACAATTGTGGTTTATTACAGGTAGTAAATAGACCCCTTTTCCTTATATTTTAGGTAAAAAATCAGTTTCAAAAAATCGATCATTATCGGTTTTTATCGATAGACGATAACTTCAATTTGAAAAAGTATATTTTTATTTTCAATACGAAACGGTAAAAACCTTATTATCGGCCATGGTGTGACGACATACAAATTGTAAACAAAGCAACGTCATCCGTATGTTACTCGTGGACTAATGTCTTTCTTAGATATTTCTAAGAAAAAAACTAACAAACGTAAAAATTGTTCGTTTCCTCGTTTTATTGAAAAAAAAAAACAGTCGTAGACGTTGGAATCGTAAAATCAGAAAGCACAAATTTACCGACAACAGTGATGCGGCTGTCGGTTGCCGTTTACAAATGGTATGACCTCAGAGCACATTAATGGGTCAAACATGACGGACAGCGTTTTCGACTGTCTCGGAAATAAATTTTTTTACATGTCTTTTAGGTCTGAAAAAATATATTATTTTTTTTCTCTAATAGAACAAATATTAATTATTATCCATGACTGGTTGGTTAGGGGTGACGACGCAGTGGCTTTTCATACATACAAGACTTATTTTCAGTATATGTGTTCTTCAGATAGCTGTAAACTTATAGACACCGTTTTTAATTCTAAATTCAATTCAATTCAATTCAATGGACTTTATTGTAACACATACATAATTATGTATCCTTACAAATGGCGAAGTCTGGCCAATGGCCATTTATACTTAACCATAAATGTCATGTCAATGCTTATTACTATCTTAAAAATAAAATAAAAACTGAAAAAGAAAAGGAAAAAGAAGAATAATAGTAAAAGAAGAATTAATAAATATGACATAATGCGTACGATTAGAACAAAAAACATAATACGTACGATTCAAAGAGAAGACAATAACCTAAGAGCGCAATAAGTAGTTCTTATATTTTTTTTTTTAGAAAAGTTGCTGATGAAACATTGTTCGGAAGAGTTGATCAATTTCACCGCATTATACGTAAAAGACCGTTGAAAAATGGCTGTCGTATGTTGTGGCATTGTCAGGAGATTAATGTTGCGCGTATTCAAATTGTGAATTAAATTCCTACGAACAAGCTTTTGCATAAGATAAACCGGAAAAGAAGTTTTTAATATTTTTACGACAAACGTAACAAAGTTGTATTTAAAAAGATCAGAAATTTTCAACCAATTCATTGAAGATATTGAGTGAAAACATGATCGTACCTTCTTAAATTTTTTATGTAACGACTACATGAGTTTTGAATTTTTTGCAGTCTGTATTTTGTGATTTCATCCAGACAGGGATAATAAACTATGTTGCAGTAAGCGATTTTACTGAGTATGAGTGACTCGCATAACATTTTCTTAATTTTTCTATTTAAAACAGTTTTACTTGCATATAGAAGTCTGAGTCTAAAATAACTAGACTTACACACATAGCCAACATGCTCCTGAAATCTGAAATCTTCATCCACGTACAAACTTAAATTTTTTGCAGAATGGGAAAATATTAGGATACTATTATATAGTGATAAATTTTACTTTGATTTGAGGAAAGTACGTTTTTTCTTGGAGCAAAAAAGTATAGCTGTCGATTTCGATGCGTTTAGACGTAAATTATGTTTTGCAGCATATGTGCATAAGTAATGCAGATCTTGATTGATAAGGTTGTTAGCTAAATGGTAGTCGTTCGGACAGAAATTTGAAAAACCTGCATATCATCAGCATATGATTGACTAGAACAATGTTGAAGGGTGTTAGAAATGTCAAAGGTGTATATAAGGAATAAAAGTGGACCTAATATGGATCCCTGAGGCAAATGTAAGGGTAAACGAAAAAGTAGTTCACTAAGTGCCTACACTTCACATATAACGTTCTGGCAAAATAAACGGTTGATGGGTTTTAAAAAATTATTAAACCCTCGACTACTTCAATTCGATATATTGTAGCTGACTCACCATAAAATTACACACCATCTCCTGCAGCTGCGTCTTATCCTGAACTAATACTGCTATGAAAACATCTTCTGGATCTTTCTGCTACTGTATCTTACACTTTTCACCAAGCCAGCTGTCAAAATTCCTTTTAAGCTCTGACTCACCGAGGATTTCCATACAATTTGACCTATGCATTGTTTGACTATCTCGCCACAGTCCGGATCGACAGCTAGCGCCCTTAAAACATCCTCGGTATCTTGCCTACACGTCCCTTTGTTCCAAAACCTACGGCATATACCGCACGTTTGAAAAATTAAGTTACTGCGTAAAATAATTTAGAAACGAGCCTTATCTATTTTCGCTTCAAGTGTAAGTGACGCGTCGACAGTAAAATGACGTATTTGGAAGAAGGGATTTACACAATTGATTTCCACTAATAATTATTGGTCAACACTGGTTTTGTCACACGAACTTTGACAGCTAATTTTGTTTTTATCAGTCTACCCTCATTATTACATGACAGCTGTCATATGTCTATTAGCCTCATATTTGTTGTGATACGGTAATACTCATAACTAGTACTACGGCAGTAAATTAACAGAAACGCTTACAAGTAAATCCTTATAAAAATATTTGTTGTTGAATTTGAACACTTTTTTGTGATTTATTAACCCTGTGAATATGTCGAGGAAGTGTAATAATGATCCTAACTCTTTTTGTTATGTCTGCGGAGAAGTAACATTCAAACAACAACGACGAAATTTTACGAATCTTGTGTTGGAGTGTTATCACCAATGTTTTGGTTTTTCTGTCGCCCATCAAGACACATCCTGGGCCCCTCATGTCTGTTGCATAACGTGTGTGAAAAATTTAACTGACTGGAAGAAAGGTGCACGACCTATGCCGTTTGCTGTACCCATGATATGGACTGAACAGCGAGATCACGTTTCAGATTGCTATTTTTGTCTCACAGACATAAAAGGTATAAATTACAAGAAAAAAACCACAGTTATTTACCCTAACTTATCTTCGGCTATAAGACCAGTCTCTCATTGTAAAAAATTGCCAGAACTAATACCAGTTGCAACTTCGTCTGTTGAGAACAATTCACAACCGTCCACTTCAGGTGAATGTGTTGACGAGGACGATGACTTTGAGTTAAAAGGAATTGTAAACGAGCCACATTTGATAACTCAAGGAGACCTAAATGATTTGGTTCGGGATTTAAATTTGTCAAAAAAGCAGTCAGAACTATTAGGATCACGTCTAAAAGAATGGAATTTGCTACGTCATAATACAAAAGTTAGCTATTTTCGAAACCGTGATCAACACTTCAGAACGTATTTTTCTCAGGATGGAGATTTGGTGTTTTGCACTAACATAAATGAGATTATGAAAATGTTGGACATAGATTTTGATCTCTCTCAGTGGCGTTTATTCATTGATTCTTCGAAAGTAAGTCTAAAAGCAGTGTTATTGCATAATGGAAATAAGCTTCCGTCTGTACCTCTGGCCCATGCTGCAAATATGAAAGAAACCTATGAAAATATGAAACTTTTACTTGAAAAAATAAATTACAGTACATATTCCTTCAAAATCTGCGGTGATCTTAAAGTTGTTGCACTATTACTTGGACTTCAGCTGGGTTATACAAAGTTTTGCTGCTTTTTATTTGAATGGGATAGCCGAGACAGAACTAATCACTATATAAAAAAAACATGGCCTACGCGTGCATCGTTAGTTCCTGGGCAAATAAACGTAAAGTATTTACCCCTTGTACAGCCAAATAATGTGCTTCTACCACCATTGCATATCAAATTAGGACTAATAAAAAATTTTGTGAAGGCAATGGATCGCAATGGGAGTGGATTTTTGTATCTAAAATAAGTGATGCAAAGATAAAAGAGGGTATTTTTGTTGGCCCTCAAATTAGGGAGTTATTAAATGATTCAAGATTTGAAGAAAAATTAAGCGATTTAGAAACATCTGCATGGAAGGCTTTTAAAAATGTTGTTGCAAATTTTTTGGGTAACCACAAGAGTGACAGCTACAGAGAGCTATTATTGTCATATCAAGCATTGGGTTGCAACATGTCACTCAAGATCCATTTTTAGACTCGCACCTGGATTTTTTTCCTGACAATTTAGGGGCTGTCAGCGACGATCACGGTGAGAGGTTCCATCAGGACATTTCTAATATGGAAAAGCGGTACCAGGGCAAATGGAGCCCAAATATGTTAGCAGATTACTGCTGGACAATTAAAAGGGACCAACCAGAAGCTAAATATTCAAGAAAATCTTAGATTATTAAGTCATTTATAAAAAAAATAACTTTTGATTTACGAGATCTATGTTTTTTCTTAATATTTTAAATTACTCAATAGAATAAAATCCTTGTCTAGCAAATTTTTTTTAACTGTTTATTTTTTCTTACAATCACCAATTAAAGTAAAAAATATCAAAAAAGTCCGTGTGGCACGACAAAGTTAAAATTTTGTTGATTAGTGAATCCGCAACTCAATGAGAGAGGTTCCTATTTTTTTGAGAAGCACTTAAAATGATGAGTGATAAAGTGAAGAACAGAACTTATTTTTATGAATATCTTAAAAAATGACAAAGTAACGCTAAATTTTGTTATTTGGAGAAATATCTTGTTGGAGCGTGAGACTGAGTGATGACGTCACATGACACCATCCACCATCGCTACACAAAGAGATGCGCTCCCTGCGCACGATTTACGATAAAAATGGGTTATACCATCGACTTACAAACATAGTATATTGTGCCTAGGTGAACAAATACAAGCATATTAGCTCCACAAAATCAAGTTTACCTGTGCCAAAACAGAGGTAGACAGAACCGAACTTCTTTTATTTAGAAAATGTCATTTGCATACAGAAAACAAACGAGTTTTACTAGATTTACAAAGATTCATTATTGCCAACGTCGCAGACTAACACAAAAATGTCACTTGCTGATCAGCTGTTCATCCCAGTAGACGTCAAAGCATGATGGTTGTTCGTGAAATATACTAAGTGACATATAAATCCGAACATCCAGTTTAAATGGTTTTATTTTAATAAAATTTTGCATAAGTACTTAATGAAGCATAATAAGTAAATGATAAAAATTTCAAAATGATTGCACTGCTTTAAAGCCCTTTGACCTTTAATAATGTGTGGATGCACCCTGATGTGCTACGCATTCTCCAACGCGCCTAGGCATGCTTCTGATCAGGTGGTCAATGTCCTCCTGTGGTATCTCATTCCAGGCAACCACCAACTCCTCTCGAAGTGCTTCTAGAGTCTGAGAAGGACGTTGCAAATTGAGCAATCTCCTACCCATCATATCCCACACGTGCTCAATTGGGGATAAGTCGGGAGACCTTGGTGGCCATGGTAACAATGTGACATCATTATCTTGAAAGAAGTCTATTGTGACTCTTGCAACATGTGGTCGGGCATTATCTTGTTGGAAAGTTGGATCTGCCAGGGTGTCAAGATAGGGTAAAAGATGGGGTTCTAGAACTTCGTGGATATAACGCTGCGCGTTCATGTTACCTCTGATGAAGATTAAAGGTGACCTGGAACCATAAGCTATAGCACCCCAAACCATAACTCCAACAGTGTGATGAACATGTCTTTCAACAAAAAACTGTGGATTCCTCCTTTCACCACGTCGCCTTCTAACCCTGGCACGACTATCGTGCATGCCTAAACAAAATCGAGACTCGTCACTAAAGACAATACTGTTCCATTCCTGATCCCAGAGTGACCGTTGTCTGCACCACTCAAGGCGATTACGTCGGTGTTCTCGAGTTAAAGGGAGGACCCAGTGTGGCGGGTATGAAAACAAGCCAAAACTTCTCATTCGTCGGTAAACACTTCGCATGCCAATAGGTCTTCCGTGTTCTGCAAACCATTCATTTGCAATGGACCTGGTAGTGGAGAAACGGTCCCTTAAGGCCAATAATCTTAGGCGGCGATCTTCACGGTCTGTTGTTCTACGGCGGCGTCCAGTGCCCCTTGCTCTTTGCGTACGGCCTTCTCGAAGACATGCCTGACAACACCTAACCACAGTGTCTACACTTCTTTGCACTCTAACTGCAATTGCCCGAAAAGAAAGTCCAGCTTCCCGGAAGTCCCACTATACGGCCCCTACCAAACTCGCTAAGTTGACGAAATCGTACAGGTCTCCGTACTCTAGGCATCGTAACCGATCGTAAATGATGTCAAAAACCAAGATCCGCCAACGTTGATTCTTTACTGCGGCTGAAATATTCATTTTTAGAGCGTTAGTGAATTTAAAAAAAGCAGTATTAAAACCGGAATGTCCAACTGATAAGGCTGAAAATTTTTTCACTTGTTATTTACAGTGAGATAAATACATTCACCAACTTTTATTAAAATAAAACCATTTAAACTGGGTGTTCGGATTTATATGTCACTTAGTATATGATCTAAACTTACCTTGTTAGTGCTTTTTGGGGCCACCTCGGCAATTGATTCAAATGATGCAGTTTTGCCATAGAACTTTTATCTTGGGCACAATACATTGGCGGTTGCTTTGGATCGGGTTCATCGTATTTTACCGCTTCCGTAGAATGTTTTCTCTCTTCGGAAAAAGCGGAAAACTCCACATAATCCGGCAGAGTCAAAATAAAGTCTCTATATAAATTCCTAAAGCTCAACAGTTGCGGCTTAACAATGTTCTTAACTTTATTTTTATTTTCGCCGAATGTCATCCTAAAATCTCCAGTGTAACTCAAACTCGACACTGTATGGTAAAAGTCGTATTCCGTAAAAGAGGCGGGCAATATCAAGAGGGCAGCATGAACTGCGGATTGTAAATTTAGCTGCAAGGCTGTCTCTAATTCTGAGCTGGACGGTTTCATGATAATCTCGACTGGTTTGTGCAGTCTGCCTGCTAAATATAAATCTGACCACTCCAGCAAATCTGTCTCCAAGTCTTTGGTTGCTATGACACCATATTTTATCCATATTCCGTCTATAGGTACCAAGGTGTTGAAATAAACCTAAAAGGATGAACATCACTTAAAAATATTACACTGAAATGTCCCAACCAACTCTCATATAATTTGCATTGTACTGAGTGCGCCATCTATTACTTTGTTTTACCTATAAGTTTATGTGTTACCATGTAAGTCAAAAGTCATGTGGTATTCATAAATGAACTGTCAAAATTTAACTAACACAAGAATTGAAGCCGGCAGACCAACAACAGCGGCGTGTTTTTGTTAACTGGATGATGGAAAGAGAAGACGGATTTTCGGCCAAAGTGCTCTTTTCTGATGAGGCTCATTTTCACCTCAATGGGTACGTAAATAAGCAAAATTGCAGATTCTGGAGGGCTGAAAATCGACACCAATATCATGAACAACCTGTCCATCCTGAAAAAGTGAATGTTTGGTGAGGATTATGGGCTGGTGGCATCGTTGGACTATTCTTCTTTGAATATGCCTATGAAAAGGCCATTACCGTCAATGGGGAACGTTGTCGCGGCATGTTAACAGACTTTTTGTGGCCAAAATTGTATTGGTGCCGTCGATCTTTGGTTTCATCAAGACGGAGCAACGGCCCACACATCTCGCCAAACAATCGCCTTATTGCACACGAAATTTCGAGACCGCATAATTTCAAGAAATTCAGATGTCAGTTGGCCCCCGAGATCGTACGATTTAACACCTCTTGACTATTTTCATTGGGGATTTTTGAAAGGAAAAGTGTATGCGAATGGTCCCCGGACAATTCAAGATCTAAAGCGCAATATTCGGACTGAAATTGCGGCCAAAGACCGGATTATTCTGGGAAAAGGCATTGAAAATTTTGATGTTCGGATGTTGGCCTGTAAACGAAGCCGCGGTGGTCACATGACTGATGTTATTTTTCATACATAAATGGCATAAAGCAACCTTCATTTATCAATAAAAAAATTCGATTTCACCTCGTAAAAAGCGTGTTGATTTTTCAAATAGGAAAAAAGTAATAGATGACGCATCCTGTATTAACTCTCTTGGTCGGACATTCTCTTGAACGGACGCGGGCACGAGAAAATGTTATCTTAACCGGACAAAAAACAAAATAAAAAAGCCTTGTCTTATATTTTTTCTGTCGCGAGGGACTTCACCGGATTCACCGACTTCATTTCGAGATATCCTCAAAAATAAGAATTTATTGGAATTGGCTGATAATGAAAACCTTTATGATTATTTGAACCTAGATGAAAGTTTGTATATTGAAGATCCAGATTCAGGTCAAGAAATTGTAAATGTTTGTATCCTTACAGCGACTTTTTATTTCTTTGTTTTGTGTTACTGCATATATGTGTGTACATACTTTGTGTATATCTAAAGGTAACAAACCTTTTTTTTTTCGTAAGTTCAAAGTTTTTTGTTTATTTTAAAAACATTTATATATGTTTTAAATGTCCCAGTTTCTTTAACATATTCAGTTTTCATTATAAACGAGAGGAGATTTCACGGTATATTAAATACAGGAATAATGTCAAGAGATGATGTGTTTAACACTTTAACTACTATGTGTACAAAAAATGATACACATCTAACTTTTATGGATAAACTGTGTGCCCATATGTGGTCACAGGCATGGGCTAGGTTTGATCCGTTATGTACGTTATGTGGTCACGCTTATCATTGAAATGAATGCATGTTCTATGTAGTATAGTTTATGACGAAAGATTGGCCAAATAGTTTTACCCTTAATTCATAGATGGAAGCACCAAGCTGTATAGTAATTTAGTCGTAACGTGTACGTATTGTTTACACGTTTTGGTCGTATGTCGTAGTTGTTTCTTCTGCTCATCGTGCTCGGTTGCGTTCTTGAATGCAAAATGGGTGATAGGGCTTTAACCGATAAGGAGTTGGAGGGAATAATTAATAATATGAGCGATTGTGAATACGAATCGGACGTCGATGACTCAGTGGGTGATCCAAACTTCGAGAATTTCAGTTCATCAGAAAGTACCGATAGTGAATTCGATGCTGGCACTGCAAGAAAAAGAAAGAAGCTAGAAATTTGTGTGAAAGCAAATGCAAATGTCGGGGCTATAGACACTCCTGTTGACAGTGAAGTGAATTTGTCTGAAAGCAGCGAGAGTAGCTCAGATGAGTGCAGCCCCAACAGAGATGTAAGTGGATCACATGAAGTTCGAGTTATCTGGAATGATTGTTCAGGTAAAACAAAGTAAATTAGGATTTATTGCGATGCTACAAAGTATTTTTCTCTTCAGGAAATTTGAAGGATCATCCGTTCAATGCCAACCCAGGATTCTCTGCAGAGTTTTTTGCGAAAAGAAGCGGAGATGAGCCTTTAGACTTTTATAAGCTTTTCTTGGCCGATATCATACCTATGATAGTTCAAGAAACAAACCGCTATGCGACGCAAAAAATTATATCATGCATAGCAAATGAAACTATCCAAAAAAATTCACTATTAACTCACTGGAAAGATACTAATGAGTCTGAAATAGTAGGCATTCATAGGAATGCTAATTTGGATGGGACTAGACAAAAAGCCGACACTGAAAGATTACTTTTCGCGCAATATACTATACAAAAATGATTTGGGAAAATACATTGGAATGTCAAGAATGCGGTTTGAATTGCTTCTATCAAATTTGCATTTTTCAGATAATGAGACAACAGATCGTACGAATCGCATATACAAAATTCAACCATTAGCAGACGGTCTCATTACTAATTTTCAAGCTGCATGTATTCCCAAAAAAGACGTATGTATTGACGAAACAATGATTCCATTCAGAGGCCGTCTTAGCTTTCGTCAATACATACCGGGTAAACGACATAAATACGGAGTAAAAATTTTCAAACTGTGTGCGGAGAAAGGTTATACATACAACTTAAAAGTATATTCAGGCAAGGAGGACAACCCGACTTCACAGTCAGTTGCTAGTCGCGTAGTTCTCGAACTTATGGAGCCTCTCTTAGATTGCGGACGTCTACTATGCACAGACAACTTTTATACTAGCGTTAGCCTCGCACACGAACTTTTGGATAGAAAGACACACCTTATTGGGAATCTGAGAAAAAATAGGAAATTTAATCCAAAGCCAATTACAGATGCAAAACTGGAAAAAGGGGACTTGATTGTACGTGAGAGTAATACCCATGTGATAGTGAGAAAATGGAGAGACAAAAGAGAGGTCTTATTTTTGACGACCGAAGCAGTGCCTGAAATGACTGACGTACAAACAAAACGAGGTGTTGTAAAAAAACCATCTACTATTGCAAAGTATAATAGTATCAAGTCTTTTATAGATGTGTCTGACCAAAAGGCTTCCTACTCGACTACTGTTCGACGCGGAATAAAATGGTATAGAAAGGTGGCCATAGAAATACTCACAAATACTGCAGTTGTGAATGCTCACATAGCATATCAATTTTTTACTAAAAAAACTATAAATATAACCAAGTTCAGGGAGGAGCTTGTAAACAAACTTTTCAATGAGAGGCATAATATTATAGATATTCCATCTGAAGGGATCTCTAGGAATCACAAAATCATCGAGATAACATCAAGGGGTAGATGTACCAGTGTTACAAAGCTAATAGTGAAAGAAATGGTCGAGCCTATGCAATGGCAAATACTCCTAGGATTAAAATGCCTTGTCAGGGGTGTGAACACAAATTTTTATGTATTAAGTGCTTTTTCAACACTCACAACTGCAGTTTACGTAAATGAGAAATGTGGTCATGCATGATATACATACTTTAAGGTGATCAAGCTGTATTTTTTTTTTATATAGACTGTGTGTACTGTACCTGGACACAGTCAAAAAAATATTTTTTTGTGGAAAAACTTGTTGTTTTCATTCTGTTTGTATACTTAAATATATCAAAATATATTTTTTTGAGAAAAAAGTGTACCAGTTTCTGTTGAGTCATGTATCACCAGCATGCATAGTAGTCAAAGTGTTAAATTACCAATGGATGGTCAACACATTTTAACAATATGTTGTTAATATACAGGGTATCCCCAAAACATTGAGCAGAAATTCAAGGGGTGACTTTTTGAACCATTCTTAAGACTGTTTTGTCCTTTTAGATATCCCATTAAAATTTATTACTACTATTTTTTCCACTAGTGCAATACAATGCAGATTTAGTTACCTTATAAATGTTTAAAATTTTATCCCTATTAAATCTGTAATCATGTTATTCTAATAAATAGTAAATTAGAAAATGTTTTCTGTTTACTTTTACACTGTGAAAATATGCATCATTAGATCTAAACTTCACACTTCTTGGCAAGCTTTTGGAATCTGGGGATCCACCAAAACTAGTAAATTTTCAAAGTGTTCCATGAGAAAAAACAAAATCTATTGAGAATAACAATGTATATAAATTTAATATATATTTACCTTAGCACCAAAATGCTCTTGGTAGTTGGCTACAAACTCATGTCCAAGATATTTCAGGGCGCTGTAGTGTGACGGATTTTTTCGCAAATTTGCTTCGTGCCACAAAGCAGGATTATTGACAGAAAATATCAAATCTATCATGTTACCTTTCCTATTTTCCAGCTGCTTCTTTACGGCAGACCCATACGCAAAACAGAAACTAAAATTTTGCGGAAATTTGGATAAAATTCGCTTGTACAAGGGTGGTACAATTGTCACTTTTGTTGGCATTTTCTTTTGATTTCCAGAAATTATGCACGATGATCACTTAATTCCATCAGATATACGCTTTTTTGTATCCAAATCTATTTTAAATAAAGAATTTCAGAATCCCAAATAAATAAATACCGAACCTAACCTAAAATTGCTACGCTGTCATTATCAGCTGTTAACGTCGGCATCACGCGATCTCATAGAACTGGATTGGTAATCATATCTGAGTACGTAAGACTTTGATTTCGGTTTTCCTATTTTGTAATTTGTAACCGTTTTCGGGAAACCATATCAATTTAAAAGTTACGATGTAGCAACAAATCATCCACGTTGAGAAATATCCCTTGCCCGACTAAAAGTTTGTATTCAATTCGGTACAATACAAACAAAAAGATTTATTTGAAATTGTGACGTCAAACGCGAAATGTCTGCTAAAGAAACCAAAAAAGGTTTTGTTCATACCGCAGTCCTGGAAGACAGAAAAATCATAACTTTTCCGGCAATGAACAAAGATTGTTTCACACCATTTGAAATATCCGACTTTAGCCATAAGACTTATAAAAAATGCTGGAAGGATGGTGAATTTATTTCTGGAAACTGGTTGAATGTGTGTAAAGTTATTATTTTAGGTGACGTTTCCGTTGGAAAAACGTCAATAGTAAATAGGTAAGTTCTTTAATTTTTAAAATCCCACAGGGTGTTTCCCAACGGTCTAGTTCAAAATGAAGTGTACTCCCCATAAGAGATGCTCTGTGACGCCACTGATGCGAAAATACCAGGTCCGGACTCGATTTATAATATTCAATTTTCACTGGGACCACTTCTTTTTATTTTATACATAAATGATTTACCTGCCATAGTCAAAAAATGCAAAATTCAAATTTTCGCCGATGACACTATGATTTATATAAGTACTAAAAATATTCAGTCTGGTATCTCTTATATAAATGATGACTTGGAGCTTGTCTCAAAATGGTTAGCATCTAACAGACTAAAATTAAATGCAAGTAAAACGAAAGCCTTGTTAATCGGAAAAAAACAATGTACAAATGTTCAACTGAATATTGATGGTGAAGATATTGAATTCGTAGAAAATTTTAAATACCTGGGAGTTTTTGTTGACTCTCGATAAATTTTTGATATTCATTATGAAAAAGTTATAAATAAGATTAGTAGTAAAGTGGGATATTTATCGAGAGTTTCTGGATGTCTGAGTTCATATAGCAGAAAAATTATCTATAATACCATCATTCTTCCAAATTTCTTGTACTGTTCGACTATTCTATATTTAGCAAATAATTCCATTTTTGAAAGACTGCAAATTTTACAAAATAAGTGCATGAGAATAATTAAATAAAGATAAATATACTCCAATTAGGCAAATGCTTAGCAAATTAAAATGGCTCAATCTAAAAAATTAATAATATATTTCCATCAAGTCTAACTAATTTAACATCATCAAATGTCGACCATCATTTACATAATACCAGAAATAAAGATGACTTCCATTTAATGACCAAAAAGTATAACATATGCTACAAATGTGTATTCCATCAAGGGTTGATTGAATATAATAAATTATACTCGGAGATAAAAGACCAGAAAACTTTGACAAAATTTAAAGTAAAATTGAGAAATCACTTGTTAAATCTACAATTATAGGTTGCCCAGCATTTACATCATACACCATATGGCTTGAATTTACTAGTTCTAAGTTGTTTACAATTGTTCTGTTTATGTAGCCAAATGTGCTAAATAAATCTTTCTACTACTACTACTACTACTTTCTGCTAATGAAATATTGCAAAAAATATTAAAAATGGTATTTAGAATATATGAAAAAAAATTGATTTAAACAGCAAGTTAGCTCCATTTCTTATTTTTAATTGTATCAAATCATTAAAATTTGAAACATTTTCAGGAGCAATACTACGATTTTTATTTTGCAATAGATATTTTATTTGCTTCTTTGTAGACAATGCAAAGTTGCAGCCACATCAGCTAAGCTGTATTAATGTTCCAATATTACATATGTCTTCTATGCAAAACGTTATCTTATTTTAATAAAAAATCAGTGAAACCATTCATAAAACCATCTTCTCCGTTTCAGTCGCACTTTTGTAGAATATTTAGCTCATTTTGAACAAAAATGTGCTCAACAGTAAACTTCAAACCTCAAAGTTTCGAGTAAAAAATATCTAATTCAAAAAAAATCGTTTTTAAGGCGCTAAAATATAAACATTTGAGGTCGCCGAGTCCTTGAATAAAAGCCAATAAAACGTTTTTGTACAAGATCATCTTGCAAGGAACTATACAGGGTGACTTCGAAGTTGATTCATTTATTTTAACAGTGAGTAGATCTGATCAAAAGAAATGTTTTTTCCTTCACCATTTTTCTGGTAAAATTAAATTAACAAAGTTATAGCCCTTTGGAAGTTTGAGTACCGCCCTGTCTCAATGATAATATTATGTGCTCGTATTTGGCAACAACGGATATAATCCGCCATCGGTTCATCGCATCGGAAACAAAAAAGCGAAAGAATTTGGAACGATGTTTTTACAATTATTTTATTCAGTTGTGTTGTATACAGTCAGTGTCAGTCGGTAACGGGTTAGTGAATAATGGTGTCTGTTGCGTGGCTCAAACGAAATAAAAAATGGCACATGTTTATGCCGATCGGTTTCCCAATCGAGTGCAACCAACCCCTCGTGCCTTTGTTAATGTAGTACAACGGGCTCGTGAATCAGGTGACTTAAGACGGCATGCCGGTGCTCCAAGACCTCGCGATCAAATACAGGTCCGCACTGAAATACTTGTCGGGAGGATACTTTATAAAACAAGGTAAATTTTTTTTTTATTTTTACACACATATTTTGGTTTATCTTCCTTCTACAATCATTATCTGAAAATTAATGACTCAACTTCAAAGTCACCCTGTATATTTTGAAACGTTGTTTTTCAATTACTGATAGTGATAATTTTATCACTATGCGAAAATAGTGCTTCGTTTTTAAAACACAGATTTTTATCACCGTCGTCAGTGATGTGGCTCCAGAAATTGGACAATAGATAGTTTATATTTACTAAAGTATAAATAATAATTAATACTCAAAACATTGCATTATACAAATTACGTGTTTTGCAAGTACATTTTCCCACGAAAACCAACACAGTTTTGTGAATTTTCTTTAAGGTATTGTAGAAAAATGTTTGATACCAACTATAAATCTACCATTGGAGTAGATTTTGAAATGGAAACGTTTGAAATACTGGGAGTTTCATTCACTTTACAGATGTGAGTATTTATATATGAAACTATACGTACATGCATAGGTTATTGCCACGAATATACATATCTCTAAAAATGATATAAGCCAATATAACCTATTTTAAAAAATCATCTATATCTAGCTTAGATTATATTTGCAAGTATTAATAACTCTGCAATTTTTGTCATGAAAGTCATGATCTAATTTCAGATGGGATACAGCAGGACAAGAGAGATTCAAATCTATCGCCCAATCATATTATAGAGGCGCTCATGGTAATAAGAAAAATATAACTTAGCGTAGATGATGTATATCCCGTATCTTGTAAATATGAACTGACAACTACGTAATGCTAAAGAACAATCTATTCATGTTTCTACATTCTAAGTACAATATGCATTATTTTCAGTTATCTTATTAGTATTCGATTTGACAAGTTTGGACACACTGTACTCCTGCCAAAAATGGCTTTCAGAGGCCCTGATGTCTGTAACTGATCCAATCATATTTATGGTAGGATCTAAACTGGATTTGGTGGTGAGTGCATAAGTTACTTAAAGCCATGTACAGATATGTAACAACACTGCGAACCGAACCGCAGCGCGCGCATTTTGACGAACAACATTGCAACGAGCATCACCACAAACCGAAAGACGTCGTGCAATCACATCGCACAACAAAATGACGAATACTAACTGAAATGGATATAGCAGTAGCAGCAGCTGTCTATATTTATATTCACTATGAGTTATCCAAAAACAAGTGATGACGACGTCCGGGACGATGGTGGCAAACGCAGTTATATACCAATGATAGCGGAATTGCCAATTTCCGTTTACATAAGCCAGCTGTTGTTTCCATTGTGGACGCTATCTGTTCCCAGGCATTATTTTTTTTATTTATGGTAATGCATCCCACAACAATTTAATGCTCTATAAGCAAAACAGTTTTCCCCTCCGATCATTCTATCTTTTCTTCACGGGGTCTATCAGAGACGAGCGCGTGCTCGCCGCACCAGTTTGCAACTTCGTCGCGAGCTGTTCGTTTGATGTTGGGCTGAAAAATCGACAGAGCCTGGATCGGGCCGAACGGCGAGCTGTAACGCTAATTACGTTCGCGACGGCGTTCTTTTCATATCTGTGCATGGCTTAACGGTACCATGTATTTAGCGATATAATATACTCGTATATTATCTGTTAATAGAAAAAATTGTCTCTCAAACTACGACACGCGATTAAACTTTCATGGTCTCATTATGACAATGCGTTTCTCAGGATTTTTTCGTTGCGTAACAGCGAGGAAAGACTAAACACAACACTTGAACAAAAACAATACGGTAGTACACGTACGTCCTGACTCTCCAGTGGCAGATCCAAGACTAGAATAGCACTTCGCAGAGTAGTCCCGCGTGGAGGTCGCATGTGTGCGCTGTGCGGCGCGCGCCGGATACTGTGTGTGGACAGAATCATCTACTCCCATAGCCCAACGCCGCATCAGGCGCGCGCCGCGCAGCGCGAACCGGATCGTGTGAATCGGGCGTTACTTAGTCTTAGATAGTTTTTGTCACCTTTATCAGGAAAAACCTATAGGACTGATCCATCAGCTTTTACGCGAGAAGAGTCTTTGAAAGAGACTTATTCTGTGAAATATTTCGATATTCGCTATATTACAATTATACCATATTACAATTTTACGATATTACAATTAAAAAAATAGGATAAAAAGCAATTTTACGACAGAAACATTATAACATTTCGAATGCCATTAAAATTTTGCGTTAGCATTCTTATACACCTTAGTACCTAGAGTGTATTTATTTGTTATGGATCTCTTACAGAACCGATTTTCATACGACCACATAACGAAAAGTGCTTTCAAATTAGCGCGCAAGTTGAACGCAGAATATTGGCCAGTATCGTCTAGGACAGGAAGAAATCTGAATGCTATGTTTAATCGGGTAGCAGCATTGTCTTTTGATGAATACATAGTAAAATCTGACGATGAACCAGTTTTAGGGGTGCCTATTGGAAAAAGCTTAATAGGTACAGTATTCGTAGAAATTTCCATTAGTAGCGATGTGATTGTTAAAGGAAGAAAATATTGTGACTTGAGCGACACTTATTTCCAAAAATACATTTTTTGCAATCGCTTCGAAAAAGGTTTAGAAATAAAAGCATTTCTGTAAACTACTTTTTAAACTTTTGTAACATTTATATTCAAGTTATGATCATTCTTTATTATGGCATATATTGTTTCAGATCTGAGGCAAGATGACGTTCATCAAAGGGCAAAGAAAAACTGCTTTTCTTCAAAATGCAAATAAGTCAAATAATAATTAAACTCTTTAGAGAATTGTGAGCTATTCCACAGCTACTAATATGGGTCACTTGGAATTGGGTCCAAACAGAAAGATTTTTCCAGCCTCTCTCCAAACTATTAAAATATTTGAAATGCGTGAGTCTTCCCTTTATACTTTGTGAGCAAAAGCGTTTTTCTATTCAATCTTTACGATATTTTTAGTATCTACAATAAATGGCTACCTCAAAGCTGTGTTCTTTTTTACTTTACACGTCAATTGTGATCGCGAAAGATATCATCATTTTTAGGCGTTACATAACATGTACAACACGAAGAATCAAAACACATATGTGTGTCTGGCATGACTGTGACTCTGAAAGTATATCTAGTAAGCAGATTCTGGTTAATTTTAGACAACCAGTACACCAAAATCTAAACCAATGACCCAAAAGACCCAAAATCAGTCCAATGGTGGTTGAGTTATGAGCAAAATTGAAAAAAATTAGAACGTCCTCAAGATTAGCTTTTATTTCTATTATTTTTGGGTGTGGTCAAAGAAATATTTTCGATCGTTTTCAACGATTTGGTCACTTTAGTGTATAGTTGAAGAAGACGAAAAAAATCTGAATTTCTAATCTTCCCAAATTCTCATTTGTCATCAGTCTACACTATACAATAAAATGATTCGTAACTACTCAAGATTTTAAATAGATTTAAAGCAACTGCGTAAAATATTTATTTATTTTAATTTATCGTTTTTGAAAATGAACTTTTGTTGATCTTCTCTTCAAGTCCGGACCTGCTTTCCTATTCGTGAACTTCGTTATAGAACATATTTTAAGCTTAGAAAGCTTCCAGCGATATGTTGCCGGCAACCAGTGTGACACATTCGAGGCAAACCTTCGTAACCCGTGTTGCCGGGTACTTGCCAGCAATAAGTATTTTTTGCACAGATGATCTTGATCATTGATCATTTCACAGTTCTACACGTGACAGTATGCAAGATACGACATTATTCGAAACGGAGTTTGACATTTATTTATCTCAAAAATTTGCATTGTACCGAACTACCTCGTCGGACGCCGCGCTTTACCTGCCGTGAGCTGTATTGACAACACTGTCGTCTGGGGGTAGTTTGGTGACTTTCTGTTTTTTTCGTGTTCAACACTTTTCGGTAAGTCGTTTTTTTAGTTCTACGTGCGTGGTATAAAAAACAACTCGAGTCGGCTACGTGACATCACAGTTACGTTTATTTTTTAATACATCGCTTGTTGCTAACGAATAACTTTCTATGGAAAATTATAAGGAAAAACAGAGTTGACGTGGATTGTTTTTAAGGTTAAGTCCTCTAAGGGAATTAGTGGAAGATTTCCAGATACTTCTTTCGCTTTTGTTTTCAATTTTAGTATATTGATGTAGATGAAATGTAACGTGACATTATTCGATGATTTTGTATAAATAAATAGATACGTGTGTTAAAAACAAATAAATATATTTTCTAAATGTATGGGACCATTAACATAAGAAACATAGCTCAGGCTGACGATGAAACGTTTTAATTCGGGAAATTGTTCTGATTGTAGGAAAAATCTTGATATCAATTCGATCGCAAACTACGAAACTACCTGTATTGTTTTGAAAATATTAAATACGTCGCACATTGCGCACCTAATGCAAATAACTACTATTCTTTCTTAGCATAAAAAATACAGGATGCTGTCGGAGAAGTAGGTATAACGCGTTGGACCAAGAAATACGGAAATTCTGAAGGGAAAATCCTACAATTTAGGTGACACTATTTTTTTTTTACCGAAAATCTTGAAAACTATTGCTCTTATGTCAACAACTAATAGAAAAAATTTTGTAGGGAATTAAATTCTTCGTCATTTTGTTTATAAATATTACTGTCATGAGGTCAACAAATTACGAGAATACGTTATATTTTTTTTCGTCTTATAATGGCTAAATTACGGAACTGAGAGTATAACACTACGATTTTTCAACACCTTGATGGTTCTTGGAGTATGAGGAGGAAAAGTTGAAAATTCGTATCAAAATCGCGCGAAATATTTTGCAGGCTGCACACGTTGTCCACGTAATCCACATACAATATTATTTTACGTGGAAATAACTTCATAATCATTATCTATGACCAAGAATACCATTTTTACGAAATGTTGCTGCTATGCAATGTTGCCGAACCGAAAAAGACGAAATCGGTAGACAGTGTCCTTGGAATAAGGGCCTTCACAAGATCAAGATGGATCAAGGAACACGTAGCTCCATCTATAAAACAACAGTTTCTTTGAGGGCATATGTTCCTAAAAATAATTGAAGTTCTTTATTGCAACTTCTACAAGGTTACTACTATGTTAAAAGCGAAAATTTCGCAACAAACGAAAATAATAAAAATCGTTCTGTTTTTGGACGCGTCAGAAGCTCCCGATCATTTTTGGAACTACACACCATTTTAGTGCATCATAGATTTTCCCGTAGTTTACAAATTGGTGGAAACTATGAACCAGTGTTGGCCGAACCGAAAAAGACGAAATCAGTAGATATAGGGATGGTAACGATACATCGATGTATCGAAAACATCGATACATCGGACGTAGAACATCGATGTTTATGAATCGATGGTTTTATGACGATATATCGATGTATCGACATTGAAAGGATCCTAAACATAGGTATACCTCGAGTATATCCTTAACTGCGCTACCATCTCTAAGCGGGGACTGGTAGCTTCTAAATTGAAAGCCCAGAAAGTTGTTTAGTAGTATCTCTATAATATTATCATTACAGCCGTGATATGGACTGTAGTCTTTGCTTTATTCTCTTGCTCAAGCGATATAATAAAATAAACTGAAAACAGCGCATTTACGCATTTCATGATTTCAGGTTCTTCTGATTATTTTATTGTATGTAGTATCGCTGTTTTATTGTTAATTAATCGAAATGCCACGAAAAAGTGATGTGTGGAAGTACTTTAAAAAACACTCTTCAACTTGTGCACAGTGAAGTATTTAATTATCATCAATGTCTTAATTTTGACAATTTCATATCCTGCAGTTTCCGATAATCATACTTTTTTTACTGAAATATATTATAGTCGCTATCCTTCTCTTATCCATGATCCATGAATTCGTTGCTGAATTTAAAGCAGAAAACGTTAAAAAGAAGAGTTGTTTCGATACATCGATGCAACGATGTATTTGTTCGGATGTATCGAGCTGCATCGATGTTACGATAGCGATATTTGTCGATGTCCAAACATCGATGTTTTCTAACAAATTGCCATCCCTAACTGGATGGCGTCGTTGAAATTCGGTAGATTCAACGACAAAAGCGGTAGTGGGAAAAATCAGAGCCGGCCCTGTATATTTTTGGATTGCGGGTCTTTTTGAGGGCATCTTTTCCGTAAAAAAAAGTCTTTATTACAACTTCTACAATAAGCATACTAGTCTCTATTCAAACTCCTTTGCAACCATCATTGAAACACCTTTTGTCATTCTTATTAAGATTCTGAATATTTTTCTGTTTTACCCCTGGACTGGAAGTCTCATCACCAGACAATCTAATTTAATTATTCAATGAAATACAGACAAGCTCAGGTTTCATCATTGCTGCCTGCTGATGCGATATTGACGGTGATTTACTGAGCTTGAAGCCTCATCACCTGACGATAATTTAATATTCAATTGAATACAGACAAGCTCAGGTTTCCTTATTGCTGTCCGGTTAATGCGATATTGACGGTGATCTACCAGCAGTGTTGCCAGGTTTGGTGAAATTTCACCAGATTTGGTGATGGGTGAAAAACTATTCTGGTGACTTTTAAAATTTCATCGATTTTGAATATTTTTAACAATCTTTCAGGTACCAAAAACTCCAACAATTGCTAAAATTTCGATCAGGTACCGCGTTTCGCGATTTATTCTTGCTTTAGTGTTCGTCATTTCGTTTAGTCGTGAACACGTTATCCATTTTGCACGGCAGTGGTCGAGAATATCAAAAAAATTGTGTAATAACATTCTTATTTTTAAAAAGTTTAATCTTCTACTATTTTGTTTCCATGCAACTTTTATACAGGGTGACTTTGAAGTTGAGTCATTAATTTTCAGATAATGATTGTAGAAGGAAGATAAACCAAAATATGTGTATAAAAATAAAAAAAAAATTTTACCTTGTTTTATAAAGTATCCTCCCGACAAGTATTTCAGTGCGGACCTGTATTTGATCGTGAGGTCTTGGAGCACCGGCATGCGTCCCCTGTGAGGTCTTAAGTCACCTGATTCACGAGCCCGTTGTATCACATTAACAAAGGCACGAGGAGTTGGTTGCACTCGATTGGGAAACCGATCCGCATAAAGACTCCCCCCCCCCCCCCGTAAATAAGAATCATGTCCACAACTTCAGCATTTTCGTAAACATGTGCATTTTTTATTTCGTTCAAGCCACGCAACAAACACCACTATTCACTCACGCGTTACCGACTGACACATTGACGAAAAACAACTGAATAAAATTGTACATTGTAGTAAAAACATCGTTTCAAATTCTTTCTCTTTTTTGTTTCCGATGCGATGAACGGATAAGGCGGATTATATCCGTTGTTGCCAAACACGAGCACATAATATTATTATTGAGACAGGGCGGTACTCAAACTTCTAAAGGGCTATAACTTTGTTACTTTAATTTTACCAGAAAAATGTTAAAGGAAAAAAGCATTTCTTTTGATCAGATCTACTCACTGTTAAAATAAATGACTCAACTTCGAAGATACTTGGGATATCAATTCCTTTTGGCGAGTCTTACGAGAAGTTAAAATAAATGACTCAACCTTGAAAACATCCTGTATATGACGTTTATGGGGCGTAAAACTACATAGAATTCATTTTTTTTGGATCTATTTTTGGTAAAAAACGGGAAATACTTGAATTATTTTAAAAAATGAGCACGTTTTCGGTATTTCGGTGAATTATTCCGGTAGAGATACCGAAAAATCGCCAAACACAAAAAAGTTTTTGAAAATCGTTACTGTTAAGGCGGAGAAAAAGTCTAAAAACGAAAAAAATAAAAATCGGTCTGATTTAGAATGAAAATATTTTTAGGGGTAAAAATTGGTATACATTCCTTAATGATACGCGATTATTTAAGGGTGTGAATCTACATGAAAAATTAATGTTAGTTTGCTTTATAAACTATGGTCCAAAAATGTTTCCTTACAAAAACTAGGGGTGTTGAA